AAGAAGGAGGGGTAACTGCAGTATTCAGAACTGAGTCCCAGTAGGATTTGTCAGGCCCATGAGTCTCTTCTGGCTTTTTTTAGCTGTGGGGTTGATTGGTGACCTCTCTCCAGCACCCCCTTTAGAACAGCAGTTGTTGCACCAGGGGAGGTGGCGTGAGGTGGCTGGAAAGAGCCAGGATTTAAAACCCAGCTCTCCGCCTCTTACTAGGTTAGATGTATGTCCTCAAACATGTTCTTCCATCTCTGAGCTGCAGTTTCCTCCACTGTAAAATGGAAATAATAATACTCTTTAACCTACAGAGATGTTGCCAAAATTAGATAAGATGGTATAAAGCACTGGGTATTTCTGTACCGGTATGCAGGTACTTATATGCCGGTCCTAACTAGTGACAGATTCCTTTCTTTTTTAGCTTCTGCAAGTAGAATTTGGTTCACGGGACGCCTGGGTGGCCTGAGCGTCTGCCTTAGGCCCAGGGCGTGATCCTGGAGACCGGAGATCGAGTCCCAAGTCAGGCTCCCTGCATGGAGCCTGCTTCTTCCTCTGCCTGTGTCTCTGCCTCTCTCTCTCTCTCTCTCTCTCTCTCTCTCTCTCTAAATAAATAAATAAATAAATAAATAAATAAATAAATAAATAAATTATTTATTTAAAAAAAGAATTTGGTTCATTAATATAGTGAAATGAGAGTTACGTAGTTTCTCCTTTTTTTTTCTTAAGATCTTATATATTCATGAGAGACACAGAGAAAGAGGCAGACACACAGGCAGAGGGAGAAGCAGGCTCCATGCAGAGAGCCTGATGCGGGACTCGATCCAGGGACTCCGGGATCACATCCTCTGCCAAAGGCAGGCGCTAAACCGCTGAACCACCCGGGGATCCCCCAGTTGCCTATTTTCTAAGGAAAAAGTGAGGCAGACGGTAGAGCACTATACACAAAGCCATTTCCATAAAAGCTGTAGCGGTCACTTTGGGTCACTTTATCTGTTCTGAACTACGCAGGCAGGCTTTGTAGGGGAGTGGGAGGAGCAGGGATTGTGTGAGGATCCCAAAATTCTGCCTCAGGTGTTTGTAAGCTACAGGGAGGCAAATGGACCCGTTTCTTCCTCACCGCATCATGGCCAGTATGGGTACAACTTAGCAATTGGTTTAACCATAGAATTTTGGCAAAATGGAAGCTCTTGGCCCCTTTAGGGTTCGACAGAGAGAGAGGGGCGATTCAGAGACTCAAGGCTTTTGAAGATGGGAATGACCCACCCCGCCGGGTTCTGCAAGGATCTCCAGCGCTGCCCCCCACCACAGAGGTTCTCTCATGTCCCACAACCTCTGTGGAGACACCCTTCTCTCTATCCATTTCCCAGGCAGACAGTTTTACTCTTGCAGTTCCTACTGTTTGGGGTGGAAACATTAAGTCAAGAATTGGAACTGATAGCAAATCAATGGGAGAATAGGATTATTGCCTTTTTCAACTTACACCTTCAAAATTCCAGTCAGTGGAATTATTAGTCTTGTTTCCCAGTCCATGGATTTGGCAACTTCTGCAGACAGGTGAGCTCACCTCTTAATAAACGAGCGTATTTTTAGGGCACGGCACTGGCTCCCCCTTTAGTGGGGATGAGTAACAGATCTCTGGCATCTGTGTGGCACTTAACTGCGCTCTCCCCTCCTAGGGGGCGACTCGGTGACTCCCCCCCCCCCCAGGCCGCCCTCTCTAGCCTTTGCCTCTTTAGTTCCATGCACCACTTTTCCGTGGCAGCAGCCACCCTCCAGTGGCCCACACAGGTCACCTCTGGCCTCCTCCCTCCCGTAGTCCCTCCGGGAGCCCTGCTGCCCTCCTGTCCAAAACCTCTGCCCCCAAGGTCGCTCCGCGGGTGGCACAGAGCCCATAAGGTGTGTTCGTGTGGCCTTCCCGCTGCAGAACCACACAGCCATTTAGAAACCTTTAGTTAGGGATGCCTGGGTGGCTCCGATTGAGCAGCTGTCTTTGGCTCAGGGCATGATCCCAGATTCCTGGGATCGAGTCCCACATCAGGCTCCTTGCATGGGGCCTGCTTCTCCTCCCTCTGCCTGTGTCTCTGCCTCTCCTCCTGTGCCTCACATGAATAAAATCTTAAAAAAAAAAAAAAATTAAAAAAGAAAAGAAACCTTTAGTTACCCAGATTTCTAAATCAGGAGAGGTCATGTAGAAATCCAGACTGCCAGGCTTGCTTGAAAAATCGGATGATCTGTCGACACCAGGCTAGGCTAAGTCCCTGCACGCAGCTCAGGGCTGGAGCCGAAGGGCTGCTGCCCCCTTAGCCGGCACACTCTGCCCCTGCCTCCCTGGTGCTGGGTCCCTTCCCCTCCGTGGAGGCAATTTCATTGTGATTCCCTCCGCCTGGCAAACATACAGCTGCCATGGGATTTTGCTGCCTCCTAAATTAAGTATCTGTTCCTCACCTGGCACTCCGGCATCCAGCCGTGATTCTCACCTTAAAAATTGGTTACAAACACCTGGAGACCAAACACTGCAATTCCTGCTTACCTCCACCTCCCCCATCAATTCTAATTCAGTAGCTTAGGGGTGAGACTCAGGAATCTCTGTATTTTTTTTTTAAGATTTTATTTATTTATTTATTCATGAGAGACAGAGGCAGAGGGGGAGGCAGTCTCCCCATGGGGAGCCCCTTGCAGGACTCGATCCCAGGACCCTGGGATCACGTCCTGAGCCGAAGGCACTCAATCACTGAGCCACCCAGGTGCCTCCGTTTTATGTTTTGTTGAAGAAATGGGCCTGTCTACGGACACAAGAACCACCTGTCACTTTTTATCCCCCAGTCATTTCCTTTACAAGCATACTTCATTTTATTGTGCTTTTGCTTTGCAAATACTGTGGTTTTTACAGATTGAAGGTTTGTAGCAACCCTGCATTGAGCAAATCTCTTGGCACTATTTTCCCAACAGCATTTGTTCACTTCAGGTCTCTGTGTCATGTTGTGATAATGTTCATAATAAATCCATTTATTATTATATATCATATGGTAATCTATGGTCAGTGGTTATGACTCACTGAGCGCACAGATGATGGTTAGCATTTTCTAGCAATAAAGTTTTTTTTATTAAAGTACATTTTTTTTAGACATAATGCTGTTGTACACTTAATAGATTACAGTAGAGTGTGAACATAACTTTTATATGCACTCGGAAGCCAAAAACTTCATTTGGCTCCTATTATTGTGATATTTGCCATATTGTGGTTGGGAACTGAACTCACAATATATCTGAGGTATGCCTACACATGTTATTTTTTTTTTCATTTTACAGTAATATGTTGACCATATTAGTCATCCCCAAAATATGTTGAATATTTAAGTATTCATAAAACCCCCGGAATAATTGGGGAAATGTTACTGTTTTTTTGTTTTGTTTTCTTTTTTTTTTTTTTTTAAGATTTTATTTTTAAGTAATCTCTACATCCAACATGGGGCTTGAACCCAAAACTCTTGAGATCAGGAGCCGCTCCTGACCCGCTTACACTCCACTGGCTGAGCCAGTCAGCCCAGAAACATTACTATTCTTATCTCAGAAGACTCTTGGGCAATGGATTGGTTGAAGGATTTTTGCCCAAGGGTTAGGACTGGAAAGCAAGTCATCTCTTACTCCAATGTGTTTTGCTCTGAGTTGTACAGTGAAGTTTTTTGAAACCTCTGTTTCTCTATGTGGTGGAAGCCAGGAACAGTGTCCTCCCTTGTTCACTGCTTATAATTTATACAAGGATCGGGACGCCTGGGTGGCTCAGCGGTTGAGCGTCTCCCTTAGGCTCAGGGCGTGATCCTGGAGTCCTAGGATCCAGTCCCACATCGGGCTTCCTGCATGGAGCCTGCTTCTCCCTCTGCTTATGTCTCTGCCTCTCTCTCTGTGTCTCTCATGAATAAATACAAATCTTTAAAAAAAATTTTAAAAATTATACAAAGACAGCTAAGTCCTTCCCCAAGCTGGGGCAGAGGGTCTCCTCTGCACACATCTGGGAAGTTTGCATCTTTATGCCCCACTGCAGTAACCGAGATTACCTAATGGGAATGCTCTGTTGACACCATACGCAAAAGTGAGTCAGGAAGACTTTAAACTAGCACATTTATTTTAGATGCTGCAGAGACTCTTAGAACAGAAAATACCTGCTTCCAAGCCCTCACTTCCCAAGTTCAAGTTTATACAATTGCATGTCACCCACTATGGACCTTTTACTTTCTGTCCAGCTCAGAAGTCTCTTCATATACTGAGGATTTACCCTGAGACAAAACATATCTTATCAGTGGAAGAGGGTTGGAAAGTTATAGACATAAGACAAAAGAAGTTTAGAATTTTATAATCTCTTAGGAGTTGAATGCAGGCTTTCACAATAGCCTCACAGAGGCCCATTTTATTTGCTAAGATATCATTCTTGTAGTCCTGTATGTCCCTCCTTCCTGCTACGTTGAAAAGATAAGTGATATCTTGAAGTGAATATGTACCAAGTGATATATTGAAGTGGATATGTACCAAAAAGAGGGCAAACACTCCTCAGAATAAATGAGATCCAGCTTTTTTTTTTTTTAAGATTTTTATTTATTTATTTTAGAGAGAGCAGGAGCTTGAGCATGGATGAGCATGGGAAGGGGCAGAGGAAGAAGCAGGCTCTCCGCTGAGCAGGGAGCCCAACTCACAGCTCCATCCCAGGACCCTGGAAGCCGAAGGCAGACCCTTAACTGACTGAGCCATCCAGGTTCCTTTTTTTTTTTTTTAATTTTTATTTATTTATGATAGTCACAGAGAGATAGAGAGAGGTAGAGACACAGGCAGAGGGAGAAGCAGGCTCCATGCACCGGGAGCCTGACGTGGGATTCGATCCCGGGTCTCCAGGATCGCGCCCTGGGCCAAAGGCAAGCACCAAACCGCTGCGCCACCCAGGGATCTCAGCCATCCAGGTTCCTGAGGTCCAGCTTTGAGAGTAGAAATTAAGTGTTTTCTTTTTTTTTTTTTTTTAGGGACACGTGGCCATCAAGAATCATGAGCAACCCATTTGCACACCTTATTGAGCCTTTGGATCCTGCACAACCAGGAAAGAAATTCTTTAATTTGAATAAATTGAAGGATTCAAGATATGGTAGGCATATGGTTCTCTGATGTAATTGTTCTCACAGCTATCAAGAGTCTTGTTTGCATAATAATTAAGCTATGTAATTAATTAGCCTTTAGGAGAGTTGAAAGAGGGAGTTACAGAAATGGCTGAATGGTCTTGGATTAAGCACACAAACACACGCCACTTTCTTATGTTGCCTGTTTTTAAGTAATAATGATTATATAAATATGACATTTATATAACATTTATAGCATATAGAGTATTTGTGCACATATATTATTTAATCTGTATAACAACTCTGTGAGGTCATGTTTATAAAATGTAAGAAGTCCTAAGAAGCTGAGGCCCAGGGAGCATCAATGACATGATCAAAAAACGACTGTGGGTACCAGAATTGGATAAAAACAGTTCTTTTTTTATTCCAAATCCTCTGCTTTTCTACCTTTGCACTCTGGTCTTTCCCAAATAATATTGGGATTAATATTGATGATACAGTATTTCTTTTTTAAATAAACAAAATAGTTTTTTCAGGAATTACCATTGTTTTATCCTCAAACCCATTATGGTGTTTATGCTTGTGTTTCCATTAAAAGGTATATATGACTATACTTTGATCTTAATTATAATAGTTGTAAAGAAGTTATTTTCTCATTTTCTCATTTCTTAAACAGTAGTTTTCATAAGAAATATTACTCTGTGTTACTTGCCAAAACGTAATACAATAAATACCTAGACTGACTTCTTTCATGGTAACTTAAGAAAAACTCTATTATTGGAATCCTTGGATAAGGCAATAATTTATTATGAAAAAATTAACTATAATATTTATCTTTGCCTAGTCTGTGGGTATTTTCTAGTACCGAATGTCTTTTAAACCCATTCGATATGGTTATATTTTAAACTGTTGAAATCAGTTTAAATTTACCCTCTTCCCTGTTGGAGGAGTAGTCTAATGCCTTGTATCAAGTTTATATAGAGATTGGCTTTAAATAGCTCTTATGATAAGGTGTCTCATGGCTTTTGTTTGTTTTGTTATGCTTTCTCTTTTTTCCCTAGAACGCTTACCATTTTCTATCAGAGTTCTCTTGGAGGCAGCCATTCGGAACTGCGATCAATTTTTGGTGAAGAAAAATGACATTGAAAATATCCTAAATTGGAATGTCATGCAGCATAAGAACATAGAAGTGCCATTTAAGCCTGCTCGCGTCATCCTACAGGACTTCACGTGAGCCTGATATCACTTCACTTCCCTCTTCACTGCCTCCCTTGTCAGCCTTTAGAGAGTGCTTCACATACACACACACACACAGAGTGCCTGTATAATTGATCACCCAATATCCAGACACTTTTGAAAATGTAAGAGGTCTGTTGTCCTGGACAGCAAGAGTTTGTCTCAGATAAATTCGGATGTATAGTCACTCCACCTTTTCCAATGGCAAAGGTCATCATCTTTGGTCCTGGAGATCCTATTCTTAAGTATAGTGGCAGAAGATGGAAGAAATAGCATGGAGTATAACTGTCTTGGAATCTTGTCTCCCTCACATCCTATCACCCACAAGCCAGTTTCAAACAGCCATCCCTAGAACACTGATGTGCTGTCACCTTAGGGAAGACTTGTAGTTCACAAGGCCCAACCTGTTGCCATTCAGCCTCAGTTCACACCTTGCCATTCCCAAGAGTCTTTACTTCCCATCATGGCCTGTTTTTTTAAGACACCGTCTTTCCATTTTTAAATGATGTTGTTTTATTCCTTTTAGAACCGAATTTCATTTTTCTAGAGGACAAATTTTATACTCTAAAATAATAAAAAGGAGAGAACCACCTAGTATAAATTTGATTCATAGCATACTTCTCTGAATTACATCCATTTCTTTAAATTTGATCTGAAGTTGGAGGTATGATCCATGTATCTTCTCTAGGTCTTTATCACCCCACCATGTGAATGGGAATCAGCCATGGCAGTAACAGACCCAGGGTTTTTAAGTGCCTACTTTCCTAAGGTCTCTATTTAGACCACATTTGTTGTTAACTTTAGTGCAGTGACAAAATTGCATGTAGAGATACCACTCAGTCATGGCACTTCCAATTTCTGCTCAAAGAAAGATATATAGAAACTTCCACTTTTCTAAGTCATCCATTGTCAGACCCACTGATGACACTGTGTCACGGCCAATTGTCAGTGGAGGCAAAAGCTGAAAAATCAAAGTACACTTTATTCAACAGTTTTGTTTTCTGCTTAATTCTCTCTTTTCTCAGAGGTGTGCCAGCTGTGGTTGACTTTGCTGCAATGCGTGATGCTGTGAAAAAGTTAGGAGGAGATCCAGAGAAAATAAACCCCGTCTGTCCTGCCGATCTTGTAATCGATCATTCCATCCAGGTGGATTTCAACAGAAGGTGAGAGATTAGGACGGATACTTGGGTTTTCTGTTTTGTGCAAAGTCTTGGAATTCACGTCTTCTTTATGTGTGTATGTAGATAAACAAAAGAAGAAATCTTTAAAAGATGTATTCAGAAAAATTCAAACTTACCAAAGATTTTCCAGTAAAGGGTGGGGGGGGGGTTCTTTTTTTTCTTCTTTTTTTAAATTTATGATTTTTTTCTTTTTACTTCTGGTGCCCAGGCTGAAGGAGAAAGCAGCTATCTGGTGATCACAGAGGCTCAGGAGGGCAAATGGGAACCCACAATATCTCTTGAGGCTTACATCAGAGCTAGTGTAGAATCACTTCTCTTCACAGTGACATTAATCAAAGCAAGTCACAGTCAAGCCATAAATTAGGGGTGGGGAAGTATATTCCATCTGTTGTAGAAGTAGCTGCAAGATTACACAGAGAGGGGACGCCAGAGTGGCTCAGTGGTTGAGCATCTGCCTTCGGCCCAGGGCGTAATCCCGGAGTCCTAGGATCGAGTCCCACATCGGGCTCCCTGCAGGGAGCCTGCTTCTCCCTCTGCCTGTGTCTTTGTTTCTCTCTGTGTCTCTTCTGTGTCTCTCATAAATAAATAAATAAATCTTTAAAAAAAAAAAAAAAAAAAAGAAAGAAAGATTACACAGGGAGGGCAGCCAGGTGCTGCTAGAAGTCTAGTATCTTAACCAAGAAGAATAACTAAATAGTTATCATCAACTCTGAGTGGGGAAAAAAAGAACTATACCACATTCAGTGCTGGGGAAATTAATTATTTGGTAGAGAGAGTGATTCCTGTGAATTAAAGCATTAATATTTTTTAAATTAAATCATCAAAAATTTCAGAAAAAAATTTAAGTATGTGCCAAATGTCTTGAGAAGGACCTTTCTAAATTTAAAAGAAATGAATGGGGGCACCTGTGTAGCTCAGTGGTTGAGCATCTGCCTTCAGCTCAGATCAAGATCCTGGAAACCTGAGATTGAGTCCCACATCAAGCTCCCTACAGGGAGCCTGCTTCTCCCTCTGCCTATGTCTCTGCCTCTGCCTCTGTATCTCTCATGAATAAATAAATAAAATCTTTAAAAAAATATATAGTAAAGCCCAGCAGATAAATGGGTAAAAAAGTAGACATTTCACAATGAAAGGAAAAGCAATGATAAGCGCTATATGAATCCTTTTCAACTTCAGAAGTAATAAAAAAAAAGTAGATTAAATCCTTGAGATATCATTTTCTCTTATCAATAGAGTTAAGATTAGAAAATAAACATTATTCATTATAAAGGTGTCCTGAGGGAGACACTTTTATTCCCTGCTGATAATACTATAAATTAGGAATGATGAAAGCAGTATGTATGAAGATTATTAGAAATTGTCATATCCTTTGTCCTGGAATTTCCACTTCTGAGCATTACCCTTTATAGATAATCTGGAATTCACAAGTAGCTTAATGACTAAATAGTGTTCATGACAGTATTTATAATAATGGAAACCTAGAAGCATTCTTAATGGCCAACAAAGGAGAATGATTTACTAGATCATGATATGTCCTTAAAGTGAATTATTAGGTAACGTTTACCATTATAATTATAGAATGTTTAATAACACTTGGAACGTGCTCATGTCACAGCTCAATGAGCCGGATATAAGTTGCACGTAGAGTGTGATCTCAGCTAGGTGAAAAGTTGTACAAAAACTAAAAGATTGGAAAAAGAGATGACAAACTGCTGAATGATTTATCTCTGGGCTTATAACTGTTATTTATTTTGATGATAAGAGGCTATGGTTTTTTATAACAAAAAATCATTTAAGAGTATGAAACTATTCAAAGAGGAAAAAAAATAACTTTCCTTGCTTCCTTAAGGACTTAAGTGGGTTCCATACAGCCTAAAGAGAAATGTAGTGACTGGTCATTCTCAGATTAATGTTGTCAGTATCCAAACCAGATAAATTCCGAATAAAGAGAAATCTGCTTTGTCCCCTGAATTGACAGTTCTTGGAACAGACTAGATACTCAGCAGCTGTTCCCTTTCCCTTGGACTCTAAACTCATCCTTAGGCAACTTGTCTTTTTTTTCTCCTTAAATCACATGAGCTCAATTTAATGGTTTGGAGTCAAAGGGAAAAATTAAAAATACATACACAAAATGTTATTCTATTTGATAACAAGGATATTTCCTAACACCCCACTTCAGAAGTTATAAAAGTAGCCTCACAAAATCATGGACAATTTTATCTTTCTTGGAGATTCTCACTGGTGTTGATGATTTACCTTTATTTCACTGCCTGGAAGGTAAAAGTACAGGGAAGCCAGAATTGTAACTGTTTTAATGTCTGAAGTCTTTTGATTCAATATTCAAAGAACTCCTGACTGTTAAGCAGTATGAATCTGGGTAATTGCAAAGTTTGCTCTATTGATTTTTCCTCTTCAAACCTTAAAATCCATCAACTCTGGTTTCAGTTTTTTATGGACTCTTTTCATTTATACTGCAGTACTGAAAACATTATTATGGAAACAGCAAAGTCCGAGGGGATGGGGGCAGGACTTTGATCCAAACTGATATCCAAATCTAGCAAACCCCCCCCCCCCTTTTTTAAATTAAAGAGAACATTTTTGTTAGGAGTGTTTTCATTGGTGGTGTTTTGTTTTTATTGCTCAAGGTTGGTTTTGCAATTTGACCTCCCAGTCTCTTTCCATATTTTTATAAGGAATTAAATGTGATATGCTTCAACTTTTGTGGAACTGTGTGCTATGGGCTGATTTCCAGCTATTTCCAGAAATGAACTAGAAAAACTGTGGAAGGGGTTCTTGGATGTTAGATACTCTGATTTAAGTATTTCTGAGCCCTTTGCCTCTTTTGGATAAGAATAATTGGCGTCACCATTTTTAGGAATGGAGGGTCTAACTAACTCATTATTGTAAAGTTTTTCAAAGTTATCTCAAAAATAACTTAAAAAAAAAAATCCCAACATATTAACATGACGATTTCTGAGCAGATTTCCTGGGTATGGAAACTCTCTCCTCAATAAATACTGTTTGTGAATTTCTGGAGTACCATTAAATGGAATACTCAGAAACTTTGATATACGTCCAAATCTGAATTCAAATTATGTAACTGAGGAGAAATTTACTCTTTAGTCCATGAGGCCATTCGTATTCAGAGAACTTACTAAAAGCTCAATCGATTGGTGAACTTAGGGAAGTTCTGAGTTGTGGAAAAAATCCAAATTCTAGGTCTATTTATTCATTCCAGGAACTAGAACTGTTAATTTGAGCCAAAAAAAAAAAAAAAAGTGTTTTGTTTTAATAAGTAAATAGGTTTTTACTTGAAATTAACCTATCTTAAAATAGATTAACCATTTCTGGCTTCTGTTTGTCCCGTGAATATGTTGTTTATATCACACTGACGTCCCAGCATTCTCTGGGGTGACTCTTGCCGTTCCAACCGTGCTTTTGTGCTGTGAAAAGTTCTCATGTCCTTCTAGCACTGAAGACAAGAGGGTAAGGGTCCCTGACTGGCCGTCCACAAGTGTTCAGAGCACCATAGAAGGACTGGGGAACCAGAGGCAGGGCTGCATATGATTAAGAGCAATGTTCGAAGATGCCTGTCTTCCTTTTTTTTAAGTTAAATCTACTTAACAGACCTCTGTGTGCCGGCATTTGCTTAAGAAACAGATTAGTTTAGAACTGAACTAGTTTAGAATTAGTTTAGAATTAAAGAACACATGACCTCAGGGAGTTGGTAAATGTAGTAACCAAATCATCCTGACCCAGGTTGTCCATAGGGTTCTACCTGGAGAATCACTTGATCCAGGTCCGGAAGGGGTTTAAAAGGAGTGAGTCCTGGAAAAGGCGCTCTACACAGAGAATGCAGCATGAGGGAAGCGAGGTGTGGGAGAGCATGGGGGCTGAAGCTGCGGCTGAAGCTGAATGCAATTTGGTCCTGGTGATAGAGGTTTCATATTCATATTTCATATTCATAAAGGAAGTTTGAGGTTACACTGAAGGACTTTGTTAAGGCAAGGGATTCGTGCTTTATTTAGAAGATGGGAAGCCATTGTCAGGTTCCAGATGGGTCCTGATGATCTGTGTTTAGAGAATGGTCCCTAGTGATCGTACAAAGGTAGATTGACAGAGGAGCCAGCTAGGCTATTTCTAGAAGAAATGCTTCCGTAGTTGTAGAAACTAAGTGGTGGGAGGGGAGGTCATTAGATGGGGATGAGATTCAGAAAGGAAGCTTGCGTGTTAGGGGTTATCCCGTTGACTGTGTGGTGTTCAAGGTATTCCTGATGCAGATGCTCAGCATACATTGGAGACGTGGATGCGGACTTAAACAGACAGATGGGAGCTGGAGGGATGGAGCCCTCAGTGTATTAGTGAGAAGGAGACAAGTACCTTGAGGAATAGCCATACCTGGTCCAGAGGGTCCAGAGGCTCTGCTGTTCTGGGGGCAGCATTCTTGTCCAGCCTTGTTTCTCTCTGTTGGCATCTCTCCTTTCTCTCTTTCTACTTGTTGCTTTTCTCTAACACATACACACACCTACAGACATTCATACTCTACATCAGGGATCAGCGATTTTTTTTAAGGGCCAGGAGTAAATATTTTAGGTTTTGTTGGCTACATACTCTGCTCACGTATTTTTTTTTTTTTTTTGAAACCACCATTAAAAATGTAGAAATTACTGTTTGCTTCAGGGCCAAACACGTACAGGTTTTGGGCCAGATTTGGCCCATGGAGCTAGAATTTGTGGACTCTTGCTCTGAGGCACCCTCAGGAACTAATTCCATTAAAGCAACTGACACTGACCTTGGCGAGTATTCACACCAAGAGAAAAACAGGGTGGTAACTGAATGGAGCTTTTGTAGAGTAAATGATAAGTGCTCCCAGTCCTTCTTCCCCAAGGAGCACCTCCCTATCTTTACCTGGCAGACTCCACTTCGTCCTTCAGTCTGCACCAATATCATTTTCCTCTGCAAAACATGCCTCATTTCTGGTCTGAATTTGCAACCTTTTCTGAGTGTTCCCTTGGCACCTTGTACTTCTTGTATCATGACATTGATTGTCACTCTCTGATAATTGCCTGGTTGCTTCTCTGTATCACTGGCCAGGACTCTGAGCACCAAGTGGGCAGTGCATGCACTGCGTTTGTACCCTTGTATTCCCAGCAGGTAGCACAGGGTAGGCTCTGTGAATAAGTGAAGGAAGAGGGTGGATGAGAAGTAGAGAATGGCCCCATAGCCGTCAGACCCGGGCTCAGATGATGGCTCTATAATCATCAAATGTCTGGCCTTGGATAGGTGAGCTAACTTTTCGGTGCCTTGGCTCCTCTCCTGCACATAGAGGTAATAGGGGTACCTCTGGGAGAGATTGTCATGATGATTGATGAGTTCCTGCAGGTAAAGCACATAAAGCCTGTGTCATAATCCTGCCCTTTGGCTCTGTCTGCCAGGGTTTGAATTTCAGCTCCACTGTTTACTAGCTGTGTGATCTTTTTTTTTTTTTTAAGATTTTATTTATTTATTCATGACAGACACAGAGAGAGGCAGAGACACAGAGGGAGAAGCAGGCTCCCCGCAGGGAGCCCGAGGCGGGATTTGATCCCCAGATGCCCTGAGCCAAAGGCAGACATTGAACCGCTGAGTCACCCAGGCGTCCCTATCTGTGTGGTCTTGAGCAAGTTTCTTAACCTCTCTGTATCTCAGTTTCCTTTTTTGAAAAATGTGGCTGTTTGTTGCATCTAACTTAAAGGGTTATTATGGAGACTAAATGAGAAAGTAAATTTTAAATACTTAGAATAGTGGCTTGTTCCTTGTAGTTAATAAGCATTAACTACTTTTTTTTTTTTTTTAAGATTTTATTTACTTATTCATGAGAGACACACGGAGAGAGGCAGAGAGACAGGCAGAGAGAGAAGCAGGCTCCATGCTGGGAGCCCGATGTGGGACTCAATCCCGGGACTCCAGGATCAGGCCCTGGGCTGAAGGCAGGCGCTCAACCACTGAGCCACCCAGGCATTCCTAAGCATTAACTACTAATTAATGAAGTCTAACTTGAGTCTTAGCTATTAGTTTACTATCTTATTCTTTGTTCACTGACTACATAGTATACAGTTTATGAGTGCCTTCTGTATGCCACATCAGCAAAGTTGTAACTATGGTTTATTTTACCTTCATGATTTGATTATAAAAATCCTGGAGAAGCTTCTTCTTCTTCTTCTTCTTCTTCTTTTTTTTTTTTTTAAGATTTCATTTATTTATTCATGAGAGACACAGATAGAGAAGCAAAGACACAGGCAGAGGGATAAGCAGGCTCCCTGTGGGGAGCCTGATGGGGGACTTGATCCAAGGAGCCCAGGATTACACCCTGAGCCAAAGGCAGGCACTGAGCCAAAGCCAAGGATCAACCACTGAGCCACCCAGGTGCTCCCCTAGAGAAGCTTCTTTGATGCCCTGCTCTGCCTGTGTCATTCCTGATGGACTAAATGACTTTGAGTAAACCTCATCATATAATCTGTGCTTTATAAATGTTCTTGGGTAGCACCGTCCTTCTCTGAAATCTCTGCCCAAGAGCTAGGAGATGGTGATTCTATAAATGCCTGGGCCTCCTGGCATTGCTGGTTCCCTGTCTCCCAAAAGAAACAGATGAAATTGCCAGCTCGGAGCAGCCCAGCTCAGAGAGGTGTAACGAGGTCACCTATGGGAAAGAAATACGGGAACAAGAGTTCTTTCAATATCTAGGCTGCTGTTGTCATCATAAATGTCTAGAGTCTGTTCCTAAAAGTCAGGCTTTGTAATTAGATTAGTTTCAACTTAAATTCACTTAATGTGTGTTACTCACCATGTTTAAAGGTATTGTAGGGATCACTTGAACCAAATAATAATTATTCTTTTTACTTTTGCTGATTCCCTCTCATTTCCCATGTGAATGAATGCATCAGTACCACACAGCAAGCCTGCAGACAAAGTTGCCAGTTTGTTCAACACCCATAAGTTCAACTGGTAACCTTTTAAACCTTAAAATTTATACATTTAGTTCTTCTCTCTAACAGGACAGACAGTTTACAGAAGAATCAAGACCTGGAGTTTGAAAGAAATAGAGAACGATTTGAATTTTTAAAGGTATGAGCAGAGTTTGGTTTCACTGGTTGTTTCTTTATATATATGGGTACAGCACAAAGAGAGGTGCCGAGGAGATGGGCCACATAGAAATGCATCAGGTTTTAATAGTGTTCTTTCCATTCTCAATCCTAGTGGGGTTCCCAGGCTTTCCTCAACATGCGGATTATCCCTCCTGGCTCAGGAATCATCCACCAAGTGAATCTGGAGTATTTGGCAAGAGTGGTATTTGATCATGATGGCTATTATTACCCAGACAGCCTTGTTGGCACGGATTCGCACACTACCATGATTGATGGTTTGGGTGTCCTTGGTTGGGGTGAGTATTGTTCCAGGATCCTATTCTGTATATGCTATTTGTATATGTGTGTAGCTTGATTTACACTAATACTGTGACATCCCGGGAGCATGACTTTGTGTGATCACACATATCAAAGAGGTATTTTTGTGTTTTGTTTTTACTGCTCTATTTCCAGTGCCTAGAAAAGTACCTCATGCCTAGTAGGGACTCAAAAATAATGTGTGGAAGAATGAACTGGAATAAAGGTTAGGGACATTAGAATAAATGCAAATCACTGTAGCTGTTTGTTAAAAATGGAGACTCCCAAACCCCATTCTCCACTTGGTATTGAATCAAGGCGGTTTTGATACAGGTGTTCTGGGGACCACATTCTGAGAAATACTTGTTAAAAATTATGTAGAGGGAAACAGAGGAAAGATAACTATTCTTTATAGACCCCAGATCTAGGGGATCCCTGGGTGGCTCAGCAGTTTAGCACCTGCCATTGGCTCAGAGCGTGATCCTAGAGTCCCGGGATCAAGTCCCACATCAGGCTTCCTGCATGGAGCCTGCTTCTCCCTCTGCCTGTGTCTCTGCCTCTCTCTCTCTCTCTCTCACTCTCTCTCTCTCTCTCTCTCTCTCATGAATAAATAAATAAATAAAGTCTTTAAAAAAAAAAAAAAAGAACCCAGATCTATGCTAGTAAAACCTTGTAACGGGGTTGAATTCCATAGTGAAGCACACTGAAAGCATCCTTGTGTCATGCTGGCTTTGCAGGAGTGGGTGGTATCGAAGCAGAAGCGGTCATGCTGGGTCAGCCAATCAGCATGGTGCTCCCCCAGGTGATCGGCTACAGGCTCTTGGGAAATCCCCACCCTCTGGTAACGTCCACGGACATCGTGCTCACCATTACCAAGGTAATGATATGCTGCCTCTCCCGTGGTCTCGAACAGACAGTGACAGGGAGGAAGTGGACGATGTTAGGAAACAGTATGTTGATGATTTTTAAAAAGAGATGAGATAAAGGGACAGTTCTGTGGCTATGTGTTAGACAGTTATGTTCATTTTACTCTTCTGTGACTACATGGATCCTTTACTTTAAAAAAAATATATTTTGAAAGTGTGACAGAGTTCAAATACACAGAAGTTAAAATGACATTCGTAGGCGCCACCACCTAGATTTAACAGATGGTAACATTTTGCCGTATTTGCTTCAGAGCTCTCCATGTATGTATATTTTTTAAGAAATAAAATGAAATATTTATGGCCTAAGCCATCCTCCGCATTCCTAGAGATAACCACTTTCCCAAGGTGGTATGACTTATTCCCAGGCATGTGTTTATACTTTGACTACATTTTTCCACATGAGTCTCCCTTATGTGTAAATAACAAGCTGCTTCTGTGAATTTAATGTCTGACTTTCTTAATTCCCTTCTCTGTATTCAAAGTTATATTATTGTAACAGATGTTTCTCCAAGCTGGAAATAGTGTTTTTTTTTCTTTTTCTTTAGCTTTTGCAAAATAATCTTTTTTTGTGATTTGCTTTGCAAAAAGGAGAGCCATTTCATTTTGCAAGATTATTAGAAAAGTGAAATTATTCTGTTATCACAAACATTCTTCTATTATCACATATCTTTTCTGGTTATATATTTAGGAGGCTTGGAGTGTTAGGGATAGCTACTGTCCTGTTAAAGGCCAAAAATGTTTCTCTTTGATTTGATCTTTATGGACTTTGGAATTGCATTTATTGGAATATTGTAACTTATTGTAGATGTCTGTGCATTGATCCTCACATGTAGAATAATGTAGGACTTGCCCATAGAATTTAGCAGAAGCCCACATAACCTCAAGAGCCCATCCTTCTGATTGTCCACATGGTTCATGAAACTGGCTTCATGCAGGGCCGCATCAGCCACCAATGCCTCAGCCTTGGCAGATGGCATGTCTGGAAAAGAGATGTGAACCAGACTGGCTGGATCTTTTGGTTACATTTCATTTGCACTTGTGTTCAGGAAATTTGTTCATTATAACCCTTGAAAATAAGCCTCTTATTTACTTAACTAGTGCAAGATCATTCGAGTTGGAAAGAATTTATTTAATTTTTAGCACTTCCAGTAACTCATTAGAGAGGAAAAAGTCCTTCTCATTTTGGAAAACTTTTATCAATGTTACTTGTGTTTAGGGCATTACTTTCTCTTTTTCTTTTCTTTTTGGTAATAACTGTTTTGATATAATTTTAGATTTACACGAGAGTTGATGTAAATACAGGTAATACAGAGAATCCCTGTTACCTTTCTCCCAACTTTCCCAAATGTTAACATCTCACATAACCATGGTACATTAATCAAAATGAAGAACGCTGGTATGACACTAAACTAGAAACTTAGCCAGTTTTTTCAGTAATGACCCTTTTCTGTTCCAAGATCCAATCCAAGATTCTGGATGGTATTTAATTAACAGAATTTTTTAAATTTTATTTTTCAAAGTAATCAAAACTATGCTGGGCCAATTTATTTTCTATGTTTACTCACCAGGCTAATTTATAAGAATGACAAAGTGCATTTTAAATATAGGTTATGGAGTCTCAAGGTTTTCTCTTGTTCTTCTCAGCACCTGCGCCAGGTGGGGGTAGTAGGCAAGTTTGTGGAGTTTTTTGGGCCAGGAGTAGCCCAGTTGTCCATTGCTGACCGCGCCACCATTGCGAACATGTGTCCTGAGTATGGAGCGACCGCTGCATTTTTCCCAGTCGATGAAGTTAGCATCAAATACCTGCTACAGACGGGTAAGTGTGCAGCCCTGTGCGAGCAGAACGCCCTGTGCAAAGTGCATAGAGCTCTGAGGATCCAAGCGCTGCCTTCCGCCTCTGCCCCTTGGAGGATACAGGGTCACATTCACAGTTTTTTAGGGTTTTTTTTTTTTCTTTTCTCTATGGAGTCAAAATGATTATTGGGATTTCACAAGATATGACATAGACACAACGGTTTGGCCAGTAGAAAGAGCTTAGGTGTTCTGGAAGCTTAGATATTTGTACTGGTCATCTACTTGTAGTTATTTGACAGGAAGCAAGCGATCCTAGTAATTAAGGTGTGCTTTGACAATTAACTAAGCCTGAGATCCCCTGAATGAAGGATGATGACCAAAAGGGGAGAGGGGGAGTATTAACAGGTAGGACCAGAATCTTCTTGAGAAGAGCCCAGATTGGTTGACAAACCCCTAAAAAACAGCATCAGCCAGAGTCAGAATGTGAGACTGGAAGTTGAAATACCAGCAGAGCTTTTGTTGTTTGTGTGAATGCAATGCACCTTACTTGTATAACTGCTAGTGGAGGCATTAGTTTTCATCACGAAATCCTAATGTCTGTTACTGGTTATTTCTTAAAATGTCCATTTAGGTCGTGATGAAGACAAAGTAAAGCGGATGAAAAAGTACCTTCAAGCTGTCGGAATGTTTCGGGATTTCAGTGACCCTTCTCAAGACCCAGACTTTGCCCAGGTACGAGAGAGCGTGCATTTCCTCTTCCTTGAGGCTCTGAGCCTCATCGTGTGTGTGTCTTCCGAGGGGGTGAACTTGTAGGAAATTAGTCACTGCCAAGTCATCACAGAACAATAAGGTTTTAAGAGACTGAAACCATCAAAAAGATAAGGAATTATAAATGTAAAATAACATCTTCCTTTCCTCCTGGCCATTAGGCTGAGTGTGCCCCCTTTCGGACCTGCTAGTGTGGAAGACCTTTGAAGAAGGACTTCACCAGAGGGAGGAGGGCTGCTTGAAGGCTAATCTCCTCAGGGTAGCTGGAAGAGAAATGGAGGTTAAGCAGAGCAATTCATTCTGGTTTTTCCAGTGACTTACCTTCATTTCTGGGGGGCAAACTGATGCCACATTTTTCCTGACAGGCAAGCCTGGAGGGGGTAACCTAGATGTGAGACCCTGGTTTTTTTTTCACAGTCCACCAAGGGAAGGGAATAGGCAGTGAGACCCAGGCCCGTTTCCTGGCATCGGTGACTAAATAGTGGCATCCTACCAAATCATTTTAGCAAAAAGTATGGTGGTTTATGTATCATAGCAGAAAACCCGTCTCAAACTCCGTGTAGCATTAAAAAGGCTGTATCAGCTGCTTTGCAAAGAGGGATGCATGGAAAATGCTGGCCAGCAGCTAGGTCCCCACCCTGATCTCTCCAAGAGGTGACAGAACTTCCTGCCTGTCCCACACCACTGATGTGCCCATCCTGGTCTTTGGAAGTTCATTCCTTAAGTATTAAAAAGGACATTGACTCCTTGTGTATGGATGTGGTGGTTTAGTTTGTCTTTGTGGGTGTGGTATCGCTGGCTCCCTGGTACCACTTGCGTCTTTTCTCGGAGAGTATGCTGTCCGTTCCTGAGCTCCTTATCTTTTGGGTGGACAGGTGGTGGAACTAAATCTGAGAACAGTCGTGCCTTGCTGCAGTGGACCAAAGAGGCCTCAGGACAAAGTAGCCGTGGCCGACATGAAAAAGGACTTTGAGAGCTGCCTTGGAGCCAAGGTAGGGGCCGGGGAGAGGCAGGTGGAAGCCCTCCCCGACCTGGCCCCACACCCCGTTCCGTAGAGCCCATACTTCTTTTCACCCTCTGATGAGGAAGCTTCCCAGAGCCTGATGCTGAGGGCATTTCCTCTCCATCCTGAAGTCCTTTGAGCCTCTCCCGTTAGCCAAGGGCCACACAGCTTCCTTGAGCACTTTACCATCTTTGAACACAGCTCAGCCCGCCTCTGTGAAAGCAAACCCACCCTTCATGTGACTCTTGTCACATGGTTCACTTGACTTGCCCTAGCTCTTCTGGCCAGTGTACTTTTGTTCACGCCTCACCTCCATCCACCTGCGTGTCTCCTCCCCTTCCCAGCATGTCCGAATCTCTTGGCCCCTCCAGAGCATGGGCTCACATCTCATGGCAGAAAACCATCCATCCCTCATTTGAACTTTCATGGCCCTTGGTCTGGAACCCTTTGATGGCATCCATGTTCTTAAACTTACATTGCTGGTCCTTCATTTTATTTGCATGTCTGATTTCCCTTATTAGACCGTATGTTTGAGTATAGGATTTGTGTCAGAATCACCTTTGTACCCACAAAGTACCTAGCATGACATCTTGTATGCAGTAGATTTTCAATGAACATTTCCCCAGGTGATGATTAAGATTATGTGATGAGTTTTATCCTTGGGCCACTAGCATGACACCAAATGTTCAGCTGTACTTTATTTGCCTCATCGATCATAACTCGTTGAATCTGACCAAAAATGGCACATTTTTCTAAATTTCCCTCATGTTAGAATCTGTGGCCATGGTTTACATTCATGAAACTCCACAATAATGTCATCGGATTTAATTAGACTAACTTGGAACTAAATTTGTAGTTTTAGCATTTTCGAGATGAGAGACAAGTAATTGTTAATAGGACTTCAAAACAGAGTAAGATTCAGAAATGATGACTGCTTTTTATAAAGATTTAAAAACAATAAAGAGGACTTTAATTTTTCTGTAGCATTTCAGAGTTCAGATATTTATATCTCAGCCAGTGACTTTTGTTAAAAATTGGCTTTTAAAATTATAGTTACCAAGGTATTTATTTTTCTTCTAAAGTGAGAACATTTCACTGTGTGTGTATGTGTGTGTGTGTGTGTGTGTTTGTGTATGCGGGTATATATATATACAATTTTTTTTTCTTCCCATAGCAAGGGTTTAAAGGATTCCAGGTTGCTCTGGACCATCATAATGACCATAAGACGTTTATCTATAATAATAGTGAATTCACCCTTACTCATGGTTCTGTGGTCATCGCTGCCATTACTAGCTGCACAAACACCAGTAATCCATCTGTGATGTTAGGAGCAGGTGAGTGCATGTGAATCCCTCCCCACAATCATGTGGACACATGGGTAGAAGTCTTTCAAGACACAACCCTGGGGTTTCCCTGAGTTGTACGTGTAGTTCCCTGAACCTTGTCTTTCCCAAATGCAGAGATTATTGGCCCAGTAGTATTTATATAATAAGTAGCATCCAAAACAAAGTATTTAAAGTAGAATCTATAATGCATACCAGTCCTTAGAATTAACAGAAAATAAGTAGAAGAAAAAAAAAGATGACTTTCTGGTAAAGTTTAGAATCTTGTGTCAGACTCTAGAAGAAAAAAACTGTTTTCATATCACAGATTGATTAGCCTCTAAAAAACCCTCAATAGGCCTTTTTGTACTGCGGATTTCAGTCTGTCTTAGAAGTATTGTCAGGTGCATCTAAATTAGGGCACAGGTCACCAGTTGATAAAACTTCCTCAGATGTTATGCAATTCTGGGCAAGTAGTTAATATTTACATACGGAGTTTTATTAATAGAAGAGTGTTTAGTGTCCACTTTTTTTTTTTTTTTTATCATTCCCAAGGAACTCTTGGGAGTTCCAAAGATCATCATCAGAGAGTTCTTTTTTTATAAAGTGCACGAGTACATAGGGAAAACCTTCTTTAAAAAAAAAAAAATATTTTATTTATTTATTCATGAGAGACACACAGAGAGAGAAAGGCAGAGACACAGGCAGAGGGAGAAGCAGGCTCTATGCAGGGAGCCCAACACAAGACTCGATCCCAGGACTCCAGGATCAGGTCCCGGGCCAAGGGCCAAAGGCGGCGCTAAACCTCTGAGCCACCCAGGCTGCCCTGGGAAAACCTTTGTCCAAGAACTCATCTGTTGATACCTAAGCTTTTCTTATCTGGAGCAAATGAGTTTCCTTAAGACAAGTCACCAGCTTATCTATAGCTTTTTGTGCCTTTTTATCCACCCCCCCCCCCCCCCGCCATTTCTTTCCAAATTCTATGATACATCCTAAGAGAGCACCCATTGTCTCTGTAGTGGCCTCTGTATTTGCTAAAATTCCAGTAGCCTGGGGCCCGTAATTTTCTACTTTAAAAAAATACCCAGGGACAAGATTTTTACTCTAGACTGTGTACTCCTTACCAGCCAGCACACAATTCATATCCTTTAAGAAAGGGCCCAACCAATTAAAATTTTCATCCAAATAAAACGTAATTGGAAAGATTGTTTTTCCCTCCAACATTTAAAATTTACTCTGTTAGCACATTGCCAAGACCTGGACCTCCTGACTGAGGCATGACAGTGACATTGTTTGTCATTTGGGTCACCGAGGACTGCTGTACATCAAAAAGGGTACAGTTTACGTAGCTAAAATTGACCACTGTCTGTCTTGCTCGGGATGATAGGAATTGTCACCATGAGGAGAAATCTTTTCTGTCACTTTTCATTACACCACATTTTACCAAAGAATTAGGTCACCCCACTCAGGAAGGTCCTGGGATGCAACGTGTGGAGTAAAGCTTGCTTGCTATGGGAACTTGAACTCTGAATTCCCTGACTTCTGTGCAATTAAAACCCCAAACTTAATGTTGCATTAGCGTGGATTTTCCATAGCAAGTTACAAATGGAAGGTTCTATGTTTCATATATATTTTTCAAACATATGTTACTGCCTATGTTTCTGATTAAAAGCTCATCCCAAACAAACAAACAAAAACTTACTTTGTAACATATTCCTAAATGTTTTTAGGTTTATCTCTTTAAAAAAAAAAAAAAGGCCTCTCTCTTTTCGTTCCCATGACTAATTTTGAGTTTACCGTGTTCGCATAGATGACTTTGGGCCAATGAGCTTTTGATTTCTGCGAGGCGACAGAAAGAGCAGAAAGCACCATTGGGGCTTTGTCACATCGGGGTAGGAGATGCAGAATGAAGGGGCAGGCTCTTTCCTGAGCTATCCTGGCACCTAGAGGGGCAGCCACCTCACATTGTCAGTGTTTACATTGCACAGGGTTGTTAGCAAAGAAAGCTGTGAATGCTGGCCTCACGGTGAAGCCTTACATCAAAACTAGCCTGTCTCCTGGAAGTGGGGTGGTCACCTACTACCTGCGAGAAAGCGGAGTCATGCCGTATCTGTCCCAGCTTGGGTGAGGAAGAATTTTCTTTTACACCATTGCTTTTGTTGTATTTTATCCCAGATGTCTCTTACTGTATCACCTTGTAGCATGTGTCAGCTTGTCTAATTAGTCTTGGTATCTAAATAGTCTTGTCAGACAGTGAGCAGCACTTACATTTCAACAGAGTAGAGGCCTCCCATTGACGGTTGTGCTGGTTGTTCATCATACCACGGTGCCCTTGAAGGGCAAAGCAGGGCTGAAGCCAAGCCTGCGCTTTGGTGTGGCGCTGCACCTTCTAGAGGAAGGGGTGCCTTTCCTCAATTGACAGAGGTGTGCTGTGGGCTAGCATTGGCTCAAAAGCCGAGAGTCTGCTCTTTGGTATGAAAATAATTACCATGGCTAAGAATGTTCTGATTCCTTGGCATAAACGAGTCATTTGTTACCAAATGCAATTCCTGCAGTTTCCCCACTACTCCTAATTTGGTTGAGAAAGATTTTACTCATTTGTCTCCTAAAAGTCAGTGATACAATGGGATGATACAATCAAAGTAGTGAATAGAAAAAATAAATGGCATATGTGATTTCAGCTTTCGGAAAGTCTAGATCATTCAGTTAGGCTCTTTTTTACACTTTACTCAAAAAGGACTCTAATTGAATGATCTAGAATGGACGAAGAGTATGTTAAAATGCTCCACCTGGCTGGCTCAGTTGGTAGAACATGCGGTTCTTGACCTTGGGGTTGTGGGTTCAAGCCCCCATGTTGGGGAGTAGATTGTACTTAAAATTAAAAAAATATATATCTAAAATGCTCCTAAGAATGAAAGCTTTATTGAAACAGTACTAAACTTATTCCCCACACTGCTGTTCTCTTTAATTCAGTGGTCTCTAGAGCTGTCACCAGCAGAGGGGCTCGCTGAGCGTCACTTTCCGTCTGTGCTTCTCTCTCTGCGTCTAGGTTTGATGTGGTGGGCTACGGTTGCATGACCTGCATTGGCAACAGTGGGCCCTTACCCGAAGCTGTGGTGGAAGCCATCACGCAGGTAATTGCAGAGGAGCCCGGAGGGCTTCAGAGCTGTTGTCTCTTTTCACACAATGTGTGACCGAAATGCTGGTCATCTCCAGAAGGTCCAGAGAAGCAGGGGTTGTGTTTAGATGTATGGTCTTTGGAGGCAAGCTGACTGGCTATCTACCTTGTGCCTCAGTTTTCCCAACTGTAAATTGGAGATGATAGTAGTCCCTGTTTCACAGAGTTGGAGCATGGAGATGATAATGGACATAAAAGACTTTGAGGAGTGCCTGGCACACGAGTGCTCAGCCAGTGCTGGTTTTCATGACAGACAGCTCCACAACTATTTGTTCTTGGTCATCTGAAACTGGCTCAAAGTCAGACATGTCTCCATGCAAACAATGCAATCGAAACTACATTGCACTGGTTTGATTTTTGTTCCATAAGTCCTGTAGCATTGAGAAACAGTATTTGGGTTGCTTCGCGTGAATTACAGAATTAACATAGGTCTGTGTGGCTTCCTGTAGCTTTCAGCTGTTTGGACATTTCCTTCTATCCTCAGGCCCCAGGCAGCCAAGTAACCAGGATGCTGCCTTCTGGCCCACCTGGGATTTCCTCGGGAGCAGAAACATGTCTCTGTCCTTTCACTCCGTGTCTCCCCAGGGACACCCGTGCATGCTTTTCTCCCTGCAGGCAGAGGACCAGGTGCAAGCCATGTTAAGGAGCTCTATCCCCAGTGACGGGAGAGTTTAGCAGGTGGCATAAGATGAGAAGCCTCGGCAGCTCCTTCTCTGGGTGACCTGATTTTTCTGTTGCCGGCCACAGGGAGACCTTGTAGCTGTTGGAGTACTGTCTGGGAACAGGAATTTCGAAGGTCGAGTCCACCCCAACACCCGGGCCAACTATCTAGCCTCCCCGCCCTTAGTGATAGCGTACGCGATCGCTGGCACCGTCAGGATCGACTTTGAGAAGGAACCACTGGGTAAGGTTGCGTTTGTGCAGCTATGCTTGTTTGTTTGTTTTTTTTTCCAGTGAATTTGAAGATATCACTGGAGTAAAGCAGAACTAAGATAGAACTAACAAAGATAAGGAGAGTCTGTTCTTTTCTCTCCCAAACATGACGAAGACGGAACTGCAATAGTCAAGAATCCACCGAAGGATAGGGGACAAGGAAAGGAAGTAAATCCAACAAGTCATAGAGAGCCTGCTATCCTGGCACCTCCCCCAGTTCTTCTCTGTCTGGCTCCTGCTTCTGTCAAATGATAGGCACTATCTTAACGTAGCCGCTGTAGGAACTCATCAACTTCCCCAAAGCCAGAGAAATGATGCTCTGTTTCCTTTCCTCTGGAGGTCTTGTGTCCTCCTCGCTCCATTCCGAGTAGATTCAATAATATGAAAACAGTGCCCCTTAAATTTACTTTCAGGAAATCACAACTAGAGTTCTAGTTGATCCTCGTTCTATATGGATTCGATATTGGCACATTTGTCTGTTCACTAAGATGTATTTTAACCTCCAAATCAATACTGGTCATGCCTCCACGGTCATTTACAGCCCCGCACAGAGGGGTGAATGCTGTTTTTCTACATTTTTGTGGTTTGGGTGATTTCACTTTTTTAAATAGCCCCCAGGCATAGTGCCGAAATCCTGTCTAGTACGCATAAGCCCAAGAAGGCTGTGTGGTGTGCCCCTGGGAGGCCGACTTTGTTCACGCCTGAATTGAGTGCTGTTGGCTGTGACTTCAGTATTAACTCATCCACAAGATGTATTAGATAAGGCGTCTTTAAGCAGAAGCACACATAAAGCAAGATCGTGTATTGATCAGTTGCCGAAAACGTGACGAGGGGCTCTCAGGAGCCTAAGTCATGCTCCCTTGCGCCAGCAATTCAGGCTCCTCTACATAGCACTTGCGTGGACTTTACAGAACATTACTACCACAGAGAACGGGATCTGGCTGGATGTGATCATGAAAAGGAATATTAAATGCAGTTTTTCTCACTAATAAACTTGTTTTCCCCAGGGGTCAATGCAAAGGGACAACAGGTATTTCTGAAAGACATCTGGCCAACGAGAGATGAGATCCAGGCGGTGGAGCGTCAGTACGTGATCCCTGGCATGTTTAGGGAGGTCTACCAGAAGATAGAGGTGAGTCCCCGCCCACTCTGCCTTCCTGCGTCCAGGGGACAGCCATTGCTTTGTGGCATGTCGGAGACCCTGACGCTGATGGGGGTGGAAACTGAAGAAAGTAGCATTTCTTTCTTTAGATAGCCTAGAACGTGGTTCTGTCATTTTCTTCTGTGATTTATATTTTTGCATACCCCACACTCCCCAAATGTTCCCAGATTTGGCAGCAGCCTCAAGAAGAGAGGCCTCAGCTTGTGTATGATTCGTAGCCAGCTTGCCATTACCCCTCCCGCCTCAGACACCCTGGGTATCGTGTCAGTTGTGGTGGAGGATTCCCCGATGTCACCATAGAGTGTCACTGAGGTAGAGTTAATTGGTTGAATGTGCCTTTCAGAATGATGTGGAGGCTAAAAAAAATTTAAAAAGCCAGTCAGGAAAAAGCACCAAACTACTGAAATAAATAAAATATGCATTTGACAAGTAGAAAATATGTGAAGCTCAGTATTGTTTTCTGAGACCCTTGGATGTTATTTTTTTTCTTTGCTTTCTGTGTTAGGTAGACCTTAGGAATGCTGACTGGGGCACTTGGGTTTGAAATAAGAAAGCAGACTGTCTGGGGAAGAGGGTCACGCACTGTGCCCTCCCACAAGTTGCTCATCGGAAGTGGTATGAGCAAGTTTGCTGAGCATTGGGTTAAATGCATTTCTCCAAAGGTGGAGGTCATGGCCCCGTGAAGACAGTTCAAGCTGCCTTTAACACATAGCAGCTGTATTAAAGCTGTCCATGTGACAGTGTCCATGTGACCTGGTCATCTACTTCCCCAAATCTTCAGAAAGTAAATCATTTCCCCTTTGGTACAATCTGGATTATTATTTCATAAGTTACATTATGTATATGGATTAGTTATCTATTGCTGTACAACAAATTATCCCAAAACTTAGAAACAGCATTTATTATCTCATGGTTTCTGTGGATCAGAAACCCATGTGTGGCTTAGCTGGGTGCCTCTGCCTTCACAAGGCTCCAGCAAAGATGTCCTTTGGTGCCGCAGCTCATCTGAAGGCTCATCTGGGGGAAGATCCACTTCCATGGCCACTCACGCTGTTGTTGGCAGGACAGTGTGTCTCACAGGCTGTCAGACAGAGGGCCTCGGTCCCCTGCTGACAGTTAGCTGGAGGCTTCCCTCATTGCCTTGCTGCGGGGCGGGGGGGGGGGGGGGTCTCTTCACAGCTCACAGCATGGTACTGGCTTCCATCAGAGCAAGCAGGAAAGGGTGAAAGAGACGGAAGGCAGTTTCTTCATAACCTAATCTTGGAAATTAATCACTAAGTTCAGCCCCCGCTTAGCAGGAGGCAACTACTTAAGGGTGTGAATGCCAGGAAGGTGGGGGGCAGGTCTGTGGGGCCATCTTGGAGTCTGCCTATCATGGTGCACATGTATTTTTAAGTCATTTGGCATGACATTGTCTTAGTATAAAGAAGGAACTCTGACCTGTGACTAGAATAAGAACTGTTTTGGGTTTTGTTTCATTGAAGTATAGTTGGCACACAGTGTTACATTGGTTTCGGGTGTACAGCATCATGATCGGACAACTCTGCACTACCCAGTGTAGCTGCCGTCTGTCACCATTTGACACTATTACGATACCATTGACTGAATTTCCTGTGCTGTACTTTCATCCCCATAACTTATTCACTCTATAGCTAGAAACCTGTACCTCCCCCTCCTCTGTACCCTTTATTGCCCATCCTCGCACCTCCCCTCCCCTCTGGTAACCCATGAGTTAGTTCTCTGTGTTTATGGATCTGTTTCTGCTTTGTTCGTTTGTTTTGTTTTTCAGATTCCACCTATCAGTGAAATCATACTTGTCTTTCTCTATTTCGCTTGGCATACCTAGAGGGTATCATGCAAAGAATGGTTTTTATCGTACTCTTAGAATATATAGTTTCTGCTTGCATGTTAAAGTTTCCTTAGAGGGATGCCTGGGTGGCTCAGTAGTTAAGTGTTTGCCTTCAGCTCAGGGTGTGATCCTGGAGTCCCGGAATTGAGTCCCACATCGAGCTCCCTGAATGGAGCCTGCTTCTCCCCCTGCCTGTGTGTCTGTCTCTCTCTCTGTATCTCTCATGAGTAAATAAATAAAAATCTTTAAAAAAAAAAAAAGCTTTCTTTAGAATGGAATGTGATTAGATTTGCTTATCTTTCTTTTATCTTTTTTTTGTAAGACCGTGAATGAAAGCTGGAATGCCTTAGCAGCCCCATCAGATAAGCTATATTGCTGGAATCCCAAATCTACATACATTAAGTCACCGCCATTCTTTGAAAACTTGGTATGACTTTTTTATTTTTAACAAAATAAATTTCTCAAAAGCTTTCTTTCCTTATGAAGTCTACTTCATTACTCTTTGCCCTTGCTTTGACTATGCATTCCATTGAACCTTTGCAAAGCCGAGCAGATGATCCCGGGGAGAGCTCTGAGAAGCTGGGGTATTTGGCTCTGTGTGCAGGGTGAGGCTGCGCAGGGACGCCCTGGCGATCCCAAACTGCCTGGACGTAGACCCAGAAAAATCTGAGGGACAGACTGTTCCAGGGAAACATCCCCAGGCCTGCTGTATTTAAACTTTCTACTCAAAAAACCAGGAAGATCTTCCCTATAACTGATGATCAAGGAGTCCGTGCTCCCTTGGATGTGCCCTTGGGTGTAAAGAGGAGGGGAGTAGAAGTCAAGGTTCTAGTTGGCCTCGGCATCGGAGTTCCGTGGATGTGGAGACAGGGAGGGCCATTTGCAACTGCATCCCTCTGCTTTTGAGGGAATATTGGTCCCAGTATTTTGCCTCCATTTGGGGGTTAGGGGGATGTGAGTGTTTTGACCAAATTCACCTCACTTTTCTAAGCACCCCTAATAAAATGAAAAAGCCTAGAATTTTCTGTGCATCAATGAAGGGCTGTCGTCCAGTTCGGGTCCCAGGAACAGGTAGAGAACATTGAGACTCCCCTGGTGACTTGCTGGAGAAAAGCTGAGCCGGCACTGACCTGCTGTGTTCTTTTCTAGACTCTGGCTGTCCAGCCCCCTAAATCCATAGTGGGTGCCTACGTGCTGCTCAATTTGGGGGACTCAGTAACAACTGACCACATCTCTCCAGCCGGAAATATCGCAAGGAACAGCCCCGCTGCTCGCTACTTAACTAACAGAGGGTGAGTGTGAGTGACGGAGAAAGACTAAGGCAACTGGAGTGAACGAGGCCGGCCAGTATTTCTCTTCTCATCTGTTCTCTTTTGACTCAGACTGTGGTTTTTCACCGAACCCCGAGGCTTGATAACCAGTCACCCTTTCTGTTTGCTGCTACCCAGCCTCCTTGGGAGATTCCATCCAGGAAACTGCAGCAGAGGGAAGGGCCCTTCCTTCTGAGCAGGGGCCCCGGGAGAACTCGCTGTGGGCCCCGCCCCCAGGGTGCTAACGAGAGAGTCCAGGCTCTGCTCTCTAACGTCCCGCCATCAGTGGGGGGTGCCCCCTGCCATGTCCCCCACGCTGTTCGCTGCCGCTTCCTGGGTGTGACACATAGTTACTGCGGATTTGCCACCGACAGATCCATTTACCGATCCTTCAGTCATAGAGTGACCTGAACGGGTACTATACCAGTATTATCTAGTGTCCTCTAATACCCCCACAGTGACGAGTCCATCCCAGATCTGACTTTCCATGAAAATCATCTGGGGAGATATAAATTCCTGGCTCCTGTCTGCACCTCCTGAGTCAGCGTCCCCAGGGATGGGACCCAGAGCGAATCTAAGAACAGAATCCAGCATCTTTTTCATTCTTTCTTTCCTTCTCTTTATTTTTTCTTTCTTTCTTCCTTTATTTAATTTTATTTTTTTCTTTTCTTTGTCAGTGGGAGGAAAACTGCCTTGGCCACATCTCACTTAACCCAGCAGCTAACCTGTTTACCTCACAGCTCCGCATCTCCTGAGCTCTGCTCAGCCCCCTGCCCCCACCCCTCACCCACCCCACCTTGGCCCATTCCAAGCAGGAGAGTTAGTCACATTCAAAGCAGGAGGAGTCCACGTTCCCCAGAGAAATGAGTGCTGTAAGTTTCAGAAGCTAGCCCACCTCTAGAGCAGATGATGCACAGGAGTCGAACTCGAGATTTTTTTTTTTTTTTACATGGGGCAGCTACTCTGTTAAACATGTGAGAATTTCTATACACAGATGCATACAGTAAGATTCTAAAGGGGTGTGACTATACTTTGAATGGGAGAGGGGTATTCGAGAGGGGTCAGCGAATCTCTGCTCTTCCCCTCACCCACTCTGCTGTGGCTACCCTAATGGCTACTTTGTTTATCGAATGTTCCAGGCAAGGCCAAATACCCTTCTGCCTGACAGCCTTTGCTTGAGCTGGCTGTTCGTTCCTCTTGGATGCTCTTCCCGAAAATATCTGTCTAACTAACTCCTTTGCCAGTTCAACTCTTCTCCATGAGGTCACCTGCACCATACTGCTCTTCTCGCCTTGATCTACTTTTTTTTCCCTCCCCAGTTATTAACCACAGTCTGGTAACACTTATGTAGGATGCTCATTTTTTAATTATGATTATTTCTTTTGTCTCCACCATTTAAAATGTAAGCCCTGCCAAGGCAGAGATCTTAATCTGTTTTGTTCCATGATCTATCTCAAACCCCTAGAACAGTTCTTGGCACATAGCAGGCTCAATAAATAGTTGTTGAATGAATGAATGAATGATTGGGAGAAGAGGATTCACCAACAAACAGGGAAATTGAGGATGAGGCTGGAGAAAGAAACTAAGGAAGCAAGCAGTGATGAATACTTTTTTTGATTGGTGATTGTTGACACTTTTGAGACATGGACTCTTTAGGGAATTGAATGGAAAAAAAAAAATCATACCTCCCCAGGAAAATGCACATATTCCCAACATTCTGGATACAATTTCAGGAGTTTGTAGACACGCTCACCTGGTCCTAAAGCCCATTCACAGACTCTCTCAATCTCCATATCACATCTCCCCACAAGATCAGATTAACACTCACAGATACTTCCTAGCATTTTAAGAAACAGCCCAGTGAGATGATGGCAGTGTTAATTGTAAGTTGTTTCTGCCATCACAGAGTATCCTTTGACTCTGGCCCATAGACAGGATTTTTCTTTGATTTCAGGACCAGGAAGAGCTCTTCTGCCTCTTTGGCGCTGTTCTGATTTTTATTTTATGAAAATTGTAAATCATGTTACCTGTCATGTGTCTTGCCCGATACATTGAGTTCTTGATAACTTGAGGACAAATTTATACCTCCTTCCAGTTAGTTTACAGAATGTATTTTATGTTTCCTTCATTCTTGGCTCCACCTGACTGGCCCACACTGACTCCTCTTTGTTTCCTTTTTCTTACCCATGTTTAATATTTTATCTTTTTGTGAGATTTTCCAGGCTACTCTAGTGAATCAGGAAAATAAATACTCATTCGAGTTCCTCCTGGTTTTTCTACACAGATTTATAAGACTGTTGTTGACCCTGGGAAAATGTTGACTTCCCCGTTCCACTACCCCACCTCTACCTCTGACTCTCCCTCAGCAGAAGATTCAGGAACAGCTTTTCTGCCTTGGAGAGCAATGCTTAGTAAACTTAGAGAGATATCTAGGTTGTGGTTTTTTTCCTCTTTTCTTGATGGAAGGTAAGTTTTCCTTTGTTCCGGTCACTAACCTAGCTCCTCTCTCGCTTGCATTATTAGCTTGACTCCACGAGAATTCAATTCCTACGGCTCCCGCCGAGGTAATGATGCCATCATGGCACGGGGGACATTCGCCAACATTCGCTTATTAAACAAATTTTTGAACAAGCAGGCACCACAGACTATACATCTGCCTTCTGGAGAAATTGTGAGTACTGTGTCTTTATCAGCCTCTGGGTGGTTGGGTATTTACACGCTCACTTGCCTTTGGGTCTCATTTTTTCTTCACAGCCCCATGCTATCTCTTGTGTCCAAGAGAGTTCATCACTGATAGAGGTGCCCTTTAAACTAAAACTTTCTCTTCCTGCTTAGAGATTCTACTTTATGGTCTAACTAAGCCTCGTTTCCTGGGAGTTGAATTTACAAAGCCTCTGGGTGAAATTTCATCAGTTCAGAGTATTTGAGGGGGAGCTTCCAGGTTAAGATAGAGGCTATTTATCAACAGGTGCTATTATTGTATGACTTTATTAGCATTTAATTGAATTCCCTGTCCCAGTAGGAAAAGAAGGAATGTAGAGGCCCGTGGAAGCCTGCTTGGGTCCTGATGGGTGCCATCTGGAGTTGGCCTGTTCCATCTGGAGTTGTTCATTCCCAGAGGGGAGGCATGTGAGAGGCGGGGAGAGCCTGTACTTTGAGTCAGACATCCCTGCTCTGGAGCCTTCAGCAAGTTAATTCCCTCTCTGAGCCTCAGTTTTCTGACCTATGAAGTAGAATATCTACCTTGTAAGGTTCTGAGGCTTAAGCTTAAATGGAATGATGTGTAGAACATGGAGCAGGGTGTCTGACGCATGTGGTAGTCTTCGGCATCGCTTCCCTTTCCAGCAGATGCCGTAAAGCTGCTTGAGAACTGTTTAAGTTACCTGAGAAATAACACTCCTGACTCACTTAAAAATAATAATAGCTAGTATTTCTATGGAACTTACTATACCCCAGGCACTGTTCGAAGCTCTTTGCATGTATTGACTTATCTAATCCTCATAACACCGTTTGAGGTAGGTGCCACAATTGTTCATCTTTTGAGATAATAAAAATAGAGATGAAAACCCAGGGAGTCTGGGGGTACCTGGGTGGCTCGGTTGGTGGAGTGTCCCACTCTTGGTTTCTGCTGAGGGTTGTGAGATTGAGCCCCACGATGGGCTGTGTGCTAGGCACAGAGTCTGCTTTTTTTTTTTTTTTTACAGAGTCTGCTTAAGTCTTTCTGTCTCTCCCTCTGCCACTGCCCCTCCCCCCCAAAAAATAGATAAATAAATCTTAAAACAAAACTGAGGGAGCCTGGCTCCAGTCAGTGTGGTTTACCACCACCCATACAGCCTCACTTGTAACATTATATTTTGGAAAGCAAACTCTTCATAGATGATCGCCAGGACCCAACACAAGATCAGTGCCCAGTACATAGTTGTTCAGTGAAGAACAGGGATGATAAACTACTAAATGAAAAAGATACAGTTAGGTGGTGAAATGCCCAAAAGACCCAGGGGAAAGATGCCGTTATAGACACTGGGGGTGGGCCTCTGGTATAGACTGTAAATGCTTATTTACAAGCCCTGCCATGACCTAGAACTTCTGGTCCAATGTTTAATGCCTCATCTTAAATAAGGAGACAGAATCAGAGATGAACAGACATCTGAGCCAAGCCTCGAACTTGAAAGACAGACCTAGACAAAGAAGAGGGGATGGGGTAGGGAAAGAAAACAGAGGTAACACAAAGAGTAGAAGAAAACAACAACAAAAAAAGTTTGTCTTCTCAGAATGTTGAAATGATTTTCTGCTGGTATAGAATAATCAGAAGACAAGAAAGGGCTCTTAAAAAAATGATAATAATTTAAAAAGAAGGGAAACGCTGTTAAAAAAAAAAAAAAAGCCCCTAAAAAATTTACAGGAAAAGTTGATTAGTTGAGAAAATCTTCTCAGAATATAGAACAGAAAGACAAAGAAAAAATTAGAGAAAATATAAGAAAATTAAAGACTGAAATGAGGAGGCTCAGCATCTGACCGGAGATGTTGGGAAGAGAAGAAAGGAAATTATCCGGGAAGTAACACAAGGAAAATTCTCCGACTGTGAAATCCAATTCCACATGACATCCGCTGAATACCCACATGATTATGGAAGAACAGCTCCACGTGGCATTGGTGTGAAGTTAGGAACAGCAAAGATAAAGATAAGATCTAGAAACATCCAAAGAGGAAAGAACAGCTTATGTGCAATGTGCTGGGGATCAGAAGTGCTCAAACCAACACTGGAAACTTGAACTGGTTTGCACCCCAAAATTCCATGTCCCATGTTAAAGTAATAACACATTCCAATTTAAAAACTTTGAAAATACTCCTCAGTCCCTGTCTCAGGAAACTCCTTGGTGAATGCATTTTACCAAAATGAGAGAATAAGCCAAAAAGGGGGAAGATGTAGTATTCAGGAAAAGGAAATGCAGGGAATCCCCAGGATGCCAGTGAAGGAAGATTCTTCTATAACAGGAATATACCACCTCTAGAGAAGAATCAGTCCAAATCAGAAGAGGACTGACGTTCCAAGAGTGGTATCTCCATGGGAAAGATTTTTAAATGACAGACTACCTGATACATTTGAATGTCTTTAGAGAAGATAGTACTTCAGGCAGAGCGTTTGGGAGTTAATTGATGCAGAGGGACACAGAGACAGGTGAGTGCACATACAAAAAGTAAATAATTAATTCCAGTGGAAATTTTTCTTAATTGCCAAGAAAAGGAAATCAGAGGGATCCCTGGGTGGCGCAGCGGTTTAGCGCCTGCCTTTGGCCCAGGGCGCGATCTTGGAGACCCGGGATCGAATCCCACGTCGGGCTCCCGGTGCATGGAGCCTGCTTCTCCCTCTGCCTGTGTCTCTGCCTCTCTCTCTCTGTGTGTGTGACTGTCATAAATAAATTAAAAAATAAAATAAAAAAAAAAAAGAAAAGGAAATCAGAGTACATTACTTGACTCAGCTATAAATAACATTCACATAGTCAAAGTAGTGCAAACACCAAACATTCATTTACCCAAAATATATGATATAATTATATTGGAAGGCTGGGGAGAGGGGACCTAGGGGAATGGTAGTTAATTAAGAGAACTAAATCCCCAGGGTGCCTGGGTGGCCCAGTTGCTTAAAGTCTGACTCTTGATTTCAGCTCAGGTCATGCTCTTGGGGTCCTAGGATCAGAGCCCTGGGTCAGGCTCTGCACTCAGCAGGTGTCTGCTTCAGGATCTCTCTCCCTCTGTCCCTCTCTCTGTCTCTATCTCTCTCAGATAATTAAGTAAATTAAAATATATTAAAAAGAACTAAATCCCCATCAAAACAGGAAATTGATAAATGATAACAAAAATGGAGAAATGAAGAACTGGCAGTGTAGGTATAATACTCAAGATCCAGAGGCACAATCTCACGGAAGAAACAACGAAATTTTACGTCCTGTTCTTTAGAAGAGAAAGGGAGAGTGCAGGGAGCCGTTGCTTTATAAGCTCCCCAGATTTGGGTAACACCAGGTGGAACTAACCGAAATGGTGATTTGTGAAAGCTTACTTGAGAGGTTGATTATACACCTTTCTAGAGCTTCTTTTGAAGGAAACCCTCTCTTGAGGGAGTTTTTCTTTTCTTTGTGTTTTGTTTGTTTTGTTTTTGTTTTTGTTTTTTTTTACTTCAGTCACCAGAGAAAGCAGTGATAATCAGATGTCTTCGTAAAGTCTTGGCTCAGCAGGATACTCAGAATTCTCGTGAGAAACAAATGAAGCTGTTTGTGCAAGATGTTTCTCATATATACCAAAGTATTAGTTAATCTTCTCCTGTCCTTTATTGATTTGTGCTTCCACTGGTGTTTCTAGTGTCTCTGCCTTGACCTCCTTGTAGAAAGGTGACTAGTAAAAGTTTGCATTATGGGGCGCCTGGGTGGCTCCATCAGTCAAGCATCTGTTCAGGTCAGTCTCAGGGTCCTGGGATCGAGTCCTACATCAGGCTCTGGGCTCCATGGGAATCTGAGGATTCTCTCTCTCTCTGCCTCTCCCCCCACTTGCACTCACTCTTTCTAAGATGAATGAATGAATAAAATTTATGTGTGTCTGCATTTCCTATAATTTCAGAACATGTCACCTTCTTTGCAGTTGTTACCCTCCACAAGGGACCATCACTGAGTCTCTGAAACGGAGTCAAAACCCAGGTTTAGGTGGGACTCTGTTTTTTAAGTTCTAAAAAAGTTTAATCAATAGAAGAGGGAAAAACAATCTGGTCTAGTTTTTTTTTCCCCCCCTTGATGCCTTAGGATTTGAATGTTTTTCTAAAACCAGGACAAAAATGAGGCCTTTCAGTTAGAAGAATATAAAATTCATTGGCAAGGGTAACTAGATGGAGTTAATTGGAAATTTGTGAAAACCAGGCCACTGACGGGTTGCGCTTCCCTGTCAGCTCTGCGTTGACTTGGGCCACCAAAGACCTTTCTGACCCTGTGCTTCTCACCCAGTACCCCCGGCCTGGGTCCACGCTCTCTCACCCAGTCCCCCCAGCCTGGGTCCACCTTCTGTGCCCGTACAGCCTCTACAAACCTTGCTTTTCTCGTCCTCAGCTTGATGTGTTCAATGCGGCAGAGCAGTACCAGCAGGCAGGCCTTCCCCTGATCATCCTGGCGGGCAAGGAGTACGGCTCGGGCAGCTCCAGAGACTGGGCAGCCAAGGGCCCCTTCCTCCTGGTGAGTGTGGCGGCGGGACCCGGCACACAAGCTCGGGGAAGTGTGTGGTGCTAGCTCGGCTCCTGCCGCGTGGTGGATCCGGCTTTCCCTCGAGTGGTGAAGGGTCAGCGAGGCGCACGCTGGGTCCTTAGATCACATGTTCCTATTCTGGCAACCGTGGATCTTTGGGGTGGTTGTGGAGCAGTCGGGAGGAGGGCCTGTGCAGTCTTGGAAATCATTTTCAAAAGTATGTATATAGGTCTTTTTTTATGGGGAAAAGTTGCATGGTTTTCCTAACATGCAGGCTGAGGACCGGAGGTGTCCTCGGGCCGCTGTCCCAGGGCAGCAGTGAGGGGGCCTGCCCCCGTGTTGTCTGCGGGAGGCTTGCGGAAGGGCCAGAGCAAGGAGCCTGGCCTTTGGACAGACTTTCTGCAGCTGCTTTCTCGGCCTGTGAGCGGCGGCTAGCCTCTCCCACCCAAGGAAGCTCCCTCTGGGCGTAGACAGGGCCCGGCTGGCGCTGGGGGCGTCCCCAGGGAGACGTGCGGAGAGCAGACCGCTTTTACCTCCTGAGCCTCTGCTGGCCCAGAGCAGGGAAGAGTCCCGCTGCTCAGCTTTAATTCTGGGGGCGGGTAAGATGACTTAGCCGGTGACAATCTCGATGATTTATGGCTCCAACAAGCTAAGCCTTGGGAAACAGGACGTAAGCTGACATCCACAAGTACCGTAAAGAATGAGGGGTCTGGCCACAGCCCTCTGGCCGGCCGGGTTTCCGCAGACGTCTCTGAACAATACACCTGTTGTTTTGTTTTGTTTTTTAATCAAGCATTTTGCTCTATGGGGGGAACAAAAAATGTTCTTTGATGGCTTGGTAATGTATCAAAAGCCTGCCTTTTCTAGAAGCTGCTGGAAAGAAGCAGAGAAATTATAGAAGAGGAAAGAGTTTTAGGGATGGGGCTGGGAGCCCATAGTTTCTAGAAATGAGACCCGCGCAGCATGCAGCCAAGTGGGGAACCCTAAGAGCCGATGGAGGGTAAGACAACTGGCACTCAGGGGGCCCCCCAAGGTCTAGACTCCTGTGCAGAACAGCTCCGGCTGCCGAAGCTGGGCCACTCAGCGGTGCTGGGCTGTTCTCACAGCAGAGGGGCCTAGACGACTGGTCGGCAGCCCTGCGCAGCCCTTACCCAGAGTAGGGACGTGCCCAGTGTGATTTACGAAGCCTGCCACTCCCTCACCAAGGGAACATATGTGTACATAAGTCCATGCAGAATATCTCCTGTTCGGAAGAACCTGTTCTCCCTCTATAAAATGATTCTTAAATTTGGAGATACCTGTGGGATTTTTTTTAAATGCCTATGCCAGGATCTCCTCCCCAGAGGCTCTGGGGTTTAGTTGGTAGGGAGAAAAGCCTGCACAAAGGGATTTTATAAGCCTGGTGATTCTAATATGTGGCTGAGTTTGAGAACCAGAGCTCTATGCCCGTGGTTCTCACAACGTCCAGGGATCCCTAGCTTCCTCTCCCCCCATGTGGCCCACCAAGAGGTTCTGAGCAGTATATCTGGGGTAGTACCTAAAGAATCTACATTTTTAACAAGCTCCCCAGGTGATCCTGATGCAGGGGGGCTTCAAAGTGTACCCTACATGTCAAGAGGCCTTTTAGGGGTATCTTAATATTATATTACAATTAACTAATATTGAGAATGGGGTGTTCTAGTTAATCAGGTATCCTGGCTTATTGATCATTGCCATATGTTGCCAGTTATAGGTTACCAATAAAACGTACTTTATAGGAAGCTCAATATCAAGACTGTATCCAATGGAATTTGATCCTTGAAACAGGAATTGTAAAAGCAGCACATCATTTACTTTCTCTGTAGTATGTCTGAACGTTGCTTTTTTGGTTAAATTTTTTGTGTCTGCACTGATGATAATAGCACAATTCAAGGGAAATGAAACAGAAATTGTATTGTTGTGTGGATTCCAGATACAATGGAAGTTTGCTAAGGGATGTTGTGTCACAAAGCAGCTAGGTGTGTGGTCAGACTGCATGGGCTCAGGTACCAGATACTCCCACTGAGTGTGGGTAGAGAGGGGACGGTCATAGCATTCACCTCCTGGGGCTGGGGGGCGCAGAAGGGGAGAACTGATGGGCCTGCGGACCGCCTGTAACCGTGAACAGATGGTCCAGACCAGCTGCGGGGTTACAACTAGAGGAGCCGTTTAGGTAAACGACTGATTGGTACTTACAAAGAATTTAGCTGTGAGAAGACTTTGACTTACGAAGCCTTTTGTAAAGTTTCCATGTATCTCAAGAAAATTGAGACTGTGTCCAAAGTCCTGTCTTGGCTCCTCAGGGAATCAAAGCTGTCCTGGCTGAGAGTTACGAGCGCATACACCGCAGCAACTTGGTGGGAATGGGGGTGATTCCCCTCGAATATCTCCCTGGGGAGACCGCAGACACCCTGGGACTCACAGGGCGGGAGCGATACACCATCATCATTCCAGACAACCTCACACCTCGGATGAAAGTGCAGGTCCAGGTAAGCCGGAGCCACCCCGTGCCAGGCCTGGGTGTACGGGTCCGTGTGCTCACCCTCAACCCCATCACCAAGAAATGAGTGGAATCTGGAAGGAAAACCGTCACTCAGTAGGAGTGAGTCACACCTGGCAGTTCTGCTGGCACCGGCTCTGCCTTCACAACACAAGACGACTCCTGTTGACTGATGACTTAGGTCTGTTTAGTCCTGGAAGTTCCATCCATCCCTTCCTTGCTGCAGGCCGCAGCCAGCCCCACTGTCTCCTCAGACTCCCAGTCTGTCTTTAGCCTACAGAAGTGTTAGATGCTCGAGGAGACAGTACATTTTCACATGATCTGAAAAACACCTCTTTCTTATCAAAATGTGAACAGACACAACCCATTCCTGAGCCTCCCCCCTAGGCCCCAGGTTTTGATTCGCCCAAAAAAACGACAGCCTCCCAGGTGAGGCGAGGCAGGTGCCGAATCCCAGGGTCCCAGGGTGAGGTCCCAGGGTGAGCAACTGGACCAGCTGCCTGAGGGACAACCTCCTGAGACCCCTGTGAGCCTGAACCTCCCAAGGAGGGTCTGAAAACTCCCATCCCTAGTGTCACTGGTGCTGCTGCCCCAAGAGGCCTGGCCCTGGGGTCCGGCCCCTCGGTCATTTGTACTCTGCCCTACTTTACTGTGCAGAGAAATCGGCTGGGGGTCTCGGCCAAACGCAGCCTCGGGTTCACAGGGTCTGGGCCTGAGTCTCCCCACGGGCTGGTGGGCCACCCACTCTGAGAGGCAGCCCTGAGGGCAGCGTGGGCGTCCCTCCCCACGGGGCTGCCTGGCCTCCCCTGCCCTCCCTGATTGTCCTCTGCTCTCTGTCATCGCAGCTAGACTCCGGGAAGACCTTCCAGGCCATCATGAGGTTCGACACCGACGTGGAGCTCGTTTATTTCCACAACGGGGGTATCCTCAACTACATGGTCCGCAAGATGGCCAAGTAGGTCATCTGCACTGGAGCCCACACCTGGAGCTGTGCAGGAGGGAGCGAAGCGCCACTAGCCAGTGGGGCCTGGGTGCCGAGCATCCTCCAGGGCGGGCCTCCCCGCAGGGCACCCCCTTGCACAGGGGTGTGTGCTGCTCACGTCACCAGTGCCGTTCTTCCAGGCACAGAATGCGCAGTCTCTGCATTCTCAATTTTTGTGAATCTTTTTCTCTTTTTCTAGAATTTGGAAGCTAGAATGGTGGGAATGTCAGTAGTGCCAGGAAGAGAAGTGAGCGAGTCTGTAAAGGAACTGACTACAGAATGTTGATTTTTCATTCTTGGCCTGTTTGTGTTCAGCTGGACACAAATGAGTCTCCTCAGACGGCAGCCCCCGCCTCTCTTCTGTTCCTCTGTTCCCCTCTGCTCAATGAAACCTTCCCGTGAGGGGCTCGGGTCTCTGCATATTACAGTGGGGCTGACTGACACGGTAGGCGAACACTTGCTCACGCTGCAAATCACAGCAGTGATTGCAGTTCTTCCCTCTGCCTTTTTCCTTCGGGTGGAATGATCCAGACACCTCGTGGATAGGTCAGACACTGACATTTTTTTGATTATGTACCTTTTGATGGATCAACACTAAAAAAATGTGACGTTTTCTTTTACTCTCTTCAAAAATTTTCCCCAGAAAAAATTTTCATTTGTCAAGAGGAGAACTTTGGAGGTGGTTTTGGAGAGACACTTAGAACATTTGTAATTTGAATAAGATTAAATCTATTTTCAAGGAAAACTTTGACTTTGGAATTGAATTTTGTGGTGTGTGAGGCTCTAGTCTGGGGAGAGTTCGAGCAGAGCAGATCTCAAACTGCAGCATCCAGAAGCCTGGGTGACCTTCAGGGTCTGCTTTTACAGCTGCATCCATACTATACAGGTGAAATGAAGAGTTGAGGAACAGGATTTCTCTGCCCTGGTTGGGAGCAGACAAGAAGGTAGCAGTAGCAATAATGTAAGTATGGTGAACAGATCATAATTTTTTAAAATTATTTTTGTGTCCTCTAGTTTATCTTCTTATTTTCATCACTGACATCACTTTGGCTCTGGCTACCATAACAAAATACCATAGACTGGGTAGCTCAAACATCAAAAATGCCTAATTCTGGAGGCTAGAAGTCCAAGATAAGTTTCTAGCCAATTCATTTTCTGGTTTGAACTTTGTCCTCACATGCCTTTCCTTTAATGCATGCGTGAGGAGGGAGAGAGAGCTGGCTCTCTGGTGTCTTTTAAGGGCACTGATTTTATCAGATTAGGCCCCCACCCTTATGACCTCACTTAGCCTTAATCATTTCCTTAGAGGTCCCATCTCCAAAGAGACACACTGGGGGTTAGGGTGTCAACATGAATTTTGAGGGGAGGGGACACAAAAAACATTCAGTCCATAACAGGGCTTCTTACAGCTCACAAGTTGATCTCCTTGTAATGCATTTTATTTATTTATTTATTTACTTTTTAAAGGTTCCATTCATTTATTCATGAGAGACACAGAGAGAGAGAGGCCGAGAGAGAGAGAAGCAGGCTCCATGCAAGGAGCCCGACATGGGACCTGATCCCGGGTCTCCAGGATCATGCCCTGAGCCGAAGGCAGTGCTAAACCACTGAGCCACCTGGGCTGCCCTGTAATGCATTTTATTTTTTTTATTTTTTTATTTTTTTTTTGCAATTAGCAAGAGGGTTTATTGAACGTTTGCGCAAACGGGCTCTCCGCCTCCGAGGAGGAAAAGAGCCCCGATTAGCAATTACAGGGATCTTTTAAAGGCAAAAGGAAAGAAACCGCCTAAGGAGTCGCTTAGCATCCAGGTTGATTTCACAGAGGGTCAACATGAACCTATTCAGGGACATTCCAATCAGGGTGTGGGGCCTCTACCATTATGGGCCCTCTAGTTATCCTGCTCCTGCTGCTAACTTTCGGCCCCTGCGTCCTCAACCGGCTGCTCCAGTTCATCCGAGAAAGATTGTCTATTACCCAAGCTCTGGTATTAACTCAGCAATGTCGGGCCCTCCAAACTGAAGAAATAAATGTTCCCTGTAATGCATTTTAAATCTCAAATTTAGCACTCAGGGAATGTGGCCTGGTCATCAGAACACCCAGGATTGAGTCTTGTCTCTGCTTCTGCCAAGATGAGGGACTGGACAGGTTACTGAGTTTACTGAGCCTCTGAGGATCCTGGGACCTAGCGTGTGTTCATAGGAAAAAATTACAAACAGAACCTTGTGGTAGAAAAAAGCCTATGACCTTCAAATAGGCATCTGTCCTACATAAACGCACTAAGAAGGACTGAGGCAACAGGTCTGTACCGCCCTGGCTCTGTTACTGAGCTTGTGGGGAAGCTGTGTGGCCCCTCACAGTCCATGGTTATGTGGTGATGCTCGTGGCTATGACTTCTAGATCGAGGTCCCTTCACTTCTGGACTCCTTTACCTCTAAATGCACCTTCTGCCCTGTTCATTACGAAAACGTCTTGCCCAGGGTCACACCCTGACCCACAGCAGGACTGCACAAATAAACTCCTTTGGCCTAGTTTCTCAAGAAGGCACTAGTCCTCTCACCCCAAACTAAACGTTTGCTGCCCTTGCTCCAGGTGCCAGGCCTCCTCCCTCTCCGAGGGGTTCCTGTCTCCAACGAACCTAACAGTTTTCTGAACCCATTAGGCCCGATCCCTCCGAGGAAACAAGCGTTCTTTGGTGTGCACGCTGCACTAACGGCCTTACTGAAAGCAGCAAGATACTCGTGTGTTAGGCTGTGGGACGGCATTTAGAAGGTGAGAGTAAGCTAGAGGAGGGTGGAGGAGTCATGGCTCGTGATTAGAAGCACAACTCTAACTGGTTAAGCAAAAATAGGAATAAATAATAACTGGCTCCTAGAACTTGTGGCTACAGAGGTTGCCACAGCCAGAGGCTCGATTGGATCTAGTGACTCACACTCAGGCTCCCTCCCTATCGTTTCTCCTCCTGGTTTGCCTCATTCTTTAAGGCTGGGCTGCTCCACGTGATATGGCTACTGGCAGCTCGGGGGGAAATTAATCTTTTGTGATCTAGAAATTTATCTCCCAGTAATCTCTAGGCTAAAATTAAGAGCTTCCAAGTCACCAAAATGAAGAACTGTATTTTGGGCCCAGTTTCCTTTTCCAGGTTATGTGAGGACAGTGGCGTACCCGGCAGCATTATGTAGGAGCGATGTAGACCTACCTCTGGAAAACAGTAAGGTTCCCTGGCTGCTTTCTGAGGAAGCTGTTGTTAAGTGTCATGACCACAAACAGAATTGAACACCCACGAAGTTTTTGTTCACCCAGGCAGCCTAATTATCAGGAACAGAGATTATATAATTATAGCTGATAGTTTTAATAATTTGCATCCCAAGAACAAAGGCTTACATATTAAGTGCAGTTTTGCTGAGTGAAAGGTGTAGTTTTATTACGTAGTATAATAAAAGGGTTCCTGGTGTGATCCTGAAATTAACGTTCCATTTGGTTCTGGTTTGCCTACTTGGCATCTGGCCTGCATTCTTGTGGTTGCACTTCCACAGGATGTGAAAGGTGTCCAGGGAATAACAGGGTTCCAGGGCCAGTGTATTGGGGAATCACTGAGTTCAATGCATCTTGTTAGCACAGAACTAATACAATGACACACAATGACAGTTACGATGTAAATCACTCATCTGAGGGGCGGGCTGGCAGCCTTTGGTACAGGAGCCTATCTGACCACAGAATATTTCCGTCAGAGTATCTCATAGCATGTGGGTTCTACAGGACATACTTGAAATGCTGACCGGATGGTTTTTAATTCAAATAGTAATATCAGTTTTAAGGACAGGAATCAGGGTTTACAGCCCTTATGACACAATCAGCCATTTGACTGAAGGCAACTCCTCATTTCAGGTGAAAAACCCATCATAGTGCCAGCACTGGCAGGAACTAGAGAAACTTGATCCTGCAGGTGTGTGATGGGTTGGTATCTGAACCACCTGAGGAACTTCAGAAAGTACACGTGGCTGGACACTCTGCTAGGATGGCCTAATGGGGGTGGGGCACATGCCCAAGGAAAAGATTCCACAGTGATTCTGACACACAGCCTTTGACATAGAAATCCAATCACCAGCATTTAGGCATCAGTCAAGAGTCTGCAATTCTTAAAGCACTACCTACCAAGTTTTTTCATTGAGTAAATAGTAACCAAGTGCCTAACTCTGTTCCAGGCTCTATGCCTGGCAGTGGCTTGACTCAGTGCAAAGGTCCAATTAGGAAATTCCCAGATTTTTTTGTTTCACCTTCAGTCTTCTGTTGGCTGAAAAGAGGACTATTCACCTTCATCCAAACTGAGCCATTTAGATATTTGAAAGAACTTTTCTCAATTCTTCAGCAGTGTTTTAAACTTCATATCTGAATTCTTAAACAAAGCATCCAAAAAAGTCAGTCATATATAAAAAGAGATACTTGTGAGATTGTGATTTATATAAGAAATATGTATTTGGCTTTCGTCCTCATTTCTGGCACATACAACCCTTGGAATTTCCTAAGTGACACAAGTGACAGAAGTATCTCTTGTTATGTTAACGATGTGACTTTTGGACCACACCTAAGGATAGGGCTGGTTGCCAGAACAACCAACTCTGATTTGAGGTCTGGAATTTAGTCCCAACCCCCTGAGCACTAGCTAGGGGAGCTGGAGGTTGAATCCATCACCAATCGCCAATGATTTGATTAGTCATGCTAATATAAGAAAGCGTCCATAAAAACCCAAAGGACAGGGTTTGGAGAGGACATGGGAACTCCTTATCCTTTCCCATACCCTGCCCTATTCATGTCTTCCAATGGCTGTTCTGAGTAGATCCTTCCCTAATAAACCTGTGATTAAGAAAATACAATGTTTTTCTGAATTCTTTGAGTTACTCTAGAAGATCAAATTTAAGGAGGAGGTTATTGGAACCTCTGATCCATAGTCAGCGAGAGGCACAGGTGATTATCTGGATTTGTACCTGATGCCAGAAGTGGGAGGGGGACTGAGCCCTTGACCTGCAGGACCTGACACTATCCTCCAGGTGGACAAAGTCAAACTGAGCTGTATTTCAGGATACCTGGCTGCTGTCAGACAGCTGCTTGTTGGCATGAGAAAACCACAACCCTGGAATTGGTGACCAGAACCTCAAATACCCTAATAAAATCTAAATGGAAAATAAAATCATCAAGCAAGCTGGCTTAATCCGTTTCTATTGTGTCTTGCCAAGAATACTACAAATAGTAACCATTATCATGCCACTACTATGTTTATCATGGACTTTCATACATTATTTCGGTTAAAAACCCTCCACTAACCCTCACAGGTATGTATTATCCTTGTTTTACAGATGGAGATTAAGCCAAAGAGAAGTTATGTAAATTGGCAAATCCTCTGACTCTTGGCCAGTACAACTGCTCATCAGATCACGTGGAGGCTGAGGTGACTGAAGCAGATCACCCCATTGCTCTGCAGGGCCTGTTTCAGTGGCCTGGGTGGCCTCGTGAACACCAATCAGCTTTTACATGTAAATAGGAGCTACTTGGAAAGGGTTATGCAATCACATGTGCTAAACATATTAGCATTTTATGATGTTAGAGGTTTGTGTAAGCCATTGATGGGCCTGGTGAATTATAAATGACTAAGCTGAATCTGTTGTAGGAAGATACTTAAAGTTACTACAGAGCCTACCCTGATTTGAACCCAAAATACCTTGGCATGCATGGAAGCAGCAAAACTTAGGCAGCTCTCCCCACGTCTGGAAAACTCCAAACTAAGCTCTCAAGCATCAGCCAATCTTATTAAATGATACAGGATTGCCATTCGGATACATATTCAAAAATTTTAAGTGGAAAGAGCCAAATTAAATGGTCTCCTCAGGGACGCCTGGGTGGCTCTCAGATGGGCATCTAACTCTTGATCTCAGCTTGGGTCTTGATCTCAGGGTCGTGGAGTTTGAACTCCATGTTGGGCATGAAGCCTACTTAAGAAACAAAAAACTGCCTCCTCAGTTTCATCCAAGGGACCTGAGAAGAGTCCAAGCACTGATCATCAACCATTATTACAGAAGGGCTTGAGATGACCATTCAAAGGGACAATGGCACAGGTTAAGGAAACGAATAAATAGGGCAGGATGTACAATAAACTACAAGAACAGAAATCAACTTCTCAAAAAGTACTGTCTCGTTTACATGTCCCCATTACTAAAAGCTGTCCTACAGAATTTTAAGATTACATGCCACGCACTGGTACATAGAGAATATGAGTGACTACTGTACCTCTGTGTAGGAATATGTACTGAAGCCTCAGAATTACCAACATTTAAGATATCAGCATAGAGGAACCAACAGGAGAGACTGGGATAGAACTAGAAGAAATAGAAGCCAAGATGGGGTTCCAGGAAAGACCCTCAATAGAGCCAAGAGTGGCAAAGGGATCAAGGAGAAGGACATCAGTGCCCAGTGGATTTGGCAACCAGAATCACTGGTAATCATAACAGGAATAATTCCAGTATATTAAGGGCAAAAGTCAGTTATGATAGAAACACTTTCAACATGGTATCCATTTATTCATTCTATTTATTGTAATGTGTACTGAGTGGTTACTGGGGGGTACACTGGCACTGAGCTGTGAAAGGAAGGATAGGAAAAGAAGGCTTTTTAATCTTTTCCAAGTACTCAGAGCTCCACTAGCCCATGGAGCATTAGTGCTGTGATTCATTTACTTGTGCTTTATATATAGGGTACAGTTCAAACTGCTAACAGTAAACAGGGTGAAGTTAAGTGACAGATACATGCTGGTATAAGCGAGCCCTGACTACCCACTGAGGTTCATTTCTTCTCTCAAGGTCACCCATTCCTTTTAGCTCAAGATTGAGGTCCCAAGGTCATTTGGGTATTTATGGAGAACCAAAGGGTATCTTCTCAAAAGGAAAGTCCTTCCACTTTGCATATAGTTTCTGAGCTCCAGTCACAATATCTTCTACCACAAAGCTTTCTATTTTGATAACTGGAATCTCAAATGTCTTATACTTCACATGGATTCCCCAGTCATGGCCACAGTTCCGTCTGGCACAGAAGATCTTTGCTCTCTTCTCAAAATGCCCAAAGGTCTTTGGTTTAGGGTGTAACTTACTCACGAAGCACTCCGTGAATGCATTTCCAACCACAGTGTAATGGCATTCCTACGGATGAAGAGATTAAATAACACACAAAACGGAACGTCAGAACCAGTCCAGAACTGCGATGTAAAAAAAAAACTCCACAATAATCTGAGATGAAGAGTGGGTAGGATCCCACTTATTTACAGATGGGGTAAGAAGGAAATACACATTCACCTGAAGGCCAGACTAGAATCCATGCAGCTTGACTCCCAGTTACAAGGATGGAGGTAAGGTGGGGTTGGGGGTACAAGTGAGGTGACAGGGGCCATCTCATGAAGAGGACGGCTAAGAAGTTTCCAGGCAACTGAGCTGGAAGTAGATACTCTTTATTAATTTAGAAACAAAAGGGGGTATTTATTGAAGATCTCCAAAGCCTGAGTTCACCTGACAGGCACAATCCAAAGGATACAGAGAACACCAAAGGGTCAATGTGGATCTGAAGAGGGTCATGGACTGTGTCCAGAGGCTCTACCTACAGTCAACTTTAGAGTAAAGCCGAGAAAGGCCACTCTGTACAAAACAAATGCACACCCAACATACCAGCCCCTTGGGAAAACATACAGTCATAAAGGGCCATTTCAATAGAAAAATCACCCAAATGGAAGCTGAAAGAAACTTTTCCAGCTAGAGAAGCAGACTCATGAAGGCATGGGGAATTTGCTAGTATCACCCTTGATAGTATGCTTCTCGTTCAAACAGATGGACAGAAACCGCAGCTTTCTGAATGAAACCAAAGACAACCCCAATAACATCATCTGAACCAGCCTCCCCTCTCTCAGCAGCAGTGTAGTCAAATTCAATTTTTTTTTTACATTCAATTTTTGTTTTTGGAAATTTTTAAGAAAAAAAATATAGAAAACTAACCTGTAGTTGTTTTTAAAATAAGCATATATTTTGTTTTCATTATAAAAGTGACCCATATCCCAAAAAGAACTAGTTTAGGAAACAAAATAGGAAAAAAAAATCATGGAGCCTCCTTGCAAAATAGTAATACATTTTAGTATATTTTCTGTACTCTTTTTTCTGGACAATGATAATTCTTTAATGCTTTTTGATAGTGATGGTGGTATTGTCACTATTATTTCACACCACTGTAGTCACAATTTATTTACAATTTTGTATCCTTGTTATTTTTTCCATTTCACCATTAGTTTGTAAGAAGTTTTTTTTAATAATAAATTTATTTTTTATTGGTGTTCAATTTGCCAACATACAGAATAACACCCAGTGCTCATCCCATCAAGTACCCCCCTCAGTGCCTGCCACCCAGTCACCCCCACCCCCGCCCTCCTCCCCTTCCACCACCCCTAGTTCGTTTCCCAGAGTTAGGAGTCTTCCATGTTCTGTCTCTCTTTCTGATATTTCCTACCCATTTCTTCTCCCTTCCCCTCTATTCCCTTTCACTATTATTTATATTCCCCAAATGAATGAGACCATGTTTGTCCTTCTCCGATTGACTTATTTCACTCAGCATAATACCCTCCAGTTCCATCCACGTCGAAGCAAATGGTGGGTATTTGTCATTTCTAATGGCTGAGTAATATTCCATTGTATACATAAACCACATCTTTGTAAGAAGTTTTTTATTATACATAAGCCTCATGATCATTCTGTTTAATAAACTTTACTTTGGAATTATTTTAGATTTATAGAAAGCTGTAAACACTGTCTAGACAATTCCTGTATACCCTTCACTGAGCTTCCCTGAATACTAACATCTAACCTACTGTAGTACATTTGTCAAAACTAAGAAATTAGGATTGGAACATGACAATGAACTGAACTCCAGATTTTACTACTTTTTCTAATAATATTCTTTATCTGTTCTAGGATGAAATCCAGGATACCCCATTCATTTAGCATGACCATTATTTTCAATGGCTACACAATATTTAATTAAATGTCTTCTTTTTCTTCTTCATTGCTAAGGGTTTCCTTTCAAAACCTTTTTGGCTTTTTAAAATACCATAGCCATGATATCAACAAAAATAATAATATTCTTGCTATAAATAACCCACTGATAGAAAATAAGCTTTAATTAGTGCTAAAAAATGACCCAGTACTCTGTTAAAAGGCCACTTACCTCCACCACTCTGATGTCAGCTGTATAACATGCAAAGGCTTTGCACTTTCTACAGAGCAGTTTTTTATTTTCCTTATCAGGTACAAGTTCTACTTTTTCTTGACTATCTCTGATGTTTTTTTCTTGAATCTGTATCTGGAGAACCTATATGCGAAAACCCAAAACAAAAACAAAACTCACCTCATCAGTATAATGGTATAGCTAGGAGGCGTGCACGCACTCATGTACACATAAGTACATAATCATTCATTCATCTATAACTTCCATGAACATATGGTACCTGGCTTTGTTTATAAAAATCACATAGATAATTATATTGGATTCTCCTAATTCTTTGTTAGTGCTTAATGGTGACCTCCAATGAGTCTTTTAATTTTTGCATCAAAGATGCCCATAAAAGGAGTGCCTGGGTGGCTTAGTCAGTTAAGTTCAGCTCAGGTCATGTTCTCAGGGTCCTGGGATCAAGCCCCACATCAGGCTCCATGCTCAGCAGGGAGTCTGCTTGAGGATTCTCTCTCACTCACCCTTCCCCCTCCATATGTGCCCCTCCACTCTCTTGCAATAAATAAATAAAATTTCTTTTAAAAAAGATGCACATAAAGTACTAAAGATGTTCGGGCAGCTCGGGTGGCTCCGCGGTCTATGCCACCTTCGGCTCAGGACATGGTGATCCTGGAGACCCGGGATCGAGTCCCACATCGGGCTCCCTGCATGGAGCCTGCTTCTACCTCTGCCTGTATCTCTGCCTCTCTCTCTGTGTGTGTGTGTGTGTGTGTCTCTCATGAATAAATAAATAAAAATCTTTTTTAAAAAAAGTATTAAAGATATTTATAAACAAGCATGTAAACCATGCTTTCTACTTCAGTAGTTGGCAAAGCTTTTTAAATCCTTCACAAAAAGATATGTATTGACTGTTTCAGGCATAATTACACCCACTTCTAGGGCAGAGACCCACTAAATGGAACAGCAGGCAGAAGAGTCCCCATCACCTAAATCTTTTTTCTCTCTCCCCTTCCAATCACAGAGGCTATCACTGAATTACTGTGAAGTTAAATATGTGTACAGTATGACTGCATTCTATTTCAAAACTTCGGGCATGCCTAAGAACCTGGACATTATAGATAAAATAAACCTAAGAAGATTCAGAAGACTGAAGAGAGGAAGGCAAATAGCTCTAAGTTCCGAAACTCTAGGAACAAAATGGTGGTGAGCTTCCTGGATTTTCTTTTCACCTTATATATGCCAGATTCCAAGCTGACGGAACCAGCAACCAAAAATGCCTAAGGACACAAATAAAAACGACAGAAGCCTACTCTCTCTAGCCGAAGGACTGGGAAAGGGGCAGCCTAGCAGGACAATAAACTTCTAGACAATAGCTGTTCTACTCCTGCCAAAGATCACAGAATAAAACAGACAACTGCAGCCTAACCCCAGCTCGTGCCAGCAAAGATTGAGGGGGCACCTGGATCTCCACCTTGCAGAGTTGGTAACAAAGCATCTCTACACTCCCACCTAGTGGTGTCACAGGAGGCCAAGTAGGGAGCCATGGCTTTCAGCCCTGAAACAGGTAGACAGCTTTGCCTGTGATGTCAGTGGGGACCCTGTGGGGAACCAGGATTCCCACCCCCACTCACGGAATTACCAGCTACCAATAGGTCCTAGCCACGCTGGTTCTGGGCTCTTTCTCTTTCTTTTACCCCCCTCTGCCTGTTTTCTATGGCTCTTAGAGGAATCCCAGATGCTATTCAACAAATATTTAACCCGTTCTGTCCTCATCCTACTCTCATCCTGGTGAGCTGGCTGCAACCGACTCTATGTCTGGCCCAGCCTCCATCTCCCTCAAAGGCTTTCATTCTATGTCTCCTGTCACACATGAATCTATGTCGTTTTCACCCAGTTGAAGAGACAAAAACTATGGCATTTCAAAATGTATTAAAGCTATTATGGTTTTAAAGATCTTTATTGCCAACATCAACATATGCTACAAAATGGGAAGGTGGCTCAGGAAAAAAAAAAAACCCTATTCTCAGTATAATTCAGGAGGAAAATTAAGAGGAACTAAAAAATTTCCCTACAGTTCTCAATGAAAATGTGGAAGAAGTGTTTTTAAATATTTTAATTTCTAAACTTTAGGAAGAAATGTTTTTAAAAATGAGTTAACACTGACAAAGTTGTAATTTTGTGTCCTAAAATAAGTGTTAATTTGCTTTAGACCACTGCTTCTCAAAACTTTTTTGAGCAAAGAGCTTATGACTTTTTAAAATTATAGATACTGTGGAATTGGGCTACTGAATTGAAGGTTCATCTTTGTGAAGTTCAAGTCTGCCTCATGCCTCTATCCATAACAACTCTCAATTTCTGAGTACATACTTTATTCCAGGCCCTGTGCTAAGCAAAGCATGTACCCAACTTCATCCCCCAAACTGCCCTGTGAATTAAATACCACCTTTCCCAACTTTATGAATGAGGAGACAGATAGTTGAAGAGACAGAGTAACTACCTAAGGTCACACATCTTCTAAGTGGCAGAGATCCTGAGATGACAGTCTCTACAAAGGGTCTGGAGAAAGTGGGGGGTGCATGTGTATGCATGCCTGTGTGCATGTGCATGCTTGTGCTTCTTGACTTTCCCCAATCCAGTTCCATGCTTCTATATTATAAAGGAAACTATAGTAAAATGTAATTTCACTGAGAACCAAGAGGCTGAACTGAACAGATATGCCAATCCACAGGGTACATTCCTACCCAGACCTACAAATGGGCATTCTAACACATGCACCGTGCACTGGGAGCTTTTCTCTGAGGACTCGGGATGTTAGAGAGAGAGAGAGATCTGAGGAAAAGACCGAGAAGGGCTGTGTCTTGCCATGTTAGACTGGAGTCCTCAAGATGAGCTGTCGACTTAAGTAAGAGTCATCTAACTCAGTTTGCCCTTTTATAACTAAAAACCTTGCTTTAAGGATTAGCACTAACAACATATATTTTAATCTCATTGAGACCTAAAGCAGAATGAATCTGATGTTCACTATAGGACAAAATTTTAAGCATAAACTTATTGTTCTAATGCAACGGAGCAATATGATGAAAGGCACCAACTATGTTCACATTCTATTTGTTACTCATGGTCAGATTCTGAAAGAGTGACACAGATTAAAAGACTTACCTTTTCTTTAAATACTGCTTCATTCCACATCTGAAGGCTTAAAATGGAGTCATTCATTATTTTTTCTTTGTATATGTTTAGTTTTTCTTTTTTAATTACATCAGCATTGCTAGTTAGAAGGAAGCACTTGCTACCTCTTGCTCTTCCTCTGCCTATCAGAAAATAAATATTTTATTGGTGTCTTTGACTTAAAACTCTGATAAATCTAAAAAAAGGTAAACAAAGGGGTACTTCTAAAATTCAACTTTGATTCACTGAAACCTGCTTTGATAGGAAAGCTGAGCTGTTAGAGCATAGACTCCAATGCAGGTGTATAACTCCATATCAAACCACATGTTAAACTAGGTGCCTAGTTTATCCTAGACTGGTTTCCTGGGGGTCTCCCTTAAGAGCCTTCAAGGAAGTGGGGAGATAGATATGTTCGCAGCCACTAGAATATAGGTAGAAATAATAAGTGCAAAAAGAAAGATAAATACAAAGGATCATGGGTATTCAAAAGTTTAGTGCCAGTTGAAGGAATTGGGGACAGATGATATGGAAGCAGGGGAGGAGAGAGAGAAAAGTAAAACAAAGATTATCAGTAGCAGTACATGAGCACTTTCTTCAACAAGGAGAAAATGATGAAGTCAGGTTGAGAGAAATGGATAATGAAGAAAGGGGAAGAATGGAAAACAGACTGGTAAGATAACCTGGTGCTGGAATTTGAGCTTTTTGACATCATGTAAATTGGGAACAACTAGAGTCTCTATACAGGGAAGTGACATGCCCAGAGCTATTTTTAAGGAATTAAAGTGGGCAGCTGTTGTTATAGAAAATGGAAAAAGGAAGAGAAGCTAGTTAGGAGATCACCTAGTTCAAGCAAGACAGAAGAATTCCATGGAATATATCTTCTAGAATACAGGGGCCCATCATCACAAGCACAACCTGAAAAGTCTACACATTGGCTGCCAAAGTCTCAATCCAAGTGGGAACTATCTTTTCATAAATATGTCAGTCAATTTTGGTCAACTAAACAGTATTCATCATAAACAAAAATCAAAATAGTGTTTATATTGGTGGGCAAAACTGTACCCACCCAATCCTGATCAAGTAAGCTGCCATCGGGGCCAAAGATGCCAGCGTCCACTGTGCCAGAGGTCATAAAGCCACTATGGCTTAGTAAAGGAGTAAGACCAGAAGCACAATGACTGGGAGAGAGTAAGTTTCTAAATGACAGATACGCTCACAAATCAGACAAATTCACAGTCATTTACTAATGGCATCAAAGCTCTTCTCACCTCTGGTTTGGATCATTCTGATGACATTGCCCACGTACTCATACAGGATGACCAAATTGCACTGAGCAATGTCGATGCCTTCATCAGCAACTGAGGTGGCAATCAGAATCTTTTTATCTCCATCAGTTCTGAATGCATCCAATGCACACTTCTGCGCTGGGAGTGTCATTCCTGTGTCAGAGTCAGAGGGCATTATACAACTCACCAAAGAGGGAATTTTACCCTTGAAAAATAGCCATTAATTATGGAATGCTTATTACACGCCAAATACTGTAATAAGTGCTTTATAGTCATGATGTCAAAACAACGCTAGACAATAGGGCCTATTCCTATCCTTGTTTAGAGAGGACATTATGGTGGTATTTAACAATTTGGACCCTGCCACAACACTGCCTGAGTTCAAATCCCAGCTATGGCACTAACCAGTTGTGGGACATCAGTCATGCTATCTCAAAACATACATTGATTTTTTTTTTTTGAAAAAACTATCAACAACAACTTTCAACAATTAACAGTTTTTTGCAAAGCTATTAATCACAATGCCTATGCATGTGTAAAGGACTTTATAGCTGACAAAACAGTTTCACAACAACTTACTCTCTGGAACTTCATAGAGCCCTTTTAGGTTGATGTGGTAAGCATTACAATTCCCCTTTACAGATGAAGACCTTAAGGTTTTGAAGGTATGATGAACTGACAGGTTAATTAGTGGCAGAACCAGGCCTTGAATTTAGGTCTGAAACCCTAACAGTGTGCAGTTCTCAGCCACTGATATGATGAGAAGAAAAAGAATTTCAGTGGTCTCCACTTCTGAGTTAATAGAATTTTTTAAAATATTTTTATTTATTTATTTGAGAGAGAGAGAGAGAGAGGGAGTATGAGAGAGAGAGAGAGCACAAGCTGGGTGAGGGGTAGAGGAAGAAGCAGACTCCTCACTGAGGAGGGAGCATGACACAGGGCTTGATCCAGGGCTCGGGGATCATGACCCAAGCCAAAGGCAAACACTTAACCAACTGAGCCAAGGTGCCCCCTGATTTAATAGAATTTAAAAGTTCTAATTTTTTCCTAGTCTATTGGCAGCCATAATCTTCAGATATATCTGAAAAACAATTTCTTTTTACCATCATCTTCTGCTGAACAATGAGAATGCCCAAGACAGACATCATACTTCATTAATTTCTAATTTACTCATCCACTTGTTCATCAAACATTTATTCCGCAAGTATAGTTTCTCAGATAAAAATACAACAGTCAGAGGCACCTGAGTGGCTCAGTCAGTTAAGCGTCTGCCTTCAGCTCAGGTCATGATCCTGAGACTGAGCCCCACGTGGGGTTCCCTGCTTCTCCCTCTGCTTGCCGCTCCCCCTGCTTGTGCCCTCTCTTTCTTTCTCTCTCTGACAAATAAAATAAATAAAATCTTTTTAAAAAATACAATGGTTAAAGTCCATTTTTGTCTGTGAGGATCTTGTGGAAGAAGAGTATCAATAGGAAGCTATAATTCAATGTGATGAGCAATGAAATGGAGGCAGAACTGCATCTATGAGATGGGGAAGAGAGACACCTCTGCTAGTCTTGGGAGCCTGGAGAAGGCTGCTTGACAGAAGCACAATGACTGATAAAGAGTAAGTTTCTAAATAAATGTGGATGGATGGAGGGACACCTGGATGGCTCAGTGGTTGGGCATCTGCCTTCAGCTCAGGGCATGATCCTGGGGTCCTGGGATTAAGTCCCAAATGGGGCTCCTGATGTTAGAAGCCTGCTTCTCTCTCTGCTTATATCTCTGCCTCTCTCTCTCTGTTTCTCATGAATAAATAAAACCTTTAAAAAAATGTGGATGGATGGAGATGGGTGGATAGACAATGAATGGATAGATGGATAGACGAACAAACAAAATATTTTGAGTGCTTACTTGTGAAGAAATAACAAAGTTTGAAAATCAACTCATGTTAGAGTTGGATTGCAGAGAACTTTGAATTTCAACTGCAATAATGTGGTGTTGGACTTCATTTGGTAAGCTACATTTTCAAAATCTGAATTAACTTTTTAGATTCACGAAGTTTAAAATTTGCACCAGGGTAAAGTGCAAGGAGCACTTGCATGGCTCAGTGGTTGAGCATCAGCCTTTGGCTCAGGTTGTGATCCTGGGGTCCTGGGATCAAGTGTCACATCAGGTTCCCTATTCTCCCTCTGGCTATGTCTCTGCCTCTCTGTGTGTCTCTCATGAACAAATAAATAAAATCTTTTTTTTAAAAAAGGGGGAGGGAAAAAAAAATAAATAAAAATAAAAAAGGGGGAGGGAGTGATAACTGAGGACTGATGGGATGGGGACTGCTTATTACAAAGAAAACTAAATAGGGGGAACAAGTGAAGATCTGTCCTGGCTGGTCACTGAGGGATTGGGGGTGCATGGCTAGGGGAATGTCAGGTGAGGGCTGGCACCCCAGGATCCTCCTGGAGAATTACAGAGGCAGCCTTTCATCTTTCAACCACTGTAGCTAGATTGCAGGATTGTGTGCTTGAACGTTTTTTAAATTAAAACATATATAATACACATAAAAGCATCTATAGTCTAAAAAAACAAAAAAGAACATTTCTATTTCTAGTTAATCTACTGGATGAGAAAAAGAGTGAATGTTCAAACAATATTTTTAAAAATAAAAAAAAATATTTTTAAAAATACTGTCTTGGTTTCATCCATAAGACATATGGGAAGAGGAGAGGTCTGTAAGTTTTTGTATTTGAGCACTGTGAGGGTTTTTTGATGTGTCAACATGGCTAGGCTGAACTATAGTATCCAGTTATTGATCTAGGTACTTCTGTGAAGGGAATTCACAGATATAATTAAAGTTCCTAAATCACCTGATATTTAGGTTACAAAAGGTTTTTCATCCTCGGTTAGCCTGATATAAATCAACTGGCCCTTTGAAAGAAGGCTTAGGCAGTAGTGTCTGAACTCAGAGATTCCAAACAGCTCATGCCTATGAGATTCAGGCCTGCTCCTGACCACCTGCCTTATGGATTTCAGACTTGCTTGCCAGTCCAATTGTGTATGCCAATTCCCAAATCCCTAGGAGTTTGTGTTTGTGTACATAAACAACATATTAATGTACATATGTATGTGTATATAATCACTTGCTGGTTTTGTGTCTTTAGTTGAACCCTGACTGATACAAGCATTAAAAAAGAACTTGAATATATTATAAATATTCTTATATATATAGTATACTAAAACTCTAATTCACTGTTTATAGTACCTGTATTGTGATTTGTTTTGCCACGTCCAGTCAATATGCCAGGTTTTAGGAAGCTGAGTTCAGAATTTTCTTCAATCCATTTCTTCAAAGCCTAAAAATCAAAAGCAATTATCTGTTGGACACTATTTGTAGAACACATTTGTATAACTATTAATTCAATATTGAAATATTACAAGAAGAAAAACCTTTAAGTTAGTAAACAGTCTTCTGACTGACAAATGTGAGAATAAAAAGCTTTTTTGGAATGGAATTCTATGCAATAATTAACTATAGTGGTTCAGATCTTTGTGATCCAACACAATTTAATCTCTAAGACATTTTTTTATACATATATTTTATTTTTTTAATTTTTATTTATTTATGATAGTTACAGAGAGAGAGAGAGAGAGAGAGAGAGAGATGCAGAGACACAGGCAGAGAGAGAAGCAGGCTCCATGCACCGGGAGCCGGACGTGGGATTCGATCCTGGGTCTCCAGGATCGCGCCCCGGACCAAAGGCAGGCGCCAAACCGCTGCGCCACCCAGGGATCCCTCTAAGACATTTTTTAAATGAAAAGAAAGAATGTTCAGAACAGTGAGTGTGTAGAACTATTCAATGAGTTTAGCAAGATCTCAGGACATAAGATCAATATATAGAAATCAGTTGTATTTCTATTAGCTGGCAACAAGCAACTAAAAGTACAATTTACAATAGCATTAAAAAATTCACAGGTTTAAATCTAGCAATATATGTGCAGAATCTGTATGCTGAAAATGATGAAACAGTGATAAAAGAAACCAAAGAAGATGTGGTAGGTGGCCTCTCAGGTGGCTCCCAGTAATCTCTACCCCTGGTCTTCAGATTCTTGTATAATCCCTTCCCTTCAAGCATAAACTGAACTTATTACTGACCTGCTTCTAATGAATGAAAAATGGAAGGGGTCATCACTTCCAAGTCAAAGTTACAAAATGACTACTATAATCTCCATATTAGGCATACTCTGAATCTTTCTTTGGTCACTCACTCTAGAGGAGGCCAGCTGCCATGCTCTGAGGCAGCCCTGTGGAAAGGCCCACATGAGCGAGCTTAGAAGCACATCTTCTGAGGTCTGGCAATAGGCAGATATGTATGGTTGTAAGTTGAGCCTCTCAGGTAGAACCTTGAGATGACTCAACAGCCTGGAGAGAGATCTTGAGCCAGAAACATCCAGTTATTTCCAGATTCCCAATCCATAGATATTGTAAGATAATAGATGTCCGTTGCTTCTATCCACTAAGTTTTGAGGTAATTTGTTATCAGTAATAGGTAACTAATACAGAAACTCTATATAAATGAAGAGAGAGAGGTATGGATTGGAAGACTCCATATTGTCAAGATGTTACTTTTCCCCAATTTTATCTATTGATTCAATGCAATCCCAAACAAAATCCCAGCAGATTTTTTTTCATATATAATATAATTGAAAAGGCAAAAGAAGATAGCTAAAACAATTTTGAAAAAAGGAAAAAAGTTGGAGGACTCACACTATAAAGCTAATCAAGATAGTATGGGATGTGCAGAGGATAGATGGATATAGATGAATGAAACTGAACAGGAAGTCCAGAAATATGCCTACATAAATACAGTCAACTGATTTTTTAAGAAGTTACAAAGGCAATTCAATGAAGAAAGGACAGTCTTTTCCACACACAGTGCTGCAGCAACTGGATATCCATATACAAAAAGAAAAAAAGCATCTCAACCCCTAACTCAAAATGGATTGTAGACCTAAACGTAAAATGAAGAACTATAAAACTTCGAGAAGGTAACAAAGAAAATCTTTATGATCCTGAGTAAACAAAGGGTTCAAATATACAGTACCAAAGCACAATCCACAAAAAGAAAAAATTGATAAAGTAGGCTTTGTAAAAGTTAAGATTTTCAATTTGTAAAAGAAACTGTTCAGAGAATTAAAAGACCAGAAGAAAATATTTACAAATCACATTTCTGACAGAGGAATTTTGTCAGAATATATTTAAAAACTTGGGATCCCTGGGTGGCGCAGCGGTTTGGCGCTTGCCTTTGGCCCAGGGCGCGATCCTGGAGACTTGGGATCGATTCCCACGTCAGGCTCCCGGTGCATGGAACCTGCTTCTCCCTCTGCCTGTGTCTCTGCCTTTCTCTCTCTATCTCTCTGTCACTATCATAAATAAATAAAAATTTAAAAAAAAAAATAAAAATAAAAACTTTCAAACGCTCAACAATAACATGGTAAACAACTCAATAAAATCTTGTTTTAAAATGCGCAGAAGATGTGAAGGGTCACTTCGCCAAAGAAGATATATGGATGGTTAATAAGTTCATAAAAAATGTTCAACGGCATTAGTTCAAACGCAAACACACTGAAATGAACATTCAAACCCTAGTGAGATACCACCACATGCCCAAAGATTGACTAAATTTTTTTTAATTGACAAAAAAATTTTTAAAGTATGAAATCCTTGCTCTATAGGTACCAAGACTTACTATAAACTAAAGTGATTACGATAGTGAGGTATTAGTGTGTAAGGATAAACAAACAGATAATCAGAACAGAATACAGACCCACATATATATGGGTGAGTACAGAGCTGTGAGGAAAGAACACTCTTTCCAATAAAATGGTACTACGTCCATTTGTTATCCACAAGAAGAAAGAAGCTTACATCCACAAGTGCTCTGGTTTTCACAAAGAGGATAGTTCTACTCTCTGGGTTTAAGTGGTACTCCTCTTGCAAGATGAAGGAGAGATCTTTGAGTTTAGGGTTCTCATTGCTGAGATCCATGGAAATACTTTCCAGTTCCTGCAGCTTTTCTGTAAAAGGGGAACATTCTATAAATGGCTTATAAATTCTAGAAATTTAGAACACACTGTGACCTTTAGCTACAGTTCAAACCGTTAATCTCTCAATCTCTGACCAGAATCTTAAGAGTAATAGCCACTGCTTTAATGCGTACATTAAACGCAGCAATCAATGCATAGTTGTTTTTCCCCAGACAGCTAGGTGCTCAATGTATAACAGCACATCACTGGGCTACACTTTTGTATACTAAATACTTGATATAGGCCAAACAAACTTATTAGCAGTAATTACCCTTTGGGGCAAAAATTTTGAGAGAGGGAGAAGGATTTACTTTTCATTTCAAATATTCAAGTATTTTTCTTAATACAAAAGCAGTGGGATTATGGGCCACCTTAGTTTTCTTCTTTATATAGAAGTATACATAAATTATAATCTCTTTAATACCATTAAAATGCTTTCTATGTATTTTTAAAGCTTTGTTAAATTACTAAAATCTTAACAAAAAAAAATGCCACTACTGATTATAATTTCCATGTGATGTATCCTTTGCAAATCCTATTTTTCCTTCTTCAAAATAAGAAGTAGTGTAAGCAGCAGATTTTTTCCATTAGTAGCAGATTTTACTGAAGCTTAATAATCCTGCTGTCCACAGTTATCTTCGTAAGCCCAGGACAACTCCTTGAGCATCACTGTATGCTAAATAATAATACAATGTAAACATCCTGCCACTGGAGTCACCAGGCTCCAATAGCTTCCTCCTCTGGAAACATCACCTACCTTCGAATCTACAAGTGAGATGCTGCTCAATCTCATCAAATCCTGCTGCTCGGACATCAGTGAAGAAGTCTTTCAAGTAATCCAGAGCATCTTTCATTCGTGCATGCTCATTGATAATGAGGGCATCATTATATTTCTGTTTAAAATGAAAATTGAGTTTCAGTGTGTTTCCAATGTCTAATGCATTTGTTGTACTGAAATTCAATTAGCTATACTTAGCATGGAATTAATTTTTAAAATAAACTCTTCTTAAATCTATTCCAACTTAGTTTTTTAAAGATGTTTCTAATGGTACTGCAATAAAACCTTTGAACCAAATACTATTTAAAATATCTTAATTAGCTAGAATCATTAATTAATTAGGATCATTTTGGATTCTAGAATTCCACCTTGGAGGAGAAAGAAAATTACAAGAAAAATGCATGCCAAAGATTAAAAAACAGAAAACAAAAGCAAATCAACTTCCACATCAACTTGCCTCGTGATTCAGACATTCAACTTAATCTCTTCATACATCCAGAGCCATCACTGAATTGCAACTGCACCATTCAGAATGATGGTGCTAACTACCTACACCAAATATTCAAGTAGGTTCATTAAAATTCTATAAATGCATACTGAGTCCATTTTTAAATATTTTCAACAGCGTGATAAACAGAGGTGATGTTTGTTGTTTCTTAACTTCTTGGTTAACCAGAAAACGACCAAGGACCCTGTATTTCTGAGCATGTGGCTTTGCCAAAGGTAAGAAAATATATGCTTCAAGGTAAGGCAATAGGAGATACTTACTGAACTTTCAAGATGGCTGTCACCAATGGCATATCTACAGTAATGTCATCATCCCTCAACTTTTTCCAATCGTGTCAATAATGGGAATGCTAGAGGCACATGGTATAGCACCCTAGCCTTTGTTTCTATCCTGTGGCTGCTAGTATTAAGTTTCAGTAAGCAGAGAGAGAAGATGCTGAATGGGATAACTTTAAAGTTTGCCTCATAGGAAGCCCTCAGAAAATTCCTAAATGAGCTCTTGAAACAGAGTGAAAAGTTGATGTTCTCTTGGCTCCCAGAGCAAAGCTCCCAGTAGGTGCTACACACTAACATATGTCTGCAAAAAAGTCACATACCCGCAAGTGGGAAGTGTACAAAAACAGTGCTTTACAAATCCTGCTCTCTTCATCTTTGTTGGGCAACTGAAACACCATGCATGCCTTCTGAACAGAAACGATCCATTGTTCATATTTCTGTGTTCCAAAATTCCTATTTTGAATTTGAGATACATTTTCTGGAAAAAAAAAGTTTTTTATGGTACCATATGGTCAGTCATTTAAAGTTCTAAGCATGCCTCATACTCAAATTTTCTTTCTTACTCTCTGTAAGCAGAGTATTCCTCCTGAAATATTTGGTTTCCAGCAAAGTGTATCTGTGTTTGCATATGATTGCTTACTGAATACTTTCTCTGCACCATGAATCAAAGTGTCTTACACTAATAATTTCATTTTCACAAACCTCTGAGGTAGATGTTATATTTTACAGGTGAGGAAACCATTAGCTCAGAAAAGCAAAGCAATTTACCCAAAGTGACATAGCTAGTACCTGGGGGGAATGCAGGAATGCAAAGCCAGGTGTGTCTGATACCCAAGCCTTACCAGCTCTGTGAGCTGACAACCAAAGCAGCCCAGAAGTAAAACAATGGGCCTGAAAATATCTAACTTTGCCTTTAAAAAATGAAGCAGTAAATAAAAATAATAGATCTCATGAGCTTCATTAGGAAGATATTTAAAAGCAAGAGAGACAGAACTCAACAGAGCCTACTCTGCCTTGCTATGAACTTAAGCCACCTGATTTCCACAGTACCATTCACAGGGCAGAGCAAAGAAGAGGCACTCAAAAGATGCTTGTCATGGAGGCTTCTGTATGTGTACATCTCCTAAGCTACACCTCAGTTGCTCCATCCAAAAATTGAGCATCTGTTGTGGTCCAGGCTGTGTGTGTGTGCAGGGTGCTGGTGGTAAAAAGATGCAGAAGATAGAAGCCTGTTCTCGAGCAGCTCAAGTCTGTGAGTTACTCTGGGATCAAATCTTCAGGGCTCACTGGGAAAGAGCAGGGTATAGTAAAACTCACAGCCAAGAGCTATATTTCCAGGTTAAATTGCTCCTCTCACCCATTCATGTTTAACAGGAGAAACAAAGGAGGTTATTCAAAATGCATTGACATGCTTCTTTCCCAGCCCCAACTACAAACAAGGTAGCCAGCAGTAAACTAGATGAATTAACAAGTATTTCTTGAATGTGAATAGGTATGAAAATGACCTAAGCAATCTGGAAATGAACAGTTCACAGGATGTGGACTGGGGAAAAGGTGGAGGTAGGGAGTTAGAAGTGGGAGGAATAAGAAGATAGAAATTCATATCCCTCCACCCTTCTGCTACCTTCCCAGTTCCGACCATGTTCTAATGTTCCTGAATAAAATAACGGCCTCCTAACTGGTCTCCCTACTTTTTTGCCTTGTTCCCTCTAATCCACTCCACTCAGCAGCTAGAGGTAATTTCTAAATTTGCAGAGGAAACACTTTGCTACCCCACTACTTAAAAGCCTTTAGTGGAATCCTCTGGCCAAAATCCTACCCAGCTCCCAGGACCCTCTGTGATCTAGCCTCTGCCTGCTTCTGATTCTCATCTCTAGCTGCTCCACTTCCAGCATCTGTCAGAACTAACAGAAGTCCTCATACTCTCTCCGCTTTCCTGGCCTTTGCACATGTTTTTCCTTCCGCCTGAAACACCACCCACTTACCCCTATGCTGTTGCTTTATTATTACTTTATCTTTATTATTACTTATCTAATTTTGGCTTTACCATTGGACTGGAAATACCACAGGGAAGGAGCTATGTCTCAGTCTCAGGGTCCATGCTATGTTCCCATCACCTGGCATATTGCTCAGCACCAAGTAAATGACAAGTGAATGAATACGTTCAAGGTACTGCTAAATCAAAGGATTCAAGCAGGGAAGGAGTAGAAGGTAAAACTGGAAAGATGAGTAGAACCAGATTGTGCAGGCCAGGGTGAGACTGGCAGGTTAGAGGCTTAGAGAGCTTTGCTTATAAGGCAGAGAGGTTCAAGCAGGATCCTGACATGATAAAACTGGTATTTCAGAAAGACCACCCAGGGGCAACCCAGGTGGCTCAGCGGTTTAGCACTGCCTTCAGCCCAGGGCCTGATCCAGGAGACCAGGAATCAAGTCCCATGTCAGGTTCCCTGCATGGAGCCTGCTTCTCCCTCTGCCTGTGTCTCTGCCTGCCTCTCTCTCTCTCTCTCTCTCTCTCTCTCTCTCTCTCTCTCATGAATAAATAAATAAAATCTTTAAAAAGAAAGAAAGACCACCCAGGTAATGGGAGGCTGATTGGAAAAGTGAGTGGGGGTAGGGGTGGGTGAAACAGCCAGACAGCTGTTACAGTAAGTCCTAAATCAAGCTGTGAAAGAAGAGGAGAAAAGAAAAAGCAAAATAAATGTGAGTAAAGGTGAATTCACAAATTCAGCATCTCCAACACTGCTCCTAGTTCTGGAACCAGCACTACTCACTGGTATACCTACAAGGGTACATGCCAGAAGCTTGGTGGAGGTCACCCCTACTCCCAACTCAGAACCAGAAGCCATGAAATTGGAACACTTCCTGTTTGCAACACTTGCTCAGCACGTGCCTCCTCCCTCCACCAGCCTGTCTTGACTGCCTCTGTTTGACTCTCTTTGTTCACTGGTATCTTTATCACATCACAAATCAGTTTAAAATCTTTGGATGCTTCCCCCTGCTTTTAGGACAAAGTCAAACTCAGTTTGGCTACCAGGGCTTTCCTGGTCTTGCCCCTGCCTCTCTCTTTAGCGTCACTCCTTTCTACCACTTGTGCATTAGGAGTACCATGAAATGGTTGCAGTTCCTAAAACGTTTTCTTCCTTTAAAGCCTTAATGCCTTTTCAACCTCACTTGGTTATCTTTCCTTCTTAATTTGGCTGACTTTCAATACTGTCTCAGGCATCCTCCCACCCCAAAACGCTTTCCCAAAGGCCCATTCCAGGTCAAAGTTCCCACGTGCTCCCAGGGCACACAGGTGTCCCTCTGCCCTGTGCTACTCACATCTGACTCTCATTATTTAGCTGTGAGTTCCCTGAGGATGGGACTATGTCTTTAACTTTGTTATTTCCATTAGCTGGCACAATGAATATCTGGTGAATGAACGAAAGAACAAAAGAGAGAAGAACAGAACTTGGTAACTTCATGAGAGAGTCTCAAAAGAAGAAAGAATCAAAGATCACCGCCCATGTCAATCTGTCCATGTCAATCTGAGCCATCAAGGAAATGGTGGTTTCTTTCATATAAAGGGGGAAATCAGAACAGAAAACTAATCGGGAAGATTAAGAAAGCCATAAACTGATTTAAACATGGTATTTTTTGGGTATGTGTATCCACATAGATTTACTGTGGATTTAAAAAGAAAAAAAAAAAACAAGGACTAAAGGAGGACATAATGAGGACGTTCCCGAATAACCTATAATCAAGAAGTTAACCTCTTGATATGGTCTTAAGACCGTCTGAACTAAAGAGATGCAAAAAGAGAACACTGTATGGCTATTCCTAAGTGGAGAGAACATAAAATGAGATTTATCTCACCGAGAGTTATGGTACCGAGTTCATCAAAGACATTCTTTGCCAAACTCTCTGTCTCCCTCATCAGCTGAGATATGATGCATTTAAATCTGTCAGTAGTCCGTGATTCCACTTTCCTGAAAACTAGAGCCATGAAAACAAAGTGAGTATTTTTTAGGAACAACACATCATAGTTCAAAGTAGGCATCTGCACACGTTTCTCTGCCTGTTACCTCCTCTGCAAGATCTGAGGCTCACGGGGAGATTGTCTAAAGGATATATCAAATGTTCAGAAACTTGGCAATAGTTCCCTGGTGCTTACTGCACAGATCCCAACATCTCTGTCTTTCATGATCTGGGTCTAATCCAACTTTTTATTCTGCTTTTCCTGTTACTCAACATGGAGTCTCTACTCTGACAAGGCTGGTATCCATCTTATCACTGCAAATACAACACATTTTAACCCTCTCTTCTTTGATTTTCTCCTTTCCCACTCAACCCCCTGAAGTGCTCATACTTCCTAAAATTCAGTACTACATTATTTTGGCAGAAACTTATTAACTGCCTACCATGTGCCATGTTCTGGAGATCAACAGTTGAAAAGTACACAGCCTGTGCTCACAGAAGACTGTATCCTCAGGGCAGAGAAAAATACATAGCCAAATAATCTCACTGAAGTGCTGTAACATTAGGTATATGAAAGGTGTCATGGAGCACAAGGAAAAGAATCTCTTATTCTTTCAAGGGAGGAAATGTTGTGGGATAAATAGAGGAAGAGGAGTGGAGGAAACACTGATACTCTTGAGGAACCAGAGGTATGCAACATGGTTGGACTTATGGGAGGGGGAGATGAAGCACAGAGAGCAGAAGGGACTTGAGGGGCATCTGGGTGGCTCAGTGGTTGAGCATCTGCCTTTGGCTCAGATTGTGATCCTGGGGTCCTGGGATTGAGTCCTGCAGGCAGGAGCCTGCTTCTCCCTCTGCCTATGTCTCTGCCTCTCTCTCTCTCTCTCTGTGTCTTCTCATGAATAAATAAATTAAAAATCTTTAAAAAAAAAAAGAAAGAAATTTGTACTTGATACTGAAAAAAGTTTAGATTGGGTACCTTCCTTAAACTCTTTACAGGAAGCTCCCAGAAAGGAACTGAACTGCCTCTCCTTGGCTATTTCATGTTTATTTGTTCTGTTTTATACAGTCATACACTATCCCCAGAGCAAGGATGAAGGCATATATGTCTCCTCTCCCACTTTCCCCTGCTGGGTTAGTATAGCATTGGAATTTATTAAATATTTGCTAGTCAATATTTTTTTAAAAAATCATATTCTGATCTGCTGAGAAAAAATATGATGAACTAAGATTAATTTCATTTCAACTCAAATCATCAGATACATATTCATTTTTTTAAAGGTTTTTTATGTATTTATTCATGAGAGACACAGAAAGAGAGAGGCAGAGACACAGGCAGAGGGAGAAGCAGGTTCCATGCAGGGAGCCCAATGTAGGACTTGATCCCAGGACTCCAGGATCACGCCCTGGGCCAAAGGCAGGCGCTAAACCGCTGAGCCACCCAGGGATCCCCAGATACATATTCAAATAATGAATGGCCACACAGTATCCTTCCTCCTTAGGAATGCAACACAGGGAAGGACTGAGACCAGCTCCTGGCCATTTATTTGATTTGATTTTCTCATCACATCTCTCTTGCTGTCAGTATCCTTATAAGAACTTTATCAAAAACAAAAAAAGAACTGAATCAAACTGAAGAGTAAGAATGTTTGCTTTCGACAATCCACTCCTGAGGTTCACCCACTGATAAAGAGCTCAGCTGAGAAGAGAGGCATGAAATGTAATTATTTCCCAAATTTGGGGTTAAATATTTTCTACTAAACAGAAAAAGTAAAAATTCAGTATTCATTCAAATGGCTCCGAACTAAGAAAAGCACAGGGTAACAAAGTCCTGAAGGGCTTGTTACTGGATTCCACTTACACTTCTGGGGCTTATAAACAATTTCTTCCAATTCCTCCAAGTTGTCTTTGACTGTTGCTATCACTGATGTGTCAAGAGAAGCACACAGTTTGCAGATATATTCCATGGCTTCCATTGTGTTTTTGGCATCCCCGATGCCAACTGAGGCAGTCAGCCCAACAACCTATGAGGAGCATTCCAAATTGTCAGACATCTGGAAAACAGCATGCCATTTCCACAATCCCCCATGCAACCCTTTCCTGCTAAAGTCGGGTTTTGGTTTTTTATTTGTTTGTTTCTTGCTAATTTCTTTTTTTTAATTATTTTATTTATTTATTCATGAGAGAGAGAGAGAGAGGCAGAGACACAGGCAGAGGGAGAAGCAGGCTCCATGCAGGAAGCCTGATGTGGGACTCGATCCCAGGACCCCAGGATCACACACTGGGCTGAAGGCAGGCGTTAAACCGCTGAGCCACCCAGGGATCCCCCTTACTAGTTTCATATAAAGCTCAGGAACACTATTTTTTCCCCTGATGTTCTCTAAGATATTTCAAATGGAAAGTCCCCACCAGGCAAAGCAGTGAATAAATGCAGGATTTTCAAATGCATAAGTTTTCAAATAAACACGAATTAGCTAAAAAACCAAGAGCAGAAACACTCTCAAGGCAGGACTTTTCTCTATTCCTATGCCCCCCATGATGTGTAGAACAACATACTATAAGAACAGGGACTAAAATCAGACACAACTTCATTCTAAACTCAACCATGCCACACTGGCGGTGGATCATTGGACAAGTATCTTCAGCTCTCTCTCTCTTTTTTTTTTTTATTTTTTGGTGCTGAAACCCGGGATCGAACTTTAGCTCTCTTTAAGGCTGGGAAACAATAGCTATTTAAAATGGTAGGTGTGTGAATTTCATAAGGTAACATTTGTAAAAAAAAATTAGCTTAATGGTCACCTAACAATTTATGCCTTACTCAAATAGCCACTCAGTAAATACTGAATAGTTGACTCATTAGCAAGGAATCTAATTAACCAGCATTTTTTTCTAGAAGAAGCTGTAAGATATGTGCTTGCTACAGAATTTTTTCTATGGGTACCATACGAATTTCTTCTATGTTTCCTACACAGGTAGTTATTAGGGCTAGAGAACTTTACCCATTGTGATATTGGTATATTAACTATAAAGTCATGGTTTCCAACTTCATCTGGATCCCCAATATGACCAAGCAATTCTTCTATATATTCCTCTTGATTCTCTCATTTCAAATCCTCTCCATGCACTCTGAGCTCCCTCCCCATTCCCATCCTGATTATTCTCAGCAAATTATCTACCTCTCATTTAAAAGAGATATTAAATGCCAGGGATTCCCTACCTTTCCTGTCCCCAACTCAGAACTACCCTCTCATCTTTACTCTTCTCACACCCTCACCTCTGATGACGCCAAAAATGCTCTCCTGTACTAATGCACATACCTGCCTACTTATCCCATACTCTCTGGTCTCTCCTAGAATCTTGTTCTATTGATCATTCCCTCTATTCCACTCTGCCTCACCTACTGCTATTTACCACTTCACATTCCACACTCAAATGATACTGAAGAGCTTCAGGGCTCTTGCGCACACCATGTTCTCTCATACCTCTGTGCCTCCAGACACACAGTAGCCTTTCCTGAAAACCATCCAACTATCCACCTTGTACATTCTTGTTAGTTTTTGCCTAACTTCTGTTGGGTCTTGGCTCACTTTCATAGCACACTTACGAGTTTTCACTTCTCTTCTGACTATACCTTGTACCATGTCCATAGTATGCCATCACCTTATATTGTGACATAATTCTTACATGTCTGGTTCCCCATGAAACTTAAATTGTTTGAGGTATATGCCTTTTTATATATGTAGCCCCAGTGCCTAGCACAGTGGATAACACAAAGGGGCACCTAATGCATATTTGTTAAGTAAATAAATGAACAAATCAAAATTAATCAATGAGGGACACCTAGGTGGCTTAGCAGTTGAGCGTCTGCCTTTGGCTCAGGGCATGATCCTAGGGTCCAGGATCAAGCCCCACATTGGGCTCCTTGCGAGGAACCTCCTTCTCCCTCTGTCCATGTCTTTGCCTGTGTCTCTCATGGATAAGTAAATAAAATCTTAAAAAAAAATGAAAAATTAATCAATGAACTAGATGATATGGACTTAGGACCTGAGAAGACTATCCTCAATGTGGTCAGTAGGGTAAGAAAATAAGATTTTAAAAGGCTATGGCTCTTCTGAGGAATCCATCTGATTCTGGAGATACCTGAGGCAGTGGGTCTGAAGATCCTCCAAGTTTCTGATCTAGATAATTAAACATGATCATATTGTAAGGATGGTGTTTACTGGTGTTGTGACATTCATCAAATATCATCAAAGTAAAGACAGAGAGTGATGGAATAGTCCCATTTCTAAGGCAATTCACAAGAATCTGTGGAGTTAAAACGATGATGTCATTGTTCTCAACAATCTGTTCCACTGAGATATTCTCAGATGTTGCTCCAGAAATACCTGCAACTTTGTACCTGGGGAATGACAGAAATTCACTATTACCAACCATGATGTGAATGAGGAGTCACAAAGACATAAAACACTAAGTCAGAGCATCAATTAATTGAGTTCTCCCTAACTCCAAAAGGAATATATCTGGAGACAAGTGCTTAGCATGGAGCTATAAACATAGTAAATGGTTGATAAATGCAAGCTAGCTATAACTGCTAGTAGAGTATGTTAATTCCTTCAAGTCTTAAGAAAAAGTAGTAGGGGCGCCTTGGTGGCTCAGTCAGTTAAGTCTCTGCCTTCAGCTCAGGTCATGATCCTGGGGTCCTGGGATCAAGCCCCATGTCAGGCTCTCTGCTCAGCAGGAAGCCTGCTTCTCACTCTCCCTCTGCCTGCCACTCCCCCTGTTTATACTCTCTCTCTGTCAAATAAATAAATAGAATCTTGGGCAGCCCCGGTGGCTCAGCAGTTTGGTGCCTGCCTTCAGCCCAGGGCGGGATCCTGGAGATGCAGGATCGAGTCCCATGTCAGGCTCCCTGCATGGAGCCTGCTTCTCCCTCTGCCTGTGTCTCTGCCTCTCTCTCTGTGTGTCTCTCATGAATAAATAAATAAAACCTTTTAAAAAAAAATAAATAAATAAAATCTTAAAAAAAAATAAAGAAAATAGTACTTAAAGAAAAGAGTAATATTAAGGAAGTTATAAAATCATTAAAAAGTTAAATGTGGGGGCGCCCGGGTGGCTCAGTCAGTTAACCATCTGCCTTTGATTCAGGTCATGATCCCAGGGTCCTGGGATTGAGCCTGGCATTGGGCTCCCTGCTCAGTGGGGAGTCTGCTTCTCCCTCTCCCTCAGCCTGCCACTCTGCCTACTTGTGCTCTCTCTGTCAAATTAAAATCAACTGATCTTTAAAAAAAAGTTATATGTGTCATTTAAATGGAAAATTGATCTCAAGTCATTTACTCACTTGGCAAGAGCTAACCAAAGGAGTTTAGGATATCAAGCATACCTAACAAAACAGACTTGCATCCATGAAAAATTAATTACATCGAGATTACATAAAAGCTAAATCTTTTATACATTTTTAATCCCAGCTTTTCAAAAATTAAAGCTGAATACACACCAGTTACATGAAGCTAGAGAAAAAGAAATGGGACCAACTGTTATACCTACCCAAGTCTTTCAAAATATTTGGAGAACACAGAATTCTGCTGTTCATACACTGGGATTTGAATAGCAAAAAAGACAATCTTCCCCTTTTGTCCTTGAGGAAATTTTTTAAGATGATGTTCACAAATAAGAAGGGCAACAAAGGTTTTTCCACAACCTTTTAACAAACAAAGAAAAAAAAAAGAAAATATGTAACTGATATTATACTAGAATATTTCTACAGAAAGGTCATTATTTTTGGCTCCCCTAAAACCACAGCACCAACTAGTAAACTAAGAATGTCCATGGGTTAGCTGCAGCAGAATTTATACCAGGACAGAAAAATGTCAAGCTACTTCCTAAGTAACATGCAAACAGTTAAGGCATAAAGCAAGCTAAAAGAGGGCATTTTTCTTTCTCTCCTCAGGTTCCTTAAAATACCTGGACACTATACTAATAGGAAAGTTTTCTCAAAAGATATACGGAACAAGGAAAAAATGGAAACTTGCCCATTTTATCCCAGTATTCAATAAAAGAAAAAAAAAAAAAAAAGGAAGCAAACCCAGAAACAAACCACTGTAGGTAGTAGCAATCAACTTACCAGTAGGAGCACATATTATTGTATTTTTTCCTTCCTTAGCAGGCAAAGCAAGTTCTAGTTGGTAATTTCTTGGCTTCAGTGGGGTGCAAGTAGAAGCAACTTATGTAATACAAAAGGAACAAAATTACCAAATAGTTACTGCTCTCAGGAATCAAGAAGAGCTATCTATCATCAAACAGACTGAAACTGACTTTAGCAAAAAGGCCTCATTTAAGAAAATTTAGAATCCTTGTCTCTTGTTAACCATTCCAGCTTCTGCATTGATATGAAGTCCAAAATTCTCCCTCAATGACAAAAGTACCAATGGCAAGAATTCTTTCAAAAAAGCCACAAAGATTTCTTTCTTAAATAATCTTGGAAGTCTAGTAAGGAGAAACTAAAGCAAGGATGGCCTAATTCAGGGCAAAACAGATGGCCACTGGTTAAAAGGAAATGCTATGTGGAACAAAACAACAAATCCCTCCTAGATCTCTGAAAAGCAATAAACTGTAAACACTGAATTTTCAAACCAATCTCTTACTGAAGAGCAACCATGCTTTATAATTCTTCAGGTTCTCACATGGTATCTTCTCTCAATAGGACCAGAAGTTTCAAAAAATAACCAGAGGCTTTTTCTCACTAACATAAGCATATAGAATGTTACTGCTAGAAAAGACCTTAGAAATCATCTATTGACTCCAACCTATTTTAAAGAAAAGGAAAATTTCTAAAAGGTTAAGTGAGTTCACTAAGGTCCTTTACATGTCAGAAAAATTTAAAGCAACTTACATTCAGTGATTTTACTCTGAAATAACAAAATACTTGTATCATTTGACTGCAGAAGTAATTCTTCTGCAAAAATGACATTTCTTCTGCAAAATCCTGGGGTCCTGGGATTTCTTCTCATACTACTCAGAATATTTTCCCTGATGTCCTTATGTAAATAATATTTTACTGTGGCTCATTATGCAACTTTCTGGTCTCTCATGAAAAAATGCTTCTAGAAACAGAAGGTGGGCCTTATAACTAAGTATAGAGTACCTTTATGTAAATTAGAAAAAAGGAGAGCCTCTGGGAGGATACAGATTCTTGGTGCACTGTTTGGATCTCAGACTCAGCTAGGCACATTTGTGCAGTATACAAACATCAATAACTTACACTGCAGCCCTGGGATAGTAAGGAGAGTGAGCAAGCAACTCACAAATAGAAGTATTTCTTTGGAGAGCAGGGCTGGTTTTGGATTTCACAGACACTAAGCTTCTGGGAGGACTCTTTTTGCGTTTGCATTTTCAATGTAGACACGCACAGATGTTCTTAGTGATGAAAGAAAATAAGGCTGACAACAGCTTTGTAAGAGAGAGTAATATTTATAATTACAGAAAAAATATTTTAATATAAATTATCTTTTCTTTTAAAAAAAATGATCTTTTCTTACTTTTCCTTAAAAAACTTCTCATAACACTGTGACTCTTGGCACTGCAAGATGTGTCCCCACACAAAAAAACCTGAAGAACATCGTTATGGAAAAGAACATTGCTGGGTACCTGAAGGTGTACATGGGTCCTGACTAAGATTCTGGCATTCTGGTTCTTCCTTATAGAAAATCTGTACTTCGGAAGTTTCTATTTCATCATCCTCAAGAACTTTCGGTTCAGCATCTGTATGAAACGAAAAAACATCTTAGACTCTTCATCTAATCTGATGATTTTCTCGACAGCGCCAAGTCCTACAAAGAGGTTATAATACTAAAATTTTCAACTTCCATTCAGATTTCTTACAACTACTCCCTTCACCTTCTAAAACAATTAAAAGAATCTTTTTGAGGGATTCCTGGGTGGTGCAGTGGTTTAGCACCTGCCTTTGGCCCACGGTGCGATCCTGGAGACCCGGGATCAAATCCCACGTTGGGCTCCCAGTGCATGGGGGCCTGCTTCTCCCTCTGCCTCTCTCTCTCTCTCTGTGTGTGTGTGTGACTATCATAAATAAATAAATAAAAATTAAAAAAAAAAGAATCTTTTTGAGTGTGATGTCTCCATGTGGAGCCTGAACTCCAATGTCATTGAGGCCTTTATTATTCAAAGTGTGGAACAAGGGCCAGCAATTTCCAGAACTTGTTAGAAATGCAGGCTCTTGTATCTCTGAGTCAGAATCTGGATTTTAACAAAATCTCCAGGTGATTCTCATGCACAGTAAAGAAGCACCACTTAGCAGACAATTATGGCTTCCATTCCTGACCTAACCCAAGAAATCAGATGTGTATTTATACAGACATTGTCTAGAACAACTTGTGATCTAAAGAAGCTTAGGAAAAGCCAAGACCAGACATTTGGATTACCAAACTCAGACTTTAAAAAACAATGCTCTGAGCAGATGTTAGCTTCAGAAAACCACATGATGGTACAGGTATCCTGAAGTTCGAACCTTTTACTCTAGAATTTTAAAGCTACTTCTCCGAAGATCTAAACCCAGAGAGTGAGCTCAGATTCTTCCTTCCCCAAATCCTTTGGGCTAGAGGGCTAATTCTGGGTGAAAGCAATTTGCCCTGGTCCACCTTAAGGGTTATTTACAACTGAATTACTTCTGTAGGCAAGTTGCCACTTGTCTCCCAGAACTCAAATTTCATGCTGCTCTCTCACTAGAGATGTAGCCATGGGTCTCTGAAGGGCAAAATCCCTCTGACACTGAGTGAAAGACAGGTGGGAATGGAAGAGACCCTAAGTAGAACTATGAAAAAGGTAGACCATGTTTTCAGACCCTCCCAACCCTTCAGAGCTCTTCCCTGGAATATACTACCTTTGTCCACAATCCACAGTTGACTGAACTTGCTCTCTTCTGTCTCCAAAGCAAGTTTCAAAGTTTTGGGCCAGTTTTCCTTGTCTGATCTGAGAAGGCATTCAACCATTTTCTCCGCACCTGCCATCAGTCCCTTGTTGGAACAAATCTGAGCAAGACAACTGCAGTTGATCAATCAATCATTTCAAAAGTTTTCCTTTTATGACTTTACTGAAGAAATACCAATTCCAGCACTATCTGATTTAAAATCATTCAATCCTCCTATGGTTCAATAGGTCTTATTCATGATCATTTTTGCCCCATCCAACACAGTGTCTTTTAAGACCCTCTTTCTTTTGTCTTTGTCTTTACACCTGGCATCGCTATGTCAAGCCAGGTGTTCTCAAGTCCTCTGAGATATTGTATCTATCATCAGCAGCAATATTAAGAAACAATCCATTTGACAACCATTCAAAATATGGGTATGTTGGCATAGATATTTGGAAGAATATAACAAAATATTAACAATTTTTTTTCAGGGTAGTGGGACCTACATGATTTTTATTATTAATCATAATAACTAAAATTTATTGAGAATTTATTATTATGTGTCAGGCATATGTAAGCACTTTACATATGTCATCATATGTCATCTCATTTAATCCCCATAAAAATATCATGTTAATAAGGTACTATTATTATTTCCATTTTACACATGAAGAAATAGGTTTAAAAAAACTAACTTGCTTAAGATCTTACCACTAGCAAACGGTTGAACTAGGATTCTTACAAAATTTGTGTCCAGAGCCTGTAGGCTTAACCACTAGAATCTATAGCTTTTGTTTTATTTGCTAAACTGTTCAACTTTATTTAAATTTGCAAAGATATTATTCACAAAAGTAATAATTTTAACTAAAAATAGGACAAACCTGAAAAAAACTTGTGACATTAAAAATTACTTGATTCACAACCAAAAATACTATTATAGGTAATTATGCCTTAGTTTTGAAGACTTCTGTGGATTTCAATGATATTTCTCAAGTCAAAATCAGTGGAGAAAACCGAAAACATTTCCTATGTTCAAATAACTTCCCCCCAATTTAGTATTTTATATTAATTATAATTATATTAAATATATTAATCTAATTAAATTACCTGTATAATTTCTTCACATTCCTGACTAATTAAACATTCAGATATTTTAGGAAGAATATCATTTGGATTAACTGTAGTTTTAAATTCTGGTTGTAAACGCTTTAAAAGCAATCTATACTCCTCTAGACTTTCAATTTTTTGGAAATTCCAACTTTCAATTGCTTCATAAAGTCCAGAATAACCTGGAAAGAAGAAGAAAATGGGGGCTTTTATAAAACCAACTAAAAGACATTTCAAGATTATTATCATAGAAATCATGTTTGAATGTATAGTTAAGAGAACTCAAAAGAGATCTATAAATCACCTCAATAATTAATGATCTTCCAAAAAGAAAATTCAACATTCATTATAGGCACCCAACATTTTAGGTCCTCTAACAACATTTATCACCTCTTGGGAGAAAGTACTCGGATAACGTGAAGTCTTACTTTTGGTCTTAGTATAAAATTCTCCTTCCAAAGTGCACCATGGACTTTACCTACCACCTCTGACTTGTCTTCCAGTGAGTTGAATCATTATGCAATTTTTTAAAAAAGATTATATTTATTTATTCATGAGAGACACACACAGAGAGAGGCAGAGACATAGGCAGAGGGAGAAGCAGGCTCCATGTGGGGAGCCTGATGCAGGACTTGATCCCAGGACCCTGGGATCACAACTTGAGCCAAAGGTGATAGCCACTGAGCCACCCAGGTGTCCCAAATCATCATGCAATTATTAAGTAACTTCCCAATGCAAGACAGCAAAGCTGGCAAAAGGAAATATAAATCTTAATTCCTGACCCTGAGGAACTTAACCTTCTATGTTACTCCCAGAAAAGGATATTAAGTATAATGGGAAACTTAAGGTGGAAAAACAATTATTTCCACCTTTAATAATTCAAGAATGCTTCCATCTAAGGTTCTCAAACAAAATCACTAGATTTGTCTGACTATAAAGCCCACACTCTTTTCATTTGGCTACAAAGAACCTAACAAAATGAACACATGGGAACCCAGTATGCAATTTAACAACTAGAATTTCCCAACACTTTTGTGGGAGTGTGCCTTTTCCCTACCCTTCTACCTCCCTGCAAAGAGACTACTACCTTGTATTTCATATGTTATTCTCTTCATTTTTTTAATAGTTGCATGGCATACATTTGATTCCTTCAACAATCTGTGTTCTGGGGCACCTGGGTAGCTCAGTTGGTTAGGTGTCTAGCTTTGGCTCAGGTCATGATCTCAAGGTCCTGAGATGGCATCAGGCTCCCTTCTCAGAGGGGAGTCGGCTTCTCCCTCTGCCTCTGCCCCGCCCCCCTTGTTCAACCATGCTCTCTTTCAAATTAAAAAAAAAAAAAAAACTTTTTTAAAATAAAGGCTTTAAAAAAATCTGTTTAGTTTGACTTGTTTAGAATTTCATAATTAGGGATCCCTGGGTGGCGCAGCGGTTTGGCGCCTGCCTTTGGCCCAGGGCGCGATCCTGGAGACCTGGGATCGAATCCCACATCGGGCTCCCGGTGCATGGAGCCTGCTTCTCCCTCTGCCTGTGTCTCTGCCTCTCTCTCTCTCTCTGTGACTATCATAAAAAAAAAAAAATTTCATAATTTTATCCTACTGAATGTAATTTTCTCTGCTTTTTATAGAGTTTAATATTACATTTCAAAGCTTCACCTGTGTTGTCATCTGTAGCTGTGTTCATACATTTTCACTGCAGTATAGTGGACCATCATGTGACTATTACAGAATTTTATCATCCGTTTTCTTCTTGAAGGACATTGGGTTGCTTCCAGTTTTGTTTGCTTGCTTTAGTTATTACAATTATTCTATGAATATTTTTGTATATGCATGATGGAATATATGCATAAGAGTTTTTCTAGGTCACATACTTAAGAATGAAACTGTTCTACAGGGGGATATTGAAGATAATTGAACTATATATGATGCCAAATTGTTTTTCAAAATACTTGTATTAATTTATACTCTATATAGTGACAGTTACGATTTCCCATGATTAAATATTCTCTTCAAGCCCTAGCATTGTTGGACTTCCTAAGTTTTGCTATCTAGTAGTTAATAAAATGCTATTTTATAGAGTTCCTAAAGTCACAATTCCCTAATTGCTATTTGGGCTAAGAATCTCTCCATGTTTATTAACCTTTCCTTATTTACCATTCTTTATAATGTCAGTTCACACTTTTGCCCTGTAGTTGTATTCTTTCTTTTTCTAACTGACTTTAAAGCTTTTTAACATATTCTAGATATAATCATCTTGGTAATTATATATTTTGCAAATATCCTCTCCCAGTTTGTATCTTGTTTTTTCACTTTCGTGTGTTTTGACATATTTTTAATTTTAATGTCATCAAACATATCAATTTGTCTTTTATGGATAATGCTTTAATGTCTTGTTTCATAAATCCTGTCATACCTCTAAGGTCATAAATTATTATTCTATATTCTTTTCTAAAATTGTTAAATTTTTGCCTTTTTAGAATTACATCTTTAATTCTTATGAATTCATTTCATGTGTGTGAATGCAATGAGCTAAGAAATACAAATTTATTTTACATGGATATGTAATTTAGGGTTTTTTTTTTTTAACATTATCCTGTTTATAATGGCCCACTGCAATGTTTCTTTAAAGATTTTATTTATTGGGCAGCCCGGGAGGCTCAGCGGTTTAGCACCGCCTTCAGCCCAGGGCCTGATCCTGGAGACCCAGGATCCAGTCCCCTGTCGGGCTCCCTGCATGGAGCCTGCTTCTCCCTCTGCCTGTGTCTCTGCCTCTCTCTCTCTCTCTCTCTCTCTCTCCCTCTCTCTCTCCGTGTCTCTCATGAATAAATAAATAAAATCTTTTTTTTATTTATTAAAAAAATTTTTTTATTTATTAAAAAAAAAGATTTTATTTATTTATTCATGAGAGACACGGAGAGAGGGGGGGGGGTGGGGCAAAGACACAGGCAGAGGAAGAAGCAGGTTCCCTGTGGGGAGACCCAAGCAGAACTTGATCCCTGCACCAGGATCATGCCCTGAGTCACCCAGGCATCCTGGCCCACTGCAATTTATTAAAAACCCCTCTATTCCTAAGGATTTTCCTTTCCCAGTTATCTCAAATATATCAGGTTTTCATTTATATATGAGTTTAATTGAAGGCTCTCCATTCTATTTCAATGGTCAGTTGGCAGATGCCAGTACCAATGTTACACATTGAGAGATGTTACACTGTCTCAATGCCTATGGCTCTATAATAAATCTTGCTACCTAGAAGGGGAAGCCTCAGCCTACTTAATTCTTCTTAGGAATGTCCTGACTATTCTTGGATCTTAATTTTTCCATTTCCATTTTAGAATCATTTATAAATTTCTCAAGCACATGAAAAAGCATATAGGATTTTTATTAAAATTATATTGAATATAGAAATCAATGTTGGGAGAGCAGATATTTTTATGATATTAAGTCTTTCTCTCCGTGTGCATGGGTATGTATTTCCACTTAGATAGGACTTCTTTAATATTTTTCAATAACATTTTATAATTTTCTCCATTCAGAATTGACACATCTTTTGCTAGGTTTTTCCTTAATACATTTCTTCCTGCAAGGAGCCTGCTTCTCCTTCTGCCTGTGTCTCTGCCTCTCTCTCTCTCTCTGAATAAATAAATCTTTAAAAAAAATTCCCCATATAAATAAAATCATATGGTATTTGTCTTTCTCTGACTTATTTCACTTAGCATTATACCCTCTAGATCCATCCATGCTGTTGCAAATGGCAAGATCTCATTCTTTTTTATGGCTGAGTAATATTCCATTATATATATATATGTATATATATATATACATATACATATATATATATATATGTTTCCATAACTTGATTATTGTAAATAACACTGCAATAGACATAGGGTTCCTGTATCCCTTTAAATTAGTATTTTCAGGGATCCCTGGGTGGCGCAGCAGTTTGGCGCCTGCCTTTGGCCCAGGGCGCGATCCTGGAGACCCGGGATCGAATCCCACATCGGGCTCCCGGTGCATGGAGCCTGCTTCTCCCTCTGCCTATGTCTCTGCCTCTCTCTCTCTCTCTCTCTCTCTCTGTGTAACTATCATAAATAAATAAAAATTTAAAAAAATAAATAGATTAGTATTTTCATTCTCTTTCAATAAATACCCAGTAGTGGAATTATGGGACCATATGATAATTTTATTTTTAATATTTGGAGAAACTCCATACTGTTTTCCACAGTGGCTGCATTAGTTTGCATTTCCACCAACAGTGCATTAGGATTCTTTTTTCTGCACATCCTCACCAACATTTATTATTTCTTGTGCTTTTGATTTTGGCCATTCTGACAGGTGTGAGGTGACATCTCATTATGGTTCTCATTTTCTTTTCTTTTCTTTTTTTTTCATTTTCATTTCCCTGATAGTTAGTGATGCTGAGCATCTTTCCACGTGTCTGTTGGTCTTCTTCGGAAAAATGTCTATTCGTGTCTTCTGCCCTTTTTTTTGGGGGGGGGGTTAGCCAAACTTTTTATTTAGTATTCTGTAGTTGCTTAGCATTCTGCCGATTTTTTAATCAGATTGTTTGACTTTGGGGCAGCCCCAGCGGTTTAGCACCACCTTCAGTCCAGGGCCTGATCCTGGAAACCCGGAACTGAGTCCCACATCAGGCATACTTTTTGTATACTGATCTTATATCCAATAAGCTTGTTAAACTCTCCCAACAATCTGTCTGCAGATTCCTTTGGATATTTCAGGTAGGCAAATTATGTCATGACTGAAAGTAATCTTTACATTGCCTCAGATTAAGCAACATGAAGCACATGAGGATAGCTCAAAATTAATAGCATTTCACTCTTACCGCATTCTGAAACAGTCAGGTAATATCCTGATTTATGAGTAAGAAGAATGAACTAACCTGCATGACCAAGGGCATCCAAAAAGCCACGGAACCAGCCTTCTTCTTGGAGCTCCAATAGGTACTTAAGAAAAAGTGAGGCAGCCTCCATCGTGCCTTTATTGTTCTTCTCAGCCTGAATATACTGCACCTCATCTACAAATATAAGAGTGGCTCATCAAACTGCAGAACCACTAATCACTGAAGAAAAAAAAAAAAACCTTAAAAGGGTTGTCAGATTTTCTCAAATAGGGATGGCAAGGGACACCTGGGTGGCTCAGCAGTTGAACGTCTGCCTTCAGCTCAGGGCATGATCCCGGGATCTGGGCTGGGGATCAAGTCCCACATCCGGCTCCCTGCAAGGAGCCTGCTTCTTCCTCTGCCTATGTCTCTACCTCTCTCTCTCATGAATAAATAAAATCTTAAAAAAAAAAAAATGGGGATGGCGATTGTAACAAATCCCAGCAATGGAAGGAACTGCAAGAAGGCAGCAAAGTCTCTGTTCAGGCAGATGATGCCCATTCTTCATCAACCTACCTTCCTTCCACCCTGCATCCTCTCTAGAAATTTCTTCTAGTTTGGTGGGAAGTCTGGGAACATATTCTAGGGCAATCCTTTAAAAAGAGAGTTTCTTAACAATGTGTGGAAAAAGTATACCCACAATAAAGGAGATGGGACCACTCCATGGCATCTTTAATTACACCAGACTCAGAAAGCAGAGTTAGAAATACTTTCATGGTCCTCTTTCCAGGTTTTTGCTTAGACAGTATGAAATATGGGAGAAAAAGCAAGAGGAGCTAAAAAAACACAAGGCCGGGGAACAGAAAACTATCCACCAAACTGCTGGTGGTCACATGACTTTGTACACTAACTCCATGTCTGGGGCAATGACCAAATGGTTGCCTTCACATGTCCTGCCACTTGATATTTCCGCACTTGGAGCCTGAAAACGAGTGACCAGATCCCCCTTTCTCCTTTCAGCTCCTTCCAGGCGTCACCTCCTTTTTTCTCTTTCCTCAAAGCCTATGTTCCTCTCCAGTGCAGTGCATCTGGATTCAAATTAACAAAGATCTATCATCAGGAGTCTCCAAAATCTAGACAGACAGAAACACCTGAAATGAAGCCGGCAGCCATTCAGTCCAGAGTCTCTTACCCCTGGCAAGCTTCCAGTAATTCCTAAGTGCAAAGAAGACTCCGCAAGAGTCACTGTCAATTACCTTGAAGCATTTTGCAATCATTTACATACTCAGCAGTCTCCACCCCCACAAAATCTTGGGCTGCAAAGTATTTTAAAGAGGGGCCTACATCTTACTCCTGAATCTCTACTGTCACTACAAAGCTGAAGACACGGTAGACATTAAGCATTAGAGAAAGAAAAATGGACAATGGTTTGTTTCCCCCTCCTTGAAGCTAAATAGAGGTGCACACCTACACAAGTCATTTCCCTTCTCTGGAGCTGTTTCTCCATCTGGACCCCTAAAGGCTCCTCAGACTGTCCTGGCGAACTCCAGGCTACACTCCTGAGGATCCTGCCTCAACATCCGCGTTCCTCGCATGCTACTTGTGTTGATTAAAAGGGGAGAACAGAGTCCTGAGTGGTTTCCTTGCTCCGAGGGGCAGGCGTCCCTGGGGACCACTCACCATCCTTAAACCAGGGGGCCATGTAGCTCAGGATGTAGGCAGGGTCCAGAGTCTTGATGACATAGTCCCGGAAGGCGTGCAGGTTTCGCCGCTCCTCGGCCGTCATTCTGCAGCTCAGCTCCCGGGGACGTCCGCACCTCGCCGGCGCTCACTCCCTTAAATGCCTGTGCGGGGCTTGCAGGGATCTTGGGCAGCGGACGCAGACCCAGCGCTGAGAGGCGGGGCCGCCGCCGGGGAACCCCAACTGCGGATGGGAAATCGAAAGCGCAACTGGCGGCCGCGGGCCAGGGTGCTGGGGTGCGCTGCCGCTGCCCCGCCTCCCGGGCCAACCGCACTCTTCCCGAGCTTTCGTTTCCCGTCCTCCGAGTGCCTGGCTTGCCAATCTGGAGGCGCCCGCGACCGGGTCCCTCTGGGTCCTCCGGAAGGACCGAGGACAACACCCCCCCCCCGGGAACTTTTCTGATTATCATTTTGGGTTTTTTCCCCCCATTTTGCTTTTATAGCAAAGTTTAGATTCAATAAAATGCGCAAATTTTAAGTGTACGATTCCATGAGTTTTGAAAAATGTATATGGGTGGTAACTGCTTCCCCCAGGGCGTGTAGGTCCTATGGTAAGTGAATGTTTAACTCCACAGAAACCTGCCACCCGTTTTCAAAAACAGACGTACCATTTTGCATTCCTAGCGTAGACGAAGAGATCCAGTAGATCTACATTGGTCAATTTGCCATCATTGTCTATCATTGTGGTTTTGACTTTAACTCCTCGAACAGTTAACGTGAGCATATTTGCATGTGTTTATTGGCCATTCATCTTCTTTTGTGAGGCATTTGTTCCCATCTTTTTGCCTGATTGTGTTTCCTTTATATTATAGATTTACAAGTTATTTATTCTGGAGATGAGCCCATTGTCGAACGCATGTATCCCACCCAAATACCTTCTCCCAGACTGTGACTTACCATTTCATTTTCTTTAAAGTGTCTTTCAAGCAAATATGAAATGATACAAAGAAAGCAAATAGGGTCCGAGACAGAAAATAATGGAGGTTGGAAAAAACTATTTTAATACAGTGGTAAAGGCATATATATCTCTGGGTATGTCACATTTCAGCTGAGTCCTTAAAAATGGGGGAGGAATTAACTATTCAAAAAAGGAAGAGAGGGATTCCACGCAGGGGGATAGAGAAAACAAATGAATCAAAGAAAAAAAAGGTGAACAAGGGATAAATGGCATGTAGTGTTGCTGCATTGGTAAACAGGGCCTTGTAAGGCAAGGGATCAAGTACAATAGGAACACATAGCAGGACTTTAAGGAATAATTTGATCACATTTTTAGAAAACACTTGCCCCCTGGCTCCTATGCAGAACAAGTGTATCAATGAGAGGAGACTCAAGTAAGAGATGATGGGATCACAGATAAGGACAGTAGACATGGAGAGTGTAAGAAATGAAAGGTTTCAGATATACTTTAACAATAGGAGTGAGCGGCAGTGGAAAGGAAGGGGGGAGGGGAATCAAACCTACATTCCAGGCATCTGGTTTGAGCAACTAGAAGAATGGTAGCACCATGACTAAAATGGAGAAGACAGGTTTACAGCTTAGTCTAGTCCAGCGTGGCAGACAGACATAATACATGAGTAAGTTCAAGGAGAAATAAAGCCAGATAAGAGAATAAAGAGTCGTGAGAGTTGCTTGTATCAGATGAGCTAATGAGGGAGACCTAAATGAAGTGAGAGAGCAGGTCATTTGGGTGAAAAAGCATTCTACTAAACAAAGTGCAAAGGAGGAGAAGGGGAAAGGAGGAGGAGAGGAAAGAAAAGGAAAGGGAAAGTAAAAAGGAAAGGAAAAGGAAAGGGAAAGTAAAGGGAAAAGGAAAGGGGAAAGGAGAGGAAAAGGGAAAGAGCACAAAAAACCCAGGAGTGAACCAGGCCTGAGAAAGTAAAAGAGGTGAGCGGAGTTGCTAGAGTGAAGTGGTCTGAGAGGAGGAGAAGTGGCCAAGGCAGTTCACATACAGTCTGACAGACCACAGGACGACAACTTTGGCTTTGGATTTTATATTAAATATGACAGGGAACCATTGTAGGATTTTGAGAGGAAGTAGAAGATCTGTTTTTAAAGGAGCACTGTGGTTGACTGGAAGAAAACAAGCTTCAGGGGAACAGGTTGGATGCCGAGCAACCAGGTAAGAAATTGGGACCAGCACCAGAGAGCTGATGGCATCTTGGATCAAGAACAAACCTGTAGAAGTGAAGTTGCAGGATATATAATTCTAAAATCACACAATTTGGTGATGAACTGGATGTAGGACATGTGAGAAAGAATAATTCCTGTTTAGCCTGAGCAGCTGCATGAATGGTGGTGCCATCACTAACGTGGACACTGGAAGATAGATGGGCAGGCTTGGAGGAGAAAAATCAAGAACCTGCTTGCTTGCCTGCTGAGAATGATCCACAGGCAGGGCTTCTCACACATGAATGCCCACATAGGTCTTTTAAAGTGCAGATTCTGACCTTGTAGGTCTGAGACTCTGCATTTCTAACAAGCTGACACTGATGTGATGCTGATGCTGCTGGTCCACAGACCTTGTTCTAAGTAGCAAAGTAACTAAAAAAAACATGAGATAAAAGAAAAATGGAGGATACTTCAAAAATCAGTATTTCTACTAAAGTGGGATAAGTGAAATCCTGAGCACACGTGGAGGGAATGACCTAGAACAGTGGTTCTTTTTTTTTTTTTTAATTTTTATTTATTTATGATAGTCACACACAGAGAGGGAGAGAGAGGCAGAGACACAGGCAGAGGGAGAAGCAGGCTCCATGCACCAGGAGCCCGGCATGGGGTTCAATTCCGGGTCTCCAGGATCGCGCCCTGGGCCAAAGGCAGGCGCTAAACTGCTGCGCCACCCAGGGATCCTAGAACAGTGGTTCTCAAACTGTAGTTTGTAGGCCAGTGGCATCAGAACCACTTGGAAACCCGTTAGAAGAGCAAATTCTTGGCATCACAGATGTTCTGAATCAGAAAACTGTGGGTGTGGGCCTCAGCAATCTGTTTTAACAAAACTTACAAACGACACTGATGCATACAAAAGTGTGAGAACTAAAGGCCTAGAGAAAGAGAGCTTCATCCATTGATGGAACAAAGATGGATTCTATGGTAGGTTGAACGCAAACATTACAATTCTTTACCTTTCCTAGTATTTACACCTCTTGCTAGAGAGGTATTTTGGTAAACAGGGTTGCTTACCCAAACTTTGTGCTGGCCAGAACTGCCCAGCCCTATGGAAAGCATGTGATAGAGACAAGTGGGAAGGGTGAGGTATGAAATATATCCATTGTACCAATGAGCCAGAACACTAGAGAAACTCGTCCACTAACATATGAAGTTGAAGCTGGGGATTGTGTTTTCACCGTGACAGCAATCTGCAGTTACTGATTTCCTTCAAAACACTCAACAGGATGCATGTAGACACAACTGAAGAGTTGGGTTGATCCAGATAGAGGTCTTGCTAGGTAAAACTACTGTTGCAGATCTGGCATATGACTTATTTTTAAGTCCTCCATGCTGTCCAAAAGAATTTTCTGTGATGATGGAAATGCTCTCTACCTGTATTGGCCAATATGGTAGCCATGAGCCTCAATAAACAAAATTTAAAATTCAGTTCCTGTTTTACTAGCCACATTTCAAATAATATTCACATGTGCCTAGTAGCTACTATACTGGCAGTGCAGCTCTAGGCAGCTCAATATCAAACTGAAATGTCCTCCCCAAACTATCCCTATTATTTTATTTCCTACCTTGAATGTTATCACTGAACTCTCAGGCATCAAACTCTCACATGGGGGGGGGGGTGGTAAATCTCATACCAGACTTTTCCCTCTTTCTCATAGCCCATCCTCATCTACTCAGTACTCAAATTGGGTCTAGTCTACTGCAGAAATTTACTGAGTCCAGCCTCTCCCCTGGATCCCTATTCTTCTACAGGTCCTTCTGATTTCTGGTTTGAGCTACTGCAGTTTCTCAAGCAGTGTCTCATCTAGGATTCCCCACTCCACAAACTTCTACATTACTGCTGGTTGTTTAAGAACAAATTTAATTGTTCCATTTCCACCTTCTATAAAATTCCTGTTGGTTTCACCCTATTCATTGTTAAACTCCTAGCATCTAGCACAGACTTGAACCACAGGTACTCAATGTTTGATGAATAAATGAATTTTAGAGACCGAAAAGCAGAGAGATATCCTTTTGCCTAGGAGAGAACTGCTTCCCTACTTAAAGTACAGATGGTCAGAAAAGCAGCCTACTCTAAGCAAATATTAGATACCAAAATCTGCCCCCCTCGTGTCTGTATAAGTACACCATCTAATGTTCTGGTAAACATCACAGCTGCAGCTTTTATGGGGATAAATTTATCAACTCAGACCTTGACCTAACAACTTCCATTTTCCTGGTCTCTTGCTTTTCTCAGGCATGGATCCAATGGATTTACCAGCCCCCAATACCCCTGGCAGGTAGAGTAAGAATTTCTTAAGTTCCATGACCTTGTAAAAACCAATCTTACTGTACTTTTTTAAATGGTCTTATCTCACATACTGTTTTCTAATATGTAAATGTTCCAGGCATTGACTAAAAACTCAGAATAATCAATTATTTACCAAGTTTTTATCTTTGTACACGTGCCAGCTGCTACAGCAGAACACAAGCATAGTTTAAAGGACAAGATATAATACCCATGATACAACTCCCCCTTTTCTTCTCCATCCTTTATCTTCTATCACCCACAGTATCTTTCATGCAGAGGACACTTCCAGCTCATTGATCACTAACAATTCCAATTACCTTCAACTCCAGCCCTACCCATTCTAGTTACTTCCAATGATAACCTAGAATTAGGCACTCTCAATTTCTTCAGGCTTCTTACACCTACTTCCATTGTATCTATTTGAACCTCACTGGAAAACAAATTCTTCAACCCCCTGCTCACTTCATAGCTTCACTTCCTTCCCTACACAGCCAAGATGCCAGAATGCATCAATTCACCAGTAGCTTACTCAACTCCCTTGTCCCTCCCTCTTTTACTAGTTACATTCAGAACTCCAACCATAAACCATCCATTTATTCATTCACTGTATAAATACTGAGCACATACTATCTGTCCAACATTAGTTTCTGCTTCTGCTCCCACAGTGGTGAATGCTACCAGGAAAAAAAAAAATCACAAATCTTGGTGTCCCGTAAAATATCCCGTGTCTTAAGGGGAGGCCTCTGGTCTCAGCACTCATCAGTGATTCTTAGCTAACCCTCTCCATGACCCTCAGTGGCCTTTTTCTCATTCCTCTCCTGAAGCCCAGTTTTATGACCCACTTCTCTCAGAAGACAGGATGACAGGTTTTACAGTATCAACCACCTCATCTCAACACATCTACTCACAAATGTGCATTACTTCAGTCACTTTAGAGTAGTAAGACTCGCCTCTGCTTCTATCCATCACGAATCCACTCACCTGTGTTCTGTGCTCTGCCATTCAGGAACTCTGCTGCATCTGTTACTACTCTGCTTTGTTTTAAACTTTTCCTGGCCCAGGATCTCCTTCCTAGAAAGCTTGTCTTCCCTCCATCTTAAATTTTTAAGAACTCTCCTTTGATTTTATACCCCTCACAGCTTGCTTCTGAGCATGGAAACAAGAGCAGTTATAACTGCGTATCTCAGACTAAGATCCTTATCTCAACAGGATTGGCCTTATAAATGGGACCAGAACACCTCCCTAGTGACTCTGGCTCTTTCTCACAAAGTGGCTTTAATAGTTACTGCATGTTTGTCTGACATTTTCCTTTTGCTGAGTATACATGGCTGAAAACTCTGACACACGCACACAGGTAACCTTGCAGTCCTGTAAGGGCAATTTTATTAGCCTGTTCTTTTTTTTTTTTTTTTTAGTATTATTTATTTATTGGGGGGGGGGGCAGAGACACAGGCAGAGGGAGAAGCAGGCTCCATGCAGGAAGCCTGATGTGGGACTCGATCCCAGGTCTCCAGGATCACACCCCAGGCTGCAGGCGGCGCTAAACTGCTGCACTACCAGGGCTGCCCTTATTAGCCTGTTCTGAAATTATTTCAATCTTACAGAAAAACTACAAAAATTAAGTATAAAGACTTCCTACAGGGATCCCTGGGTGGCGCAGTGGTTTGGCGCCTGCCTTTGGCCCAGGGCGCGATCCTGGAGACCCGGGATCGAGTCCCATATCGGGCTCCCGGTGCATGGAGCCTGCTTCTCCCTCTGCCTGTGTCTCTGCCTCTCTCTCTCTCTCTCTGACTATCATAAATAAATAAATTTTTTAAAAAATTAAAAAAAAAAGACTTCCTACATTTTTACCCTCAATTTTTAACATTTTGCCACAATTTACTTTATCACCATCTCCATCTATATACGCATTTTTTCTGAACCACTTGAAAGTAGGCTGCATACACAATAATCATGATTTAGTTTCCTACATAGGTTTTCCTAAAGGCATCAAACAATGGACATGTCTATAGAATAGTGCTCCCTCATCCGCAGTCAACTATGAAGCCTTTTGAAGTATGGGGAGGTCAACAGTAGCCTGATGCTTACATCACAATGCCTAGGTCATTCACTTCACTTCATTCCTTAGGCATTTTACCATTTCACATCACAAGAAGGGCAAGTACAAGTTATTTTGAGAGACCACATTCATATAACTTTCATTACAGTGTACTGCTATAATTGTCCAACTTTATTGTTATTAATCTCTTCCTGTGCCTAACTTATACACTTTTTTGTATGAATAGAAAACAGTACATACAAAGTCAGGTACTATCTAGTTGTAGGCATTCACTGGTGGATCTTGGAACTTATCCTTTACAGGTAAGAGGGTACTACTACATAAGTTCTGGTCTCAATGATAGCTACATTATAGTAATTTAATCAGTTAACGTTTTGATTGTGCATAGCTCAATGAGTTTGATGTTAAAAATGGACCCATGCTCAGAATTCTGATGAAATCTGGTATGTGAAGAGTAACCCTTCTCCCTCTACTTCCCTTCCCCTACTGTCACTGGTGGGGACATTAGTGGGGACACTGGGGCTGGTGACAAACTGAACCAGGTTATACTTGATTTTTTTGTATCTTGGAGAATCTTCTGAAACTTCTGACTGGCTCTGGGTGTCCATCTCACTGGCAGAGGACTGCAATTATTCCCCATGATGTAAGAACCTGCAAGAATGGGCCATCAGCTTACCCTGAATAAATTGTTGCCCCTTTGTACACACAGCCCATCTTATTACACATTAAACGGGTTGAGGAGGCCCTTGGATTGGGAAGTAAAAGTAATAAAAAGTTTTCCTGTTGTCAATCTGAGGATTGATGAACGAGAAAGTGCAAATGCTTGATTGCATTTCCTTTAAACAAAGGAAAAGTCAAAAAGACACTGAAAATCTGAGGTTAAGATAAAATATCTCATACACACTGAATCAGGTGAACAGCTTAAAAGAATATACTGGTAGGCTAAAAGTTAAGGCAGTGGAACCCTCTAAAAGCAGACAGCAGGTCCCAATTTTTAAAATCCCTTCTATCTAGTCATCCATCAAATGCTTTAAATATTTCCTATATGAAAGAAAACAGAAGTGGTTTACCAGAAAATGTACGTATGGTTGCCAAAGAACTTGCAGACAGGTGAGAGAACACTTAGTAATGAATTACTACAGGACTCCAAGGTTATTGAGAGTGTAAATAATTGAGGGAAAATAATGGAGGACGGCACACTTTACCAGAAGCTTTCCTTTAGGATGGAATTGTTTCCAGAAGAAAAATCCACATGAAGGCTCTGCATTAACAGGGAGCAGCACTTCCACAGACCTGAAGATTAGGATGGCCAGAGCACAAATGAGGTGAGAGAAAAGCTGACAATGAACCAGAATCTGATTAGGCAGAGGTATGTAAAACATATTATGCTGGATTTTTGTTTGCTTTCATTAACTATCTTAAGAATAACAGAAAATTACTGAAAGATTTTTAAATAGGGGAATGAAACAAAACAAAAACTTTAAAAAAAAATATTTTGACTGCTACATCAAGAAAGGCTGGAGGCAAACAGGTAGGTTTAGAGCAACAATGGATGCAGGCCGACCCACTGTAAAAGCACAGGTAAGAGATCATGGCTATCTAGATTGGATAACCGTGTAGACACATTAGAAATATTTAGTGACCAGGATTTGGGGATTGAATGAGAGGGCTGAAGGAGGAGAATCAAAGACCGGGAAATTTTTGGCCTGAACCCCTAAGAGGATGATATGATGCTGCCACGTATTAAGATGAGTTTCATGTGTTTAACTGACAACACTAAGATAGGTTTTCACTAAATGTTTAAAAATATGTAAAGTCAGAAAATAAAATAGCATTGTTTTTAATACTTAAACTACAAAATCATAATTTCAAATTATATTCCTTGATCAACTTCCCATAATTTCTCAATGTCTAATCTTATAAAAATTGCAAACATCAATTTTGATTGTCATTTTTAAAGAATTTCCTATCGCCATTAGGACAAATACAAACATGACCAACAAAGCTTAGTGCCACACTCTGCCCTGTGACTAACTTTGCCTTCTTTCAATTCTTGGAATATGCAAGGCTATCCTTCTGCTTTTGAATCTTTGGATAATCTTTCCCTTTGGTAAGAACAACTCTACTCCTAGCTAACATCTGTTTTCTGAATTTCAATTCAGCCATCATTTCCACATGAGATTAGGCCCCCACTGTATGCTCTTCTAGGAAATCATACTTTCCCCTCCACAGAACTTATGGTTTGTAATGTTTACATAAATGTTCCACAATGGCAAGGAGCGGATCTGCTTTGTTCTACCACTAAAACCCTAAAAACATAGTACAGAACCTGCCACACATCAGGCATCCCAATTTCTGTTGAACAACAAATGAATATGGTAGCAAGGCAAACTGAAGGCTGAATTAGACTTAATCCAAGTTCTGTTACTGGCAATCTTATTTTAGGATAGATGGAGAGCAATTTGTCATTTCTAAAACAGAATAAAACATAAACATAATTACTTTGTGTGTAAGTACCAATGTAAAAGACCTTTGGCAAGGACCTTTTGTTTTTAGTAAGCTAAATGCTACATAGCTGCATTCTGCTGAAGATATTCCTCATAATCAGATTAACGAACTAAATTGAAATGCAGATCACTTGAAATTTAGTATTAACAAGTATACCCTTAACTATTTTGAAGATTTTAGCTCCTCTAAGTAGTTCAAGTAATTCGATTTTTTTTTTTTTAAGGCAACACTGCGTAGGAAAATTTCTAGATTCTTGTTAAAGTGTTACTGTTTTATTTTTTATTTTGTTGAATACACATTTGTTTTACTGGCAGTCCAGATAAACAAGTATATAAAGGAAATATTTAAATTTTTCTTTTGGCAGGTGTCAAACTGTGCAGATTAAAATGCCTCAATTTAACCTGAAGAAATGGTTTTGAATCATACAAATTTTTAAGAAGAAAAATAAACTGTCCAAAGGGATTCTCCTAGCTTATAACACATTTCCAGAATAACTCTCAAAAAAAAAATTCAAAAATACTCATTGACTACTTTAAAAATATGTCAATACCATATGGCTTTATGAAATAACTTCTAAAATTTATATTTTTTTATTTAAAAAGGATCCCAAGTTTTAAATAAACTGCTAGCAATATCATTTTCCTCACTTAAAAGTGCATATCTCTGAGGGTGGGACATACATACTTTTTGAACAAATAATGATTTTTACAAATTTTTAACACAAAAAAAATTACTTAAAATATTTTTAAGGGGCTAAGAGTTTTCACCAAAAGTCATCTTTAAATAGACTGCAGTAGATGACACTGTTCTTTTTTTTTTTTTTTTCTTATACCATCAGAATTCTCAATGAGATGCTTTGGCAGTTTTAAGACATATCGTGGTCTCTACCAAGAGATACTGACATTAACGATGTCCGTGGAGACGGCAACTGCCTTGATGGCTCAGTGTGAATAGCAACATTACTGGGCTGGTTCTCCAAATCAGAGGCAAAAGTACTCTCTTCTCTTACATCAAGAGTCTGTTCAACTGAAGCTGCCTGGGGTGGAATATCATCCACAGTTTTGTTGGCATTATTCAAGTTGTCATTAAGTGTGGAAATAGTACACTCCTTGTCTAGGATGCCAAATTCATCTTCTATTGTAACTACATCTTTAGCTTCAAATGGTTCCAAGGGAGGAGGCAAAAACTCATTTTGTAGAGGGTCCTGAGGACCACTATTGTCACATTCTGTATCTTCCTTTACTTCAGAATCCTTATCACTATCACTGTCAATGGTAATTACAACTGGCGAACGTGAACCATTGTCCCCATGATGTTTCTTATGCTTCTTCTTGTGCTTCTTCTTTTTCTTTTTATGATGCCTAGTTGTATCAGTAGCTTTGCCCTCATAAACTATCTCTACACTTAGGCTCCGGGTCCTCCTTTTTCTCCTTTTGTGTTTTGTCTCTCTGTCTGATGATCGGCTGTCTGAAAAGCTGTCACTCTCATTTTTATGGTTGCCATCCAATTTTGATGAGGACTTTTGGTAATGACTTTCCTTTACTTTAGAAGCAAACTCACGAGAAGGTTGAGCCACTTCATTAGTACCCTCCAAATGCCGTGTTTTGTATTTTCGTTTCCCTCCGGGCTTTTCATTTCTTACCCAGTCAGGCCCTGTAGATGCAGTTTTTGATCTATTACTGGACAAGCTTCTTGATCTGTGCCTTTCATAGTAGTAATACTTCCTTTCACTGTGATTATTTTTTTTCCTAGCATTTGTTCTTTCAGAAAAGGACTGAATTCTAAATTCTGGACTTGAAGATTGTCTGGAATAATGAGCTCTGGACAGAGTCCTCCTCCTATAAGATGATTCATAGCCATCCCTGTCCTTGTTTCTACTATAGTAAGTATACTCCCACTTATACCTGCTTCCATAATTATTTCTTAAATAATAACGATCTCTATTTCTGCTCCGTGATCTTCTTTTACCATGATCACTGCTACGAGATCTTGATCTGCTTGTGCTTTCGCTACTGAGAGAGAGAGTCTGACTTCTTCTTGACCAACTGCTGTCTCTAGTTCTTGATCTCTTCTTGTCCCTTCTACCTCTAGGTCTGCTACTCTCCCTGCTCCTGGACCTTTTGCTTTTCATCCTTTTCTTCCCATGATGCTTTCTACGACTCTTCTGATCATGCCCACTTCTACTCTGGGAACGAGAATCTGAACTTCTTGATCTTCCCCTCCTCCTGTGTCTACGGTTATATGGGGAATATACCCTGTCTCCTCTGATAGACGAGCTCAGGTCTCTGGGAGATGACAATGATGTAGAGTGCTTCTCTTCTTTCTTTGACTTGATTCTTTTACCAGAACCACATTGACCTTTATTTATTTGCTCATCCTTTCCAAGGACAGAGTGTGGAGATGAGCATCTACTAACATCACTATCACCAGAACTATAAGACTGTTCTTGTGTCTTCACAGTCTCCATTTTCTCATAAGAGCCTAACTCCTCAGAATCAGAGGACAGTTCAACAAGTTCTGGGGTCCTCTCAGCTAGTGGTTTAACAAACCCAACAATGACACAATTATCTGAAGAAGAATCACTGTCATTATTGAGGTCTTCATTAGTTTGTACTCCTTGTATCTGAGATGTGGCTCTTCCTGTTACAAGTTCTTCATCTGAACTATCAGAAGTATTTAAAAGGGAAGACATGGCAGCGTGTACCTGTTCTGAGCTTGAGTAAGATGGCCCTGGAGTTTCATCATCCCACGGTGCCTGACTAACAGTGGTTACATTGATATCTAACTCTTGAGTCTCAGCTTCATCAGGAGATATTGTTATGACTGAAGAATCAGAATGGCTACCTTCTTCATATGAAGGAGCAGGGCAATCATAATTAGCATGCTGGTCAAAAGCTGCCATGTTAAAAGGAGATCGAGCAAAACTGATAAATTCATGTATAAAATGCTCAGTCCGATTAAGCAGAAATGGTCTTAAGTCAGACACAAATTCCCGACTTTCCAAGTCATAGCGAGTAACATTACTCATGATGATGTGCTGGACAATATTCACTAAAGATCCATGAGCTCCAAAAAGAACTGTAAGTTCACGTTTTAGCCAGGGGACTAATCTGTGAAGGCAAGCTGGATTTCTACGGAAAAATTCAGCTGAAATATCCCTGCAGCGACCACCATCTTCAATATTTCTAACACGGGCGCCAGCACGATAAAGAGTTCGTCTAAAATTAATAATATCCTGTTCTTGAATTTTCCGCAAAGATCTTTCATCTGCAGTAGTTGGCCTCCTTACTGCAATCTGTCTCATAAGTTGAGGAATTTCACCATTTCTAGGTCTTGTTGAAATGCCTAACCCCTCAAATAGTACTCCACTATCTGGTGGAGTTGTTGTTCTTCTACTCATAGTACTATTAGGTGAATAAACAGAAGCACTTCGATCTCTTGTCATAGTTGTACGATAGCGAAATCGTGGAACATCAGGGGTTGCAAAAGAACCATTATATGAAGGCCTTAGGACATACTCCTTGAAGTCATCTTCTGCCCTCACAGAATGGAAAATAGAATCAAAGGGCTGTTTACATAGTGGACATTCAGCTTTGTTTTTTGACCACTCCTGTACACAGCGAAAACAGAACTTATGTAAACAGCGATCTAAGTAAGACACATTATCAAATCTATCCAAACATATAGGACACTTAGAATCAGGAGATGCATCAGCTGGTACTGTCTGTTGCAATTTGCTAGTACCAGCTTTAGGTGAAAAGTTGTCCATTTTAAATTCCTTAGCAGCTGATGCCATTATCTGTAAAAGGGAAAAAAAATACATCAGTAACCAGAAAAAAAGAACACACTAAAATCTGAAAAAAAAAATTCAAATAAATGATTGTGAAACATACTTTGGTGAAAATAGCTGAGTAGCTCATTAACCTTGTAATATGAAGGGACAGTGTAACATAGTCATATAGTACTTAAAACACAAGCTCTAAAAGTCACATATTTCCTGGGTTTGAATCCTGGTTTCACACCAGCAGTGTGACTATGTATCAGCAATAATAGAACCTGCATCACAGGGTTTATGAAGACCTTAGAAAAGGTGCCTGGTACCCAGGAAGCTCTCAAATATTATGTAGCATTCTGTTCTTTTAAAAAAGAATTTAACCAAAAAGAATTTTATACACATATAAATATATAAAGGTATATATATTTATATACTTATACACACACACACACAATCTGCCAAGTACCCATGTATCCACCACTCAGATTTAGCAAGATTTTTTTCATGGCTATTTCAGTATTTTTTAAATATCCCTTATCTTCTCCTCCTATCCCCCTCTAGAAAATAAAAACCAAAAACACCAGTCCTCAGCTAGTGTTATTTCTATCTACTGTTTCAGTTCTTGCATACATATCCCCTGAGCAATATAGACTACTGACTTGCTTTATTTATGTAAAATATTGAATGTATACCTTTAAACATAACTACAGTGAGATAATTTGCATACCAAAAGTTTACCTGTTTAAACCAATTCTGTAGTTTTTAGTGGAAGATTTTTTCACACAGAGAGAGTATCTTTTAGTGAGGACTAAATGAAATAATATATGTAAAGGTGTCCAAAGAATAGTTCCTGGCTCCTAGCAACTGCTGTATAAATATTAGTTGCCGTTAGTATTATTATACTATGGTTACACTACTATATTCAATTCCTCACTGATTCCTTACATTACTAAGTCTTTGAGCTTTTTTATTTAATCCAAAGGCAGCCACAAAGTTTCTTGAAATCATGCTTCCAGTGCCCTTCCCTTATTATTTTTTCCCCACAAGGATCACTAGAATCTTAATTAGTTTTGTTTTCTTTAAATGTATCAGTTTATGTTGACACCCCCCCCCACCTTTTTTAAGATTTATTTATCTGAAACAGCGCACACGGAAACACAGGCAGGGGGAACAGCAGATGGAGAGGAGAAGCAGGCTCCCCGATCCCCTACCAAGCAGAGAGCCTGACAGGGGGCTTGATCCCAGAATGCTGGGATCATGACCTGAGCCAAAAGCAGATGGATGTTTAACCAACTGAGCTACCTAGGTGCCCCAACCCATTAACTTGCAAATTTGCCAGAGCTGAAATTTGGTATGCATCACATTTTTGGCCTGGTTATTTTATAAATCACTCTTTAGCTGCACTCTATATTAATCATTGAGTATATATTAAAAATGTTTCTTTCGGGACGACTGGGTGGCTCAGAGGTTGAGAGTCTGCCTTTGGCCCAGGGCAACATCCTGGCATCCCAGGATAGAGTCCCACATCCGGCTCCCTTCATGGAGCTTGCTTCTCACTCTACCTGGTCTCTCTGCCTCTCTCTGTGTCTCTCATGAATAAAAAATAAATCAAATCTTAAAAAAAAAAAAAAAGTTTCTTTAGGTTTCCTGGGCCTATTATTCATCTTTCTCTACCTCCTCTATCATAGAAAGTTCCATCAGCGGTCAACTGCTATCAATTTAGTCTAAGGGAATTATAACTTTCTAAACACTGGCCAGGGAATGGATCCCTGGGTGGCTCAGCGGTTTAGCGCCTGCCTTCAGGCCAGGGTGTGACCCTGGAGTCCCGGGATCCAGTCCCACATCAGGCTCCCTGCATGGAGCCTGCTTCTCCCTCAGCCCGTGTCTCTGCCTCTCTCTCTCTCTCTCTGTCTCTGTCTCTCATGAATAAATAAATAAAATCTAAAAAAAAAAAAAAAAAAAAAAAAAACCAAAAAACTGGCCAAATTCTACCAAATTCTAACAAAAACAAACCCACAACAAAAATTCATGATTGTGAAATGTAACTATTTCATCAGAAATTTCAAATTAAACTTGCTCATCTAAGGGCATCTTTCTCAGAGACATAACTTAATAGGAAATCAATTAATACTGAACAAATGTTTCTTCAGGGATCCAAATATTTCTAGTCTGTTATTTTCTAGACTAGAAATACAGAAATCACCACTGCTCTTAAACAGCATGTAATTATAATAAACTGCTTTCATTAATGTATTTAACTATATACAATAATAACTGTCATTAATATATCTAAACCTTAATAATATTTAAATTTCTCGGCATTTTTTCCTACTTCTAACATTTTTATTCTTCCTCCCAGGAAATAAAAAGCCTAAAAATAAAAATTTTCAGGATCACAGACAGAGTCTGTACATTAGGGGAAGGAATGAAGAGTGGAGAGAAATTGGATAGGTAATCAGGGAATCTGGACTGACCACGTTTCCCCTAAAACTATAAACTGGAAACATTCAATAAAATCTAGATTTTTTAGTTTGGCCTTCTATATAATAAAGTGATTATTAGACTTTTTTAAAAAACTGGTGAATTTAAAGTTAATACATTGTACCTTGATTTATGTCATGGAAATACAGAACTGTAGTGTTTATTGAACATTTGCAGTTCACATAAAAATTACAACCCTGAATGCATTTTCTTAAAAGAAATTTGTAGGTAGTAAACTTAAAATTCAAATAAAACAAAATCTCAACTAAGTAGAATTTTTTTTTTTTTTAATGGAATCTTAAGGGATCTTAGGTGGCTCAGCCAGTTAAGCATCTGCCTTTGGCCCAGGTCATGATCCCAGAATCTTGGGACTGAGCCCCAGCCCCCCATGGGGCTGCCTGCTCAGGGGGGAGTTTGCTTCTCCCTCTCCTTCTGGCCCTGCTTGTGCATGCACTTGCTCTCCAATAAATAAAACCTTAAAAACAAAAACACAACTTTTCTTCCCTTCCCTAGTTTTATAACAAGCCTGTTAACCACTTCGACAGTATAGAACAGGGCAAAAGAATGATCAGGAATATCCATAAGATATAAAAAAATAGAGTTGTATTTCTCATAGTAATATCTTTAGATATAAAGAACAGTATTCATCAGAAACATCAAACAGTGGCAATGCATATACATCATCAAATAAGAGATTTTCCTTCAAAAGCATCACTAATGCTAAAATTAACACATTTACTAATGGGGCATCTGGCTGGCTCAGCCAGTAGAGCATGTAACTCTTGATCTCAGGGTCATGAGTTAAAGCCCCTCACTGGGTGTAGAAATTACTTTAAAAAAAAATTTGCTACAATATTTGCTGAGATACAAATGAAATAGAATTACCATATGACCCTGGAATTCAATACCCATCCAAGAAAACATACTGTCCATACCAAAACTTACATGTGAATATTCATAGCAACATTTATCATAAAAGCTCAGAAGTGGAAACAACCCTACCAACTTATGAAAAGAAAAATAGAATGTGGTATATCCGTACAGTGGAATATTATCGAGCAATAAAAAAGATGAAACAGATACATGCTACAATAAGAACGGAAACTTTTCATTAGGCAAAATGGAGAAAAAAAAAGTCACATATTGTATGATGCCATTTATATGAAATGTCCAGAATAGGCAAATCTACAGATGGAAATAGACTGCTGGTTGCTGGGGAGGGAGAGAGATTACACAGTTTATTTGTGGAATGATGAAAATGTTCAATTATAGTTGCACAACTCTCTAAGTATACTAAAAACCACTGGGTTACACACGTTAAACAGGTAAACTTTATGGATGGAATATAAACTATATCTCCATAAAGTGGCTTTAAAAATACAAATTAAGGCATAATACAAACTAGGGGACAGATTAAGATTACTAGTTTCTTTATAAATTCTAGGTTTAAGTAGCAAAAGTGGAACAGATGGCACATTTAGTGCTTCAGGTTCTAGAAGCCTGCAATAAGGTTTCTGTATCCTGGCACTCCAGGAATTGGGACTTCAAGTTAATTTTCCATAAACATAAAGAGAAAAATCAGTTCTTCTGATCCTATTTCCTTAACCAAGCCTCCCAAATTCTAAATAAAGTTTATCATCTTTAGGATACACTGATTAAGCCAAACCTTCCCCAAATTTTAAACCTATTGGCTTTAACAAGGTAAGAATGCTTCCTGTCACATTTTGGGGGAATTTCAGATATTAACAAGCATACTTACCTAGGGAAAATAGATGGGGGGGGGGAGAGAGAAGAATCAAGGGCTGAAGGCTAAATTATAGACTGGATATTTAAAAATGGTGATTACATATAGGGGAATGATATCAATTCTAATGCAGAGCCAGGGTGAAAATCAAAACCACTTATTAATGGTGTGATCTGGAGAAAATTATTTAATTTCTCAAAACCTTAGAATTTCTCAATTCTAAAATAGATTAAGTACTAGCGCCTGCCTGAAAAGATGGTTGTGTGAAGGCATATATACTCTATGTAAACTCTTAGCATGATTAGTATGGGGTAAGAATTTAATACTGTTCCCCCATGTGAAAATAAAGTTAATTTTAGTCCTTTCCATCACCTATAGCTGATTATAAAAACTCAGGAAAACTATAACAAATAATCTTTTTTCATTCATTCATTCATTCATTCATTCATTCATTCATTTAGACACACACACAGAGAGAGGCAGAGACGCAGGCAGAGGGAGAAGCAGGCTCCATGCAGGGAGGCCGGCGTGGGACTCGATCCCGGGTCCCCAGGATCACACCCCGGGCTGCAGGCGGCGCCAAACTGCTGTGCCACCGGGGCTGCCCACAAATAATCTTTTTTTTCTAAATATAATTACTGCTTTTCGTATATCCACGCAAGGTGGCTAAAAAGGGTACAAAATAAGATGCACTGGAATAAACCCCAAGTATTAAAAAAATAATCTGGGTTCTTTTTATTACCTTAGCGAAATCACTGTACCTCCTTCAACTGCAATTTAATCACCAGTTCCCAAGGATCATTCGGATCTTAAAGGATCTATTAACCAGATCTTATAAATTTTAATTCCAATATCAGACATAAAAAGAACTTTTAGGGAACCATTCCCCGCTAAAGCCACTCATTCCAGCTAATCATGATGGTTTTGGCTGACTACAGCTTTGAATTTCATGGACTACAAGCAATAAAAACAGTTAAAAAAACAAACAAACAAAGAACCCAAACTTCGCCATTAACTTAAATCTCGGGTAACTCTTAATTTAACTTAAATAATCTTGAAGTTTACCTACCAAAAATTCTGTTCCCTTTTGCCCTTCAGACATTGTTTGCTTCACCTCAGTACTGCCCCCTTCCAGGCTACGACTCGGCAGCCCACGAGGAAAGCCGCCCTGACTGGAAGGACGGAGAAACCAGGCAGGCGAGCCCGGCCGGCCCCCTACGTGTAACAGCACCGTGATAGTGGCCTCCTCCGGCTGAGAACGGCCACCGCCAGGCCCGCAGATAAGCCCCACGTGCATTACATAATCACAACGAACTACAAGGCTGCTACTCCCATTTTACAGGCAGGCGGCGAGAGGAGGACGCTCAACCTAACCTCCGGCACACCTCTGAGGAGACGCGAACGCTGTGCTCCGTGCGGGTTCCCCACCCCCACCGCCACCCCCTCGAGGCCAAGCTCTTTCCAGTACACCGCCAGGCTCGCGCCCCTCGGGAGGGCTTCTAGGAAACGCGGCCCTCCCCCGCCCACCGGCACAAATCCACAGGTGCGACACCGGAGCCGCCCGCCCGCCCGCCGCCAGCCCCGCCCCGCCCCGCCCCGCCGAGGCCCGGCCGGCCCCTCGGGCCCAGATCGCAGCTCCCCGGTGCCTGGGCCTCTTTGCAGGCCCGGAGCCCGGCCGGCCCACCCCTCCCGACCCCCGCGCCCCATTGTTCCGAATCTCACTCACCTCGGAGGATACCGGCGCAGGCCCGGCTGGCGCGCTCGAGCCAAGCTCCCGGCGGCCCAGAAAGCTAGGTCGATGACGGCAGGATCCGCGAAGGCGTACCCGGCGACTTCGCCGCCGGCCCTCAGGCGCGGGAGCAGGCGGGGGCGCTTCACCCTCCTCGCGAGACAGCGGAGACCCCGGCGGCTGCTGCGACCCCTGTGACGTAAAGCGCTCATCACCAATGGCAGCTTGGGGGGAGGCAGCAGAAACGAGACCCACTCCGCAGCTCCCCGCGCGTCAAAACACAGCACCCGCGTGCGTAACGCATGCGCGGTAGAAGGGCGCCGGCATGGAGGGCGGGGCCTAGAATGCCCGCCCGAGCCCCGGCCCTTCCCCCCCCACCCCCGCCCCTACTCCCGGAGTAAAAGCTCCGAGAATCTCCCAGGCACAAATCCCTCACCGCCACCATCATTCCCGTTACCAGGAGTTTCCGGGGCCTACAGGCGCGATACTTGACGTTCGCTCCTAACTTAGCTTGGTCTCGTTTAAAACTGACCAAACTCTGCGAGAAGTCACTGAAATTACCTCCAGTGTAAAAAGGAACGGAGTTACTTGGAGGGGAAGGGGCCGCCTCCAGTTGCACAGCTGGGACAGAACTCTGGGATTCGAACGGAATCCAGAGCCAGGGCCCAAGCAGGGTCCTACGCGGTCTTCGTAAAGAAATCTACTCCAGCCTAGGGGTAAACAGGAATTACCTAAGAGAACGGGGCCTTAAAATCTTCCCAAGACAAGGTTTTTCCTCTCAAAGGAATCCGGGTTAAAGCCCTCTTTAGGTGATATCTGACAGGCACAGGCACAGAACGTCTGGGCCTAAGGCGGCCCACTGCCCCGTTCTACCCACAGGCCCCACACCAGAGCGTCCCAAAACATTGCAGAGCTAGACTTGCTACAACGGCCCGCGTACAAAACGCCGTCTCTGGCTGAAAATTTGATACGTGCTACCGTCCTAAGCACACAAAAAGCGCCCCCAAAACACTTGTTGATTGGCAGTTACGTCATTTCTTAGAAGTACCATTTACATCCACAAGCCATTGCGTTCTCCAAGACTCTTGTTTCTGGAAGAAGGGCTCAATGAACAGGGACTCCCCACCACGACTCGTCGCTGTCATATAAAAGTGGGTGGTACTCTTAAGTCAATGATAAATATGCGAACGTCTCTCTGTATTACGTGGAAAGAAATGCGGGAGGAAATGTTCATCTCTCCGGCGTTAGAGGCCAGTGTCATACTTAAAATGAAGATTATTTTTTTCAAATAAATTTTTAAATGCACAGACGGCATATTATCTTGCACGAATATTGCGCTGCAACGGAAAGACCAGTTGACACGGCACGTCCATCTAAGTGGCGGAAAAGGCCATTTTTAACACGTTCCTCCTTTATTTTACCCGGTCCCCCCACGGCGAGCTAGGCCCCCCGATCACGTGAGCCCGCCTCCAGCTCCGGGCGGAAGAGGCCGGCCTGGCTGATGGGAAACGCTGCCGGAGGCGAGGGGCGGGCGCTCGTGCCCGGCTGAAAGATGGCTGCCGCCGCTCGGCAGCCGCCGCCCCGGAGGTGACTCTAGGGCCTACGGCTTCCCTCGTTCCCGCAGGCCGCCGCCGCCTCCTTACCATGAAGCCAGTGAGTCGCCGCACCCTGGACTGGATTTATTCAGTGGTAAGTCCCTGGTCTGGGGGGGCTCCACGGTGTCGACTCCCTAGGCCCGCAGGCGGAAGGCCCCCTATTTCTTCAGCGCCCAGAAACTCCAAAACCCATTCCTGTATTAAGGCTTTCACTCTCTCACCTCGACTCCGCCTCTTCCTGGAAGACACGCTCTTCCGCCTCTTACGTAAGGGCGCGGGGTGTACTTGCCTCCGGGACCCCATTTATTCGAGGTTTTCACTGTAATTCTCACCTTAGCAACGTACCACCTCGGCGACCTGTCGGTGCGGGGGGAGGGAGGGAACTGAATTATCACTTACGTAATTTTTTTGGCCTTTATTCCCCCTCTTGCATTTTTTTAGTTGCTCCTCGCGATCGTATTGCTTTCCTGGGGATATGTCATCTATGCATCGACAGTAGCTGCACGACGACAGCTAAGCAAGGAGTACCCAGACAAATCTTGGGGATGAATATTTGGAATTCCTCTGGATTTAATGCTTTGCACATAGTTCTTTACCTGATGCTTCCCTGGCAGGTGTCTAGATTTAAAGTAAAATCCATTATGCGATGCTTATAAATTTATTTTTGCGTAGTCCTTTATAATCACCACCAATCTAATTTTCACAGAGGTTTTCTTTTACATTCTTATATAAAACAAACCAACCTAGATCTGACAGCATGTGGGTACTGAACCATAGATGGAATGACAAGCTTTTCAACCTAGAGTTTCTAAAGTACCTCTTAAAATGCCTCAGTCTTCTTTAAAACAGTCTGTGGAATTGCTGTTCTTATACTTGTTTATTGCAACATTTCATTCTGTTGCATACCTTCACATAAGATTAAGTACCATGTAAGAAAAAAAATCTGGCATGTGACTACTTTCTACATCCTGTTTTTCAAGTCAAGAATGGCCAGAAAAAGGTAATCACTCATATTTTTTTGGCTTGTCCAGTTTTTACTTATTGTTAAATAACTCAAAGAGTTGCAAATTGTACAATATTTGTGAAGAAATAGACCACACATATCTCAGAGTAAACTTTATTACTTTTCCAGAAAATATATTCAGTAAATACAATAATGCATCAATAAATGTGGCCTCATATGCCTTTGAAATCTTAAAGTAATCTTCAATGATGTTGATCAGGAAATTCTTTCATTGGTGGAATTACTTCTCCAGTCTCCAGAATTATATCACCCTAAAAAAAAAAAAAAAAAAAAACCAAAGATGCATTAGCAGAAAAATCTTGCCTGCAGAGATGATAGTTTCACTTGGTCAGATCTCACAAGGAAAATGTGGTTCAGTGGTGGCATTCACATTTTGAAAGAGACTTAAAGTAGAAGCTGTCCAAAGATGAGCAATATTCAGAATATTAAAGTATATGTGAAGGTGAGGTATAAGTGAAGGAAGTATAAGGGGAAGTTTCACTCAAAATTTCCAGAAAGAGCAAGAAAGTGGTCTTCATAGGTGATAAAGAGATAATGTTTATTTTGTATAGCCTCAAGAAATAGGAAAAACCCTAAAAAGTTATGAGGAAACAGCTTCAATCCAATAGAAGGAGGTAATGTATTTCCACCTGTTTACTATTTGACTCAGATATGAGAGACAGAATGCAAACTTTGCCTGGGTAGCTGGTTCACTGTTATCTTCTCAAACCTAGATACAATGTGTATGGTAGAAAGGGCATGGGCTTTGGAGCCAGAATCAAGTGGTGAGAATTCTGGAACCTTCTCTAGGAAGCTGTATCATTTTAGGCAAATTACTTAGCTTTAGTTTCAGCTTTGTGTTTTAGACAGATTTTGTGAGCCTAACAGTCTTACGAATTACTGGGTAGACTAGAAATAACCCCAACCCCACCCTTGCCATTCCTTGACTTTTATTGTGTGTAAGCCATTATACATTTGGGGAGTAATTTGTTACACAGTTAGCATTACCTTAAAGTGGCACTAATGCTGCTGTAATAAAAATCAAACCAATGGCACTGGCTTAACATTGGAGGCAAGGACGCTGGAATTGAAGGCTAAAAGATGGGGCAGTAGTAACTTGGAAGCAAAGTGTCTAATGAATTGAGGTTCTGGGAGAAGTAGCTAAAAAAAAGTTATACTATGTTTGACTACTACTAGCTACCTTGGGAATATACTTTAAGAAATATAAGCTCAGGCAAGAAGAGGCAGATTTAAGAGGAGATACAAAAGTGGAAAGAAGAAAAAATTCAGGACCTTGCAGTACTGGAAAATAAGACTTTCTGAATCTCTAAAAACTAAGAGCTAACAATGAAGACATATTGAGAAACAGAAGCCCAATAAAACCCAAACAAAAGGGCTCTGTCCTATGGCAAAGTTCAGACTGATCTTGAACCAGTTCTTCAAATATCTTCCATATAACTCCATGGAGTTAAAGAGGCAGCTGTATGAGTACAAAGAAATGAGAGAACTTGGCAATTACACAAAGTACAGATGCATGTGAGACTGACTAGAAGCAAACAGACTCCCATCAAGTATTTTTCTTTACATAATTACCAACTGTTGTGGGAACTAGATGATCAAATAAACATATAGGCAACAAAAGTCTTTGAATGTTTGAGCTTAAAACAACCTCTGGCACTCAACCTTGTGTGCAGGAGGCAGATTTTAAAGGCTATCCAACCCTAAGAAGGGCATGCTTCCCAGTACCCATTTTAGACGTGGTCTAGGTTGAAAATGGACAGTATTTTTACGTGAAGATGAGGTATAAGTGAAGGAAGTATTTTGGCTTGTCCAGTTTGGGTTGAAAATGGACAAGAAAAAGAAAAAGAAAAAACCCAAAACCCTGGATGGACAGAACCAGGAAGAACAATGAACAAAGGTATTCCAGAAAACAATCAGTGCCCATTCAGCTACCTTACTGCACTCTGTTAGGAGCCTTGATGTTTGACCACTGGGATTTAGGAATGCCAAGAACTAGTGACTGCTTGCCGAATTCCACCACTGAGCAATGGGTGTGTTTGGGGACAGTGAGGGGAAGACAGGGCATACAATTAAACTGGCCTTCTTAGTTCACTGACCCTCAGATCTCCAAAAGAAGTCACATCTAACCCTGGCAGACACTACTGTACAATGTCTGGAGATCCTGCATTTGGGGCTGGTTGCAGCGAAGGTACAGGACTCGGATTTCCCTGTAGAGAAAGAACTATATTATATGTGTGGGGAGAAGGAAGCGAAGAACTATTTGGTAATTAGAAGGATGGACTGGGGCACAGACTCCAGGCATGGAAGGCTGGGAAATATATTTTTAAAAAAAGCACATAGAGGGGCACTTGGGTGGCTCAGTGGTTGAGCGTCTGCCTTCAGCTCAGGGCATGATCCCGGAGTCCCGGAATCAAGCCCCACATTGGGCACCCTGCATGGAGCTTGCGTTCTCCTTCTACCTATGTCTCTGACTCTGTGTCTCTCGTGAATAAATAAATAAAATCTTAAAGAAAAAAAAAAGCACATAGATCTATGTGACAATGACAATGAGTTCTGGCCAACAGGATCTGAAGAGAAGTGATGCACTAAGCTAGTTCCAAGTTTAGACCTTAAAATCCTCCTGAGATGTTCAACCCACTCTGCCTTAACATGATCTTTGGAAGCCTCATAGGCCAGATGGCATTAACTATAAGATGGTGGAGATCACCTGATGTGTATCAGTCTAAGATGTCAATAAGAAATAGACCTTTGTTTTGTTAAGCCACTGAGATCTGAGGGTTTGTTACTGCCTATCCTATTCTAATATATGTACAAATGAGCATTCTTTAGGTCCTCACAGGGGAAGTTTTTCAAAGGGTCAATGGCACAGAAACAAGAAGAGTGGCGGAAAAAATACAGGACTAGGCAAAATGCTATGGGATCACTGTGGTCTTCTAAAGAGAGCCTCACTTTCTTTTCCTTTGAACACAATGGCAAAATAAGTAAGTGATAATTATTTCAATGGAAGATTAAATAAATTACTCAACTGGTGAAACCAGTAAGATAATTTGCTATTTTGAGACTACCAAGGCCCTGACACATGTCAATTATATGCTACAAGATATAGAAGAAATCCCCTAATTCCTAAAGCAGAGGTCCACCGGAAGGGTTAGTCGATTTTGGTGCTTTGCCCTAAAGTTCCCTTCTGTTGCAGATGATAATGGATTAATGAGACCATGTCATTTGATTGAAGCAAGAACCAACACTGAGTTTTGCTTTTTAAAGTCACAGGACTTAGACATTGATGGTAGTTCATTATCTACCTATGACTAGAAATAGGACAAGAACCTAATCTGTATTTTGCTATGCTTAAACAATAACCTCACAAACAACCAGTAAAAATACCAACTGATGACTATGTAATCTTTTAATGCTGAAAAGATTCAACTTTAAATTAGGATAATAGCTTACATATTCAAACACAAAACTTAAAGTACACATTAACAGATTTAAAATCCACAAATGGAGAAGTTAATGTCAAACTGCCCTAAGAAATGACAGTTTGGAATTAATAACAGAGGAATTCAATTGCTGTTACATGCTCAAGTGTCTGCTCGGGCTAGTGCCCTAAATCCTCAACCCTACATGAAACAGGGTACCAGTAAAAAACTGTTGGTATCTTCAGTTCACTTTAGGACTATAAAGGTCATTTAAATTTTACATCCAGCTTCCAAAGAAATATGCCCACCTCCCATTTTCAACTGTAACTGCTGCCTTACAGTATCTCTTTTTTTTTTTTTACAAGAATGTACAAAACAAACTTAAAATGACAAAAGAAAGGAGCACTTTAATGATCACAGGGAGAAAAAGGAGAGAGAAAAGTAATAAAAGAAAAATCAGACATATTAAGACTTACTGGGAATATTCTGGGCTTCCTTTCAACAATGGCATATGGTTTTGCCTGCAATAAAAGTAATGCTCTGTTAATTAGTTTTAGATTGTTTTCTAAAATAAAATAGATCATATCCCAAATTTTTAACTTAAGCCCCAAACTTTCACTGAACTCCAGACTCCTACATTCAGCTGTTCACTCAAGATCTTTATTTGGCTATCACCAGTAGTCATCTCAAATTTAACCAGGTCCAGCTTGTAACCTCCCCCAGCCCCAAATGTTTCCTTATTGCAGCAAATGGCACTTTCATTCTAGTCTGAAAGGCCAAAAACCTTGACTCCTCAGCAGATGCTGTTGGTTCTATCTTGAGATTATATCATGAATCCAACTATTTCTCACTACCTAGTACT